CACACGGATAAATCCTACCGGGTGCGTTTTAAGACCGTGCTATTGAGAATTTTCTTCAACAAACACATGACGGTGTTGCTGTTAGAAAATCTCTAAAGTTTAGCTAATTGTAATATGTAGTATGTTTTTTCTTATTATGAGGTCAACGAGGCAGTCGAGTCATTTGTAATTTAACTACATAAAAGTTACAGTCTATCAAGTTAACAAATTAAATGTTTTTCAAGTGTACTTAGCCTTAGCACACAAAATTATGTTCAGAACGCTTATTCTCTACCAGTACTGATATGAGATGCTATTTAACATTTGATTGGTTATTATTCTTGGCACATCATGTGTGTCGTTGCCGTTTTAGGGTTCCGTACCTCAAAAGCAAAATAGGAACCCTTATAGTATCACTTTGTTCTCCGTCCGTCTGCCCGTCCGTCTGTTTATCAAAACCGTTTATCTCAGCAACGCGTGGTGGTATCCCTTGATGCTGTGAAAAAATCAAACTTCTAAGTTAATGTAAAAATGATACTGTTGTATTATATGTCTAGAGGTTATAACATACAAAGAAATATAAAATTCTAAACATGGTCGAGTCTTTCTAATCCAACAACAACCTGTAGCATAAAGCAATGCAGCTGCACCAAAAAGTAAAAGATTCTGTACCATCACTATCTAAATCTCAAATGTAGTCAAAACTTTAATACTTAAGCAATAATGTCCTTTATCCTTTGAGCTCTAACCCGTAACGGTAGAACCGGTTAAACTCGCAGTATACTACTATGGTGTACACGTGGTGCTTACACTTTGCCAGTGCTCGATACTTTCATGCAGACTAGACGTGGGATTCTGTATTATAATATTGATCTTGACCTGCGATAATGCGATATTATAATATTGTGTGTGTACTATTACTTCTTGACTTTCCGTAAAGGCTATATAAGAGTAAATACGTCGAGTGTCAGAGGTTCACGCAAATTTATTCACATTAGATTTTAGGGGAAACATTTAAAGCTCATTAAGGACATATATCGTCACATGCATTGTTATAAACAATGATAAATTCAAAACTAACAAATTTATGTTAAAAATATTTTGTATTTTCATCTATTACAATTTAAAAATTAGTCACGTTCTACCGTTCTATAAACAGCATAAAACTTTAATATCTCTATTGAATGTTTTTATTTTTCCTTTTAAACTGGTGGTCATTTTCGCACTGTAGAATTTTAAACATCGGAAAAATCTTTACAATTAAAACGCTAAATTGTGTCTTTACCTAAATACGATGGGGAAGCCTGGAGTGATGATGCATGATTAAATAAGACCCTCAACTAAACTACGAAATGTTATTTACTAGTATTCTTGGATTCCTAAACCAAACACATTAGTTACGTTGTATTCATTCCTTCCGTTTGATTCACATATGCTTGGTAAATTCCCGTTGACTTAAGGAAACTTATTATTTGTGACAAGGCGCCTTTTATTCTTAGAAACTAAACATGTTTTCAAACAAATAGTAACTTTTTGTGCTAAATCAACTGAACGAGTTTAATCATCGTTCTACCTTTCTACTTTCACAGTCGTTTTGTTTGAACTTGTTCTAGCACGAAGCACATACATTTTGCTAGCAATTCTATTCTATTATTATAAATGTATTAACTCATCACCTTTCTCGCAAATATTTTTTGTCTTTTCTTTTATCTCACAGTTTCACACGCGTTCATTAAGGCCACTGCTTGGCTCCTAAGGATGGTAGATTTAAGAAGACTAAACCTTTCTCACGAATTGCAGAAAGCAGTATTATACATAAAAATGACAGATATATAATGTACAAAGCGCGGTCTTATTGCTAAGAGCAATTTCTTCCAGGCAACCTTGGGATCATTCAAAATGTTTCGGTGAGACAATAGTAACTGAATGTGCATTGAGTTTTTAGGTAGTATAGGTTCTTATATATACTCACATCCACGGTTTACATTTTAAATCAAATTTTATGCAACCTCTCTGAATCAAATCTTCATAACTAGCTGTTGATTCAGACTACCTGATCTGCTTCTCATCTTCCTAATTAATGCTTGTCAAGAGTTCCATTACTTTTACTGTTGCCATACACATTGGTTACGTTAGACTTTCGGGTTGAGGTGCGACTCAGGAATGCGGCAGCGTTCTAAATCAACAGTCAGTGAACTTTTGTCTTGCTAATACAATCGAAATTCAACCTAAATTATATAAACATAAATTAGGAAACTACTCGTTGTTCAATACACTTTTGTATACTTAGGTGTCTACTTTTTAAATACGTATGTGTAATTTGGTTGTAGTTAACCTGTAATAGGTTTGTTAGTTGTGTACATAGTGTTAGTAAATTTTCAAATGTAACCCAAATCATTTTGTAATGTAAGTTTATAATGTTCTGATAGGGAATTAGCTTTATCAGTATCAGTTTTTTGGGGATTGTTAAACGACGCTGCAATTCACACGTGAACAAATTTATTCTTTATATCTCCCACTTTTATAAACAACAAAAACTATTCGACCTGACACTAGTTATCGATCATAAATTTTCTACCATTTTGTACCGAAAATTGACATATAACAGAGCAAACTTTAACATATAATAATATTCTCACAAACACTTAAACCTAAGTGATCATAACATGCATAAACTCACGCCTTGTATCCCCTGAAGAAGGTCTCTACCTTCTTCGGGGGATACTGGGTGTATTAAACACACTAAAGGCCTTTTTATATTACTAAGGTAGCCAACAATTATTTGCCCATTGTATGCCGACGCTACTATAATATCGTAGGGGATTTTCTCATTAGTGAACTAATTTTCACAGGAACTGTTTGCCATAAGAATAACTGTGTTCGATTGCCAAACAATAAAGCCTTCCTTCGGGCATAACAGTACACAACACCACCACCAGCGGTGGACTATTTAAGGATGTTGCTGTGTGTGTGATGTGATAAGTTATTTAAATACAGTTCTTGTTGCACTTTCCGGAAACCACTACCTACCATCCATTAAAGTAAGTACATTAATATCATGAGTCACTCAACCGCACGTTCTATGACGTCATTCTATTGTATAGCCAAAGTACACTCTGTACTCTTTGCTGTCAATTCGTATACAAAAACTCCCATTCTATCACTTAATTACCCGCCTATTCACACTGGTTATGTAATTGTCCTACATATACATTGATATGTTTTTAAACTGGCTGAGAACGAATTGTTTAATATTTACAAGATAGATACATATTATGTAATAGTAAAATTATCTTTATTTTCAATCTGGCAATACTCGTTTAGGTATATAAAATACCTGAATGAGCCATACGGGATTGCCAGATTCAGAACTTGGATGTGGCTTCTTACAAACCGATATAAATTGAACTTCCTCATACGTTTTTTGTCTGTAAAAGTAATTCAATGTTAGGTTTTTTAATATACAGCTCAAACGGTGTCAATAAACCAGTCTAAATTTACGTTCGCTTTAAAATAGATTCCAGTGTACTCATCATCATCAAGCCTATCGCCGTCTACTGCTAAACCTAAGAGGCCTATGGGTACTCATAGTAAATGTTATCGTTTGCAGTATTTTTTTCGTAAATCGGCTATCTTCTAACTATATTCGAGATTTTTTTATTTATTAATCATGTATGTTGTACTTACATAAACAAAACTATTTTTTTGGCATAATCATTTTTCAACAAAAAAAAATGCTGTTATGTACAGATATATACATACGTGTCTAAAAGGTAAACAGATAAACGACTGTATTGATAATATTCACAAGTTACCTATTCCAATAAAACCCTAGTAAAGACTTGAACAAAGATTTTCCCAAAGATTGCAGAATTTTTTAAGGTTAAACTTGAGAAATTGACGTTATCTGTTGTGTTGATTACACTATTACCGATCGTTTTATTCCATGTCAATATCGTAATCGGAATACTATTTATTACAGTATTTTTCCAACCAATCGATAGTCACACTACTTCGTCGAATCGTAAAAAGCAATAAAAATAAAATGCTTATGATATCATAGAAAGCGACTGATTATAATCTGTCGATACGCAGTCAACTTTTTCTTGAAATTCCTATCCTTTTTATTTAAATGCATGAAACCCAAACGACGTAGTTAAATAATGTTGTCACAATCCTTATGATGTAAACATTTTTCATTATTGTAAATTACACATGTTACGAAAGATTACAGCTTTTTAACTATTATATTTTTATCAAATGAAGTCGAAAATTGTGCTGATTGTACTAGTTATGGATAAAAAAAATAGTTTTAAAAAACTAAAAACACGCTTTTTTTTTTTAAATTGGTGTATTGTCATCGGTCCTCGATATATCTACAAAGTTTGAACGAATTCTGACCGTTTAAAGTCAGTCAAAATCACGCCCGGCAGGAGTCGGTTACAAACATACAAGTGAAGCTAATATAAAGCGTGTAAAAAGGTTATTGCTAATCTCAATGCCTCGGTGGTGCAGTGGTAGCGTATGCGACTACTCTGCTGAGGTCTCGGTTTCGATTCCCGTGTCGGACCAAAGTTTTCGGATTGTTTCGGAGTTTTGGGTGTTTTCTATGTATAATATGTATGTATTTACAATTATATATAAATATAAGTATTCTATAAGTCAATCTAGCTTTCATAGTACAAGCTCTGCTTAGTTTGAAACTAGATGGCGTTATGCCACATGTCCGAATAATATATATATTAAAATACATTTAATATTCGTCGTTGTCAATAAATCGTGATGAGTGAAATTGTCAATGTGTTAATTCTAACATTAACACAACGTGAAACAGGCAGCTTTTACACCCCACGTCAGAACGTAGATTTTTCGGAGTGACACAGAGGTGTTATAAACGTTAGGGTTAGGAAGAAAATAAGAATGATAGTGACTCAGACAAGGTTCAGTGACTATTTCTTTCTGATTTTTTCCTTTTTTTTCATAATTTATTAAAACTAACCTGATGTATTGTTTGTCCACAGACAGTCCAACACGGCTTCCCCCACAGAGCCTCGGCACTAGCATGGGATCCACTCCTGAGGGTCATCGCTCTCGGCACAGCCACTGGCGCGCTCAAGGTGTATGGCAGACCAGGCGTCGAGTTATATGGACAACACCCCAATTCAGAATCCAGCATCACACAAATACACTTCATACCTGGTATGCTATGTTTTGTCTTTCATAAAAAATCTACACAGATAAAAATGTCTCTTCATTCAACATCATCATCCTGATATCAGAAAATTGAAGTTATGAGGCGTAAGCTTTTCATTTAATGTAAGGACTGAAAATAAGTGCAACAAATGATATCACGTGCGTAGAGATTGATTAACTTTGCGATGAGAGATATACGAAGGAGAACCAGGCTTCGACACAAGTGAGCCAGGCTCGTTCGGAGTGATAACACGACCTCACAGAAAACCGGTGTTAAGGCCACTCTTTCATTGCTTTTAATCGAATAATAATAATCTCACACACGCCCTTCTGATCCCAAACTAGGCAGAGCCTATACTATGGTAACCAGACTGCTGATAAACGTACTTATACTTTTAAATACATAAATTTTATAGATAAATAACACCAAGACACAGAATAAATGATCGTCATCACACAATATTTATCCTGGGTGGGAATCGAACTTACGACTTCCGGCTTAGCAGGCAGTGTCACAAACCACTAGACCAACATGCCCGAATGAAGGAGGTGACCTGAGCCAAAAATCGTCCCCGCCCTTACCCCTGATTGTGGAGGGGGTTGTGACTCTTGAGTTGTTGGTGCCCCCTATGCCATAAAAAAAGTCAAAAATGTTCTAAAAACAAAAGAAAAACCTTATGTGAGGTCAATTGCTAAAGCTTATACTCAGGCAAGCTGAAAGTGACAATTCAGAGACAGTATTGTTAAAAGCTGTTAAAATCCTATCAATGTAGGTCTATAATAGTTCGAGTCAAGCTCTTTTTAGCCTGTAGGCCTAATTGGACGCGATGGTTCCCATACCCTAATCATGTGACTATTCCGTGTTCTATCAGTAGCAGATTAGTACTAGGATCTTCGCAAACTGCTCATCTGACACAGATAGACAAGTACAAATAGTATGTCGTCCTGGAAGCAAATGCCTCCGTCCACTAGGATCCACTGAAACTCTTCATTCAATCATGCTAGTCTCTTGTATGCTATTTTATCTAGAACGTTTCGTCTCGGAAAACTAATCTGTGGAACAAATTGTCGCCTGCGGTAATTCCGCATGAGTTGCAGCCGCCCATGGGCTGTGGTAGTCACGACTGTACAGATGGCGTAGTGGTTTAAGCGCTTCGCCATCTGCGCTCGCTTCGCTTCGCTGCTTCCTACTGCGCTCGGTGTTGTGGGTTCGATCCCCAATTAGGACAACACTTTGTGTGAGCATCAAACTGTTGGTCTGAGTCTGGGTGTTCTTTGTGTCCGTTACATGAAAAGTCCCCCGCGACACAGAATTTATGCCTAGTGCGGAAGTTATCTTTAAATAAAAAAATCTCTGAATTTTTTAACAATCGATAATACTCGCTATAGACTCTTAAAATACATTTACACATATATATGCCTTTAGTTTTTCTTTTTTATCATATTTCATAAACAACTATCAAATCATTAGCGTTTACGTAGGCATGGAGGGCTATAAAAATTATTGATAGACGTTAACACAAAAATAAAACACGTATTTTATTAGGGATACGTTAAATAGAAATATCTGGCCGAATGCGCCCACGCATCGTTTATTATGAATAGTTTAGTCACCAGCTTGCTTTGATAATGAACTATTTTAAAATATTATTCATAAACGACACTGGCTATTTACGCTCTTTTAGAAGTAACCATTTGATTTGATTTAATTCCTGGGAACGTAACCAACCAACCAAGACAACTGACGGGGCTGTTGGTCTAGGTGGTTAGTGACCCTGACTGCTAAACCGGAGGTCGTGGGTTCGATTCGCACCAAAGACAAATATTGTGTGATGAGCACGGTCATTTGTTCTGTCTGGGTGTAATTTATCTATAATCTGTATCTATTTAAAAATATATAAGTATGTTTATGAGCAGTCTTTTTACCATAGTACAGGCTCTGCCTAGTTTGGGATCAGACGGCCGTGTGTGAGATATATTATAAAAAAAAACATTATTATAGTGATGCTTAACTGCTGCATTTTATATACATATACGGTGTAATTATTTCCGAGTCCATATATTATGTATGTTTCTTTATTCTATTGCGTTAGAATCAACCCCTGCATGATTTCGAGTAAAACTGGCTATATTTAAAAAATAAATCTTCTATAGCACATAATTCATTTCATTTAATTTATTTAGACCTAGTTAATAACTTTTTAACTCTGAATTTTAGGCACAGGCCGACTACTATCGTTGTCAGACGACAACAGCCTCCACTTGTGGGAGATAAACGAGAAGTCTCTTGTGGAGCTTAAGACATACATATTCGAAGGAAAAAACAAGAAGATTTCAGCTCTATGCGTGGAGTCTTCCGGCAAACACTTATTAATCGGCACCGAAGGAGGCAACATTTACAATTTGGATCTTAACACCTTCTCAGTCACTGAAGATGTGATTTATCAAGAAGTTGTTATGCAAAAGTAAGTAAAAATGTACCCCTTTAGGTACCATTTTTATACGGTCGCTTGGAAACATTAATTGATCTGCCATTTTTCTTATTTATACACTTCACTCGGACCCTTGGGCCCATGTTTATAGTCGCCATCGGCTGAATCTCTGGGAGACCCTTACCGAAACATCTCCAATATTGATAATTTCCGCTAACAAACATAACTAATAGCGCAACGTAAGATTGCTATAATTTTGAGAGTAGAGGTAGGAGCCAATGTACACTATTCATTTGAGATTCCGTAAGCACAGCAACCGCACAACATCGGACTGGCATTTTTTTTTCTGTTAAATTAAACATAAAAAAACAAGCGAACCTTACAGTAATAGTCGCACAGAAGGTGTAACATATAAAATTTCGCTTCCTCGGCTTCCTGTTACACATCTCCCTTTTCAACTCCCTTTTCACGAAAATACTCCTACAGATTGTAATCGAACGAAAAGATGTTAGTCATCAAAAGCAGAAAGTATGTGCATGTTAATAACGGAATTACGAGAACTAATAGATATCAATTCTAATTATTTTATAAAAGGAATAAATATACGCGTTGATTAGATACTTTGTATTGTTCTGTATCAAAGGCTGGCTTGTTAGCAAAGTCGCAACAAACAAGACTACATATATCAAAACAAAAGGAAATAGGGTTATTGGCCGATCTAAAAAAAGAGTTCATGGAGCACTGAACTTCTTTCATTTGACCACCCAGTAGTAACTAATTTGAGTACAAATACACACTCTTGTGTATATGTGACATTTTAATTTTTAACTGACTAAAAAGGAGACCCTGTACATTATATATGTTTGTGCTGGCAATTTTCATAAACAATCAACACATTGTCATGATACTTTCCCTATCATATACTACATGTTTTCATAAAGGTTTTATTTTTTTACAATTAATTGTAAATCATTTTATTGACTGTACAATTATCAGCTTTACAAATTTGTTTCAGATTTTACTTGATAAAAAGGCGTCTAAGTTAGTCAGAATCTAAGTTAGGTTCATTATGTAATCGTTAGGTTTTTTAAATTTGCATGTGGAGGTGAGCCACTAGTATTTCTCATACGTTGATAACGTTTATTCCGAGATTAGATGATTTGATTTTCCTTGTCCTAGTTAATACTCAAACCGACTAATATATTTTTTGTTATTAACTAAATTATTTTGTTTCATACTTAGGAGTTCTATTAAAAACTAACTGTGTGCTGCCCTGCCACGCTTCGCTGTGACACATTATGGTACATATCGTGTCAAAATTTGTGCCCAATTGGTGTAAAACTTTTGAGTTTTTGAAACGTACATAACATTTTTATATAATTAAATAGATTTAATATAAGATATAAATAGTTATTTAATATTAGAACTTGTATTTTTAAACAAATACTAACAAACACAATATGTTCTCTGTTAAGGAACAACAGCTAATAACAATAACTTTTAATTTATTTATTTAATTTGTTCAGTGAACTGTAAAATAAATCTTATGCTCATGTTCCTTACTGTTAAACATTCACACACAACTAAGTTGCTTCAGAAGTTTATTTATACATCTAAATAATAATAAACTCAATAAAACTGTCATACATTCTATTTCGTAAACCAACTACATTGTATTAAGTACATCTACCTATTAGGTATTGGTGAATATGTGTTCTTGTTTAACCTCGTAATATTTGATTTACACGGAAGTGGTTGAATACATCATTCCAATAGAACACAATGGTTATTCAGGTTATTTCAAATGGTTCCTTTGGTTATGTAGACGTCATGTATTGGCCACATTCTTTTTAGTACCACTAAATTGCTAGTTTTGAAATACGGTAAATCCAATATGGTATTACTTAGGGTAAAAGTTAGCGACATAACGCATGTACTGACTAATTCATTTAGTTACTGTCTAATAGGTAAGTCATGTATAAAAATAAATTAACTACGGTTATATTTGCCAGTAGTCAGTATTCTGAAAATTTTGAAATTATTTGGCTTCTATATATTTAAACCATTAGTAACTAGGCAATTCAGATTTTTAAACCGACTTTAAAATAATAGTGAAGGTTTTTAACTCGGCTGTATTTTTTTTCTTTGTGTTGTCAGAACTCCGACATTCATGAGCCGAATTATTTTATAGCTGTGAGAAGGTATTTACCGTTTGATGTCATAACCCTAAAGGTGGAAAATTCATTAGTGAATACAATTGATTACAATTCAATAATAATAATATAATATTCTACAAAGCCGTCTAGTCCCAAACTACGCAGAGCTTGTACTATGGGTACTAGACAATTGATAGAAATACATATAACATATACTTTTTTTATAAATACAGGCATACTATACATAGAAACACCCAGACCAAATCAAACAATAAATGTTCTTGCACACTAATTATTGACTTGAGGAAATCGAACCCGCAACCTATGACGTAGCGATCCGTTTCACAATGATACGATTTAAAAATAATTATGTTAATCTCTAATTCCAGCTGTCCAGAAGACTTCAAAATAAACCCAGGTGCTGTTGAAGCTATGTGCGAACATCCCAAAGTACCCAGTCGGTTGTTACTCGGCTACAATCGAGGACTGGTGGTGTTATGGGACCGAGTCGCCACATCTCCTACACACACTTTCGTGTCTAACCAACAGTTGGAGAGCTTGTGCTGGAATGACGACGGTATTTAGACGATCCAACTTTTTAATAACTTAAAATGTTGCTTTCCTTCACCTTTTGTTCACATATCTGATCCTAACAGAGCTACTATGGTAACCAGACGCTAATAAACATGTTTATAAATTTAACATTAATTTTATAGATAACTTACACACAATAAATGATAGTAGGAATTGAACCCATGACTTTTGGCTTAGCAGTTAGGATCATTCACAACAATTCAAGTCCAATAAGTAATTATTTCTCGGAAACATGAAATTTGTGAAAGGTCGAAGTATATTTTTGGTTAAAATATTTTATAATGGTAATTTTAATAAATAAGGTGTGAAATCGTAACAAACAAATTCACATTATCATTATAAATATTTAAGTCAAGATCACACTTCCTGAGCTGATCTTAAGCCATAATACGGTTATAGCCACTAAACCTTCATTAGCTTAGTACATAGGGCTAGGCCGGTGAGTGTTTTTCACCTCTACTCGATCGTCAAGGTGACCTGATATTTTTACATTTTGGTAATAACGGACATAAAGCAATATGCTTGGCTTACTATAAAACTGTCTCTCTTCAGGAGAACACTTCACATCATCACACAACGACGGATCATACGTGACATGGGAGGTGGCCGGCGCGTCCAGCGACCGTCCGCTCAAGGAACCTATCACACCCTACGGGCCCTTCCCTTGCAAAGCTATCTCTAAGATCTTGACCAGGACCAGCGTAGATGGCGATGAGCTTACTATTTTTACCGGTACGTATTAATTTTATTTGTTACTCACCTATCATCAACATTCCAGACCCTTTTTTTTTAATTTACTTATTTATAGTATAATTCATACTTGTAACGAATTAGTAGAGCCAAGTGATATCAGTATCTGTATTGATTACAGGCGGTATGCCGCGAGCTTCGTATGCAGATAAATACACCGTCACAGTTCAACAGGGAGAAAAACATGTTGCTTTCGATTTCACAAGTCGAGTAAGTAAATAATCTATTATAACATTTATTATACGGTTACGGTAACCGTTTGCTATCTAGCAGGTATTAAATTTGTTTACCTTTACTCACCTATGATGTCAAAACTTGTAAATTTGTAATTAGCTTTTAAAAAACATAAGGAATTGTAAATATTTGTATTGTTCATTACTTCATTTTTCTCCCTTATGGGTGGATTTTTTTGTTAAAGTTTGAATGGCACTAAACGGGAGGTAAGAATTTTCCGTCTAAATAAAAAAAAAACAAATTGGCTTATAAATTACAGACTTCTGAGGTAACAAACATTAAAAAAAAGCAGAATAACCAACCTCCTCCTTTTAAATCGGTTAAGAAATCATTGCAATTACTAATAAGCTAATGAATGATAATTATACAGTGGTTTAATTACTCACTAGTCTAATTTTATTTTGATTGTCCCCATTTTTTATTCTCAAATAACTGAAGGCTTACCTTGTCTTTTTGTTTTTACGAAAAGTCACTAGAGATACATCGACATAGCCCTAAGATTGTAGTCTTTAATAATCCACTGCTGGAAATAGGCCTCTCCTTAGAAAAAAAGCTTTGGCCTACTATAAAACCTGGTCAGACGGGTTGGTAAAGGGTTTGTTTCAAATTGTCCTTCTCTTTGCAGTGCTGTTGGCCTACGTAGTTTGCTTACTTAGTCGTCTCTTACAAGACGCACGAGATGCATAGAGGTGGCAACACTCCGTATTCTTAATCCGTCACCTCACGGTGATTGTATTTATATGTGCAGAATTCTAAAGAAAAATGGACCAGATTTTAATACAATAATATGTCGTAATTTGTTCTAGATCATCGATTTCATAACCACAACGCCAGTACCTCCCGACGGTGTTCCATTACAAGAGGAGAGACCCGCCACTCCTGCGCAGATTCAAATACAAACAGTCAACCAAGTTGCTGCTGCATTGGTTAGTAGTATTCACATGACTTGTAGGTACTGCTAATGCTAATGAAAAAAGATTTTTAATTATTCATTTTATTAGTACCATGCTAATGAATTTTAGTAGAAGACATAATCAGAATCAGAATAATGGATATGCCTAAGAATTACTAAATTTTATGTTTTTTTTTATGGAAGAGGGGGCAAACGAGCAGACAAGTCACCTGAGGCTCGAGTGTGAGTTTAATTCACATCTTCTCGATCGTCACGGTGACCGCGTTTGGCGCTGCGATTGGCCCTTACTGAAATCTGCACCAATCACAACGCCAAACTCTCTGTCGAGAGCGAGTTGATGTGAAATAAACTGGCACTTGGGCCTCTGATGTAAAGTGACCACCGCCGCTCATGGACGCCTGCAGCTCACGAGTCGCAAGTGCGTTTGTGTCACACGTAGTTAGACTATATCTAGAAGAAGATTTATATATTTTAAACAGAATAGTCTTCATCATGAAACAAACCACTGTGTGGCACCAAGTAATTGTATTGTTCTGATTTGGTATTAGTGTATTTATTCAAAACTCTCTGCACTCGATCCTATGTTGAAGGTTGATTCAAAAAACTTCTGATCTACAGATTGTGCTGGCGGAAGAGGAACTGGTTGTCATAGACTTATGTGACGAACGCTGGCGACCATTGTCTCTTCCATACTTAGTGTCGATTCATGCGTCAGCGGTCACTACTGCACAGCTTGTAGATAACGTCGCCTCCAATGTGTACGACAATATCGTCGCAGCAGGTGAGTTATAAACGCATTCTACTTATAATTAGACTGTTTCATATCCCTAAAGGCACTGATGTTATGGCAACCTCAAATCGTAATTGTAGGTTGCCAATTAAAAAATCTTACTTCGAAATCCAAAGATGGATGAGTGCTAAATAGTAAAATATTTTTGATCTGTATATTCTATGCACGACTTACACACGATACTTCAACTGCAGTGTTAAGTAGAATTAAGAAGAAACATATTTATAAATTGATTCCTTAACTGCACTGATATTACCCATTGTTTAAAATGTATAGCAACTTTTAACGAAATACCTTAGGGGCATGTCATCATGACATAAAAATGTGTAAAATAAAAATAAATAAAGTACAAAATCCGATTTTCTTTAGGTAAACAGCAAAGTGAAAACTTATACTCTGAAAGCCAATGGCCCATATCTGGAGGGTACACAGACACCCCTGAGACCTCGGAGAGACAGCTCCTACTGACGGGCCACGAAGACGGCTCGGTGAGGTTCTGGGACGTCACTGGAGTGGCAATGACTCCGCTTTACAAATACACCACTGCTCAACTATTTAGGTAAGCTTCAAGTCTATTATAGGTTTTAAAATTAAATAATGTTTGATTATTTTATACCTATTTATTAAATAAAGAAGATATTGCAGGAATGAATATTATTAGGCAAAAAGTAACAATTTGCCATAGAAGTTTACTTAAAATAAGATTAATCGAAACTAAGTAAGAAGCTACTTACTTTAGCTAATAAAAATAGAATTGTTGTCTAATCGAGCTTTCACCATAGTTTCTACCTATTATTACATATCTGTATGTGCATGATTGGTGTGCAAAGGTTCATTTCAGCATACATAAGTATTTCAATTCTTCAGGGATTACCGGACATCATACAGTTTTTTCACGTTGTTGAATATGTATAAGAAAAGGAGTGAGTCGATGTCAATAAATATTAAATACCTCACTGCAAAACAAATGACTTTCTGCCATGACATCGACGTAATAAAATAAAATTATAAAAGTGTATGAAATAATAAAAATAAAAACAGTCACAAATGATCCACGGCAAAGTATATAATATAATAAAAAGATGTACTGTTGATAGCTACGATCTGATCAAGTAAACTTACCCATACCTTGTCTCTAGATTCTGAAATGGCATTTAAATTCAAAAGTTACACGTTATGCAGATATACCTTTTCCAAAAACAGTTATTCTCTAACTGTGTGTTCGTCGTATCTATATGTAGCCTAACATTAGCTAACAATTTCGTCCTCTGCTTATTGCTTGCTCATTGCGAAGTGGGCTCAAACGCTCGACCACAAGGTAACATACGTTCTTTATGCATGCTAACACACTTTTACTACCGGCTGCATGGTTATTTTTATTTCTTATCCTTTATTTTACACACAAATATAACTAAAATTACAAAAGTGGAAAAGTATAGAAAAGTAAATCGTAGTTTTCACTTACAGCTTTAGTTTTAGTTAAATTTTGTGTTATGAATCCTTATTTCTTATACATTTTTTATTACAATTCCCATAACTGTAAGATTAGAAAATTACAATTTTTTTAAATAATTTCAACATTGAACATGGTTTAAAAATGCAGCACTTTGATTAAACAGTTAATCATATTTCGTAAACTTGTGTAGAATGAGTTGTCATAGCATATAATTTATATCTAATTGTGTAGTGGTGAAGAAATAGGAGAGAACAATGATAGTCAGACGGACGAAGAAGAATGGCCTCCATTCAGAAGAGTCGGTACGTTCGACCCTTATAGTGATGACCCCAGGCTTGCTGTCAAACGGGTAAGAGTATACTCAAATATAGATTCAAAAAACAGTTCCCTAACACTAGTAATTTAGTTAATAAAGCGGAGAAAATTACTTATTTAAATTTATCTATAGCCGAAGCTACTTCTTTGACTTCTTTAGAGTGAAGTCGTTTCTTTTCCTATAATTCAAAAAAAAATATTCTTAATGTATTTTTTTATATGTAGGTGATCCTCTGTCCTCTATCTGGAATGTTGACCATCGGTGGTGCCGCCGGTCACATAGTTATTGCCAGCCTCAAGACTTCTTCGAACACAGCTGAAGTTAAGGTATGATTTTTTTGTTGTTTATGAAGTGGCTAATGGTACATAGTAAAAACAAATATAATATTTGCAAACTAAAAAAAAAAACATTTTCTCACGAAAATTCACGCATAATTTGATAAGCAATCTGTTTTTTTCTCAATTGTGTGTCATTATTAGTAGAACTAAAATTCATCAAAAAAGGGATGGCTTTTCCTTGATTTAATTGCCTTTTAGACATCATTGTTATGTGAATTAAGCTTCCTATGAAGTTCATAATATTTAGGAATTCTTGTAAAATTATAGTAAGTATTATTAGAGTATTGATTATAGTTGTTGTTCCACAGTCTGTGACAGTAAACATCGTCTCAGATCGCGACGGATTCGTTTGGAAAGGACACGGCCAGCTCACTCTGAGATCTGGCTCGCTCACTTTCCCACAGGGCTACCAGGTGAGTTGTACACAATAACTTAACAATTTGTTATTTTTTCAACATCAAACCTCAGCCAAGTGATCATCATCAAACAGCGAGACCTCGAGTTATACTTATTCCGTTGCTAAATGTCTTAATAAATGTAGTGTTCACAAGCATAAATTGAAAGGGATGTCATTTATTTATTAAAGTAACATTATAAGCTCACAGTCTTACAACCAAAACGCTTATATGCCATACTACATCTAAATAAATACACAGATCACAGGGCATTATTATACAAAAAAAAACATTAAATTATTTATATTAATTACAAATAACATTCATTCAATCATTCAGTCTGCACGGATGGCGTAGTGGTTTAAGCGGTCGCCACGCCGCTTCCTACTACGCCGAGTGTTGTGGGTTGAAACCCCACATAGGACGACACTTTGTGTGATCCACAAATTGTTGTTCTGAGTCTGGGTGTTCTCTGTGTCCGTTTCATGTATGTTTGTAAAGTCCCCCGCGACACAGGATATTTTCCTAATGCGGGAATTGTCTTTTTTAACAAAACAAAAGTCACAAAAATCATAGCAGTACAAGATGTCACTAACATAAATAAATGTAGTCTAATAAAAATAAATATAATTCAGGTGATAAAACCAGTGTATATAATGTCCGTAGGCGAGTTCCGTGGTGCAGCTGGTACCCCCCGCGGCGGTGACGGCGCTGGCGGCGCAGTGGGAGTGGGGCCTGGTGTGCGGCGGCACGGCCCACGGCCTGGCCGTGCTGGACGCGCTCAAACCCGCGCCGCTACTGCACAAGTGCACGCTCAACCCGCACGGTGAGCCACCTATGCTTAAAGTGGGAGTGGGGCCGGTAGAAGCCATGATAGGAATCCAATCATTTCGTCCAACAGGTTTTAGCAGTCAGGAACATTCACCCATTAATTATATTAGACAACGAATCCTACATAACTCTTTTAAACCTTAATATATCTTACTACTACGGATACTTACACTTATCTTATATCATATTTTCCTTTTCCATAATTCTTATCTTTAGGTGAGTAAATTTAATTTACTTTCCCCAGATTCCGGTGCGGGAGACACACCTATATCCAGAAGAAAATCATTCAAAAAGTCGCTACGAGAATCGTTCCGAAGACTCCGAAAAGGCAGGTCACAACGACGACAGACCACTACGTCGAGTCCAACCTCTCCCACACAGGTATAAATAGAGTATACTTTTACATTAAATGAACATAAAACTTTTTAAAATAAAACACTCAAGTATCTAAATACCTCCATAAGAAAATTGCATACTCTGAACAACTTAATTGAATCATTAAATGTAAAATGTCATGTTTGTTTTTTACATCAATTCATATGTACTGATAAAAAGAACTTTGGAAAATATAATAAAGATATTATAAGAAGACACAATTAAAAAGAGCGCGATTTTATGTCTATTTTATACATAGACAAAAAATAAACGTCAAGTTATTTTACAGCCAATCCCTAAGAAGCCAATAGACAAGGCTGCGTCGGACACAGATGCAGAAATTAAGCCGATAGAGCGAGCGGTGGAAGCGAGGTCTACTGACGACGCTTTCGGTACTATGGTACGGTGTTTATATTTCGCGAGGACCTTCCTTATCAATAGTAAGTAAATCTAATAGTATTCATAAAATTTAAACTCACTGTGATGCCAAGTCTCGTTCTAGTTATTTTTTTCATCTTATAAAAATAATTTTACCACTAATAACACATTACTACAATTTATAAGAATATAACACAATCATAGACTGACACCACGTTTCTAGAAATGTGAAAAACTTATTGTTGTGTTATGTTATCATTAGTAGCACCCGTAACGCACAGAGAGTCTAGTGCGGCCGAACACGGTCGCCATGAGGATCCAGTTGATGTGAAATAAACTCACACTAGGCCCTCAGAGCAGCTTCACGACGACTCTTTCAACATATCAAAACGATATCAGTCATTCGCCCGATTCCGACAACCGTCGTGGCTTTATCCTTTTTTCTGACAATGCATTCCGATTATGCAATGAACTCCATGCTAATCTGTCAAGGACTCAATGAAATCTATTATTTTTACAGCACAAAATTCGACGCCTACTTTATGGGCGGGCACCAATAACGGTACTGTGTACGCGTTCACGTTAAATGTACCAAACACCAATAAGAGGAAAGACGAACCGGTATGTTAAAACCCTATTTATAAATCACACTATAGTCCATTCGTGTTAAGAACATAGTGACGCAACGATCAAGCGCCCCACCCCTTAACTAATCAGGTACCAAGAATTTATCGTTTCGTACGAAAGCTTCGAACCTGATTGGTCAGGGTGCTATGGTTCTTATGTAGTCGATGCGTCACTATTTTCTTAACGCGATTGGACTAAAAGTTATTCATCCTAAAATTGATAGTCATGTGAAATATTATTTCAATTGCAGGTAACATGCCAGTTAGCGAAAGAGATACAGTTAAAGCATAGAGCTCCTGTTATAGGTATCACTGTGTTAGATGGAGCGTCTGTGCCCCTTCCGGATCCATTAGAGGTACTCATTGTGATGTTTTATACTCATTTCATCAGTCTCTAAATGTCTCTAAATAACCGTTCATACTCTTCTACTTAGTTTGTAGTTGGCTAAAGGGAGATAATTCGACTGCTTCAGTGGTGCAGTGGTAGCGTATGCGACTGCTGTACTGAGGTCTCGGGTTCGATTCCCCGGGTCGGACCAAATGCTGACCAAATGATCTCCAAATATTAGTTTCGGAGTTTGGGTGTTTTCTATGTATAATATGAATGTATTTACAAACAAAAAGAGTATATAAGTATTCTATCAGTCAATATAGCTTTCATAGTACAAGGTCTCCTTAGTTTGAAACTAGATGGCGTTGTTGACATCTGACAGATGTCCAAAGTATATAAATATATTTTAATTGTTTTATGTAATACATATTAGTATTGTGACTTGAAGATACATGTCTCAGTATTTAATATACTGTAAGTTAAAAAAAAGGTATGACTTTTTAGAACTTCATACCATTATTTTATGTGAAATGTCTTCTAGATACTTTTCCAATCTGGATCTTAACCTAATTGCAAACACTTAACAAACAAAATGCAGAGGTTTCTCCTTTATGATGTTCTTACATATTTTTGACGATATTGTCAAGGTGTAATGTTAATAAATAAAAGTAGAAATAGCTTGTTGTGTTTTCCTATTGGTTTAACATCGTTCGGAATACAAATTAAATAGACTGTAAATATATGTTTGAGTGTCCTGTTGGTCTAGTGGTTAGTGTACCTGACTGCTAATCCAGAGGTCGTAGGTTCGATTCTCACTTAAGACGATTGTGTGATGAGCACGATTATTTGTTCTGTGTCTGGGTGTAATTTATTTTTAATATGTATGTGTTTAAAAATAATCAGTAGTCTGGTTACCATAGTACGGGCTCTGCCTAGTTTGGTATTAGACTGCTGTGTGTAAGATGTGTGAAATTATTATTATTATTCTATATTCGTTCTGTGTAGGTTGAGCGCGGAGTATCTCCCCTGCCGGAGTCAGGTACACATCGTGTGGTGATCACGTCGGAGGAGCAGTTCAAGATCTTCACGCTGCCATCGCTCAAGCCGCACAACAAGTACAAACTTACGGCGCACGAGGGTGCTAGGGTATGTTATGGGTTTATTTACTCTAATACATTTTACATGAATAAAATGAAAACCTCCTTTCTAAGGAGACCCATGTCCAGCAGTGGCCTATTAAAGGCTGTCGATGTGTGTAATGTGAAACATAAATAAGAAAATTCGGAAGCAACTTTTAAAATTCTTGTGTTTTAGTTGATAACTTTTATTTGTTCTTAGTAGAATCTTTAATTTTGACTTCTATCGTTAAAACAGCGTAGGCTAGTGTTAATAAGATTCTGAGATAAAAGAAAAGACAGAAACATAGTACTAATATTATTCATATTGAAGTGTGAAATGTAAAGCCTTATTATCTTTAATTTTCCAAAAAAATAGATTTGTTTATTATGTAAATTAAATAAAGTACGCTAAGTGTTGTGGGTCCCATTCCCACATAGGACGACACTTTGTGCAATCCACAAATTGTTGTTCTGTGTCTAAGTGTTCTTTGTGTCCGTTTCATATATGTTTGTAAAGTCCCCCGCGACATAGGATATATTCCTAATGCGGGAGTTGTCTTTTTGAAAAGAAAAAAGAAAAAAAGTCAGTTGACTCCGTTGAGTTGTTTTGAACCCAAGTCTGTTCTAATAGCTAAAATAAATTGGTGTTCAGGTACGTCGCACGGCATTCGCGTGGTTCGAGTGCGGGTCTGGCCCGGAGCGGCACCGTGAGTGGTGCCTGCTGTGCCTCACGAACCTGGGCGACTGCCTCGTGCTCAGCCCCGAGCTGCGCCGACAGCTCAACGCCGCCGCCGTGCGCAAGGAGGACATCAAGTTAGTCCAGCACCTTTCTTTACTCACTTTCACTTTCAAAATGAAATTTCTGTATTCCAAATCGTAAATTTTCCTAAGATTATTAGCGCTTTACTTAATATATGACCCTCAAATACAACCACTTTTCTGTAACACTAAGAATTCCATTTCATATTTCAGCTATTAGTACACAGGGGCCTAGTAAGAGTTTATTTCGCATCAATTCGATCGTCACCGCGTTCGACGTTGCGATTGGACCGCACTGAAATCTTCACCGATCGCAACACCAAACGCGGTCACCGTGACAATCGAGTTATTATGGAATAAACTCACACTAGGCCCTCTAATGAATGTACATATGTGTTTTTGATAAAGTTCATTAAATTATAACGTAGCTTCAGTAGAATTACTACAGAGTATGACGTATCATGCACTAGGTTTTCAGTTTAAAACTTTCTTGTTCTCTTTCAGTGGCATTTCAAGTTTATGCTTTTCAAAGCGAGGCGAAGCTCTTTATCTGCACTCTTCGTCTGAGTTACAACGAATCACGCTATCGGCTACAAAGGTTAGTTGGGCAATCAGTTCTCTGTATTGTATCTAGAGTATACAGTATGCTAAAAAAACTCGTCTCGTTATCTTATATTTCATCGTTAATTGATTATATTTTGCAGGTGACGATAGCACAGTGTCATATCATTCTATCACCGTGGGCGGTAGCTCTGCGAGGTGCTACGGAAGATCCTCCGCTAACCAATGGAGAACACAAGGTAATTAATTATTTAGAATGCTAATGCATATTGTTTAAAAATGCTTTTTCCACTAACTTTTAAACTTTTGCGTTCTATGATTTATTATTATGTTCATACACGGGAATCTGACCACTGCTACCTGGTAGAAGCGTCAGACGAAGGTATGTGATACCTTTTACTTCAGGGATTCCCAAACTATTTTTGGGCAAGAGACCCCTTCTCCAGAATGAATTGATACTTCAGACCCCATAGCCAAATTACTTTAAAAATCCTATCTCTAGTTTTTTTCCTATTGATACAAAATACTTACCAATTTAAAAACTTTACCGTTGGTTTGAAAAAATTAGGCATATTAGTCAGTCTTATAACAAGTTGGTACACGTAACACAACTTGTACAGTATCTTCATATCATATTTAAATAATAGGGGTCGATTTTTGGACCTCGCCGACCCCCAAATCTTTTGAAACCCTGTTTTACGTGATCGTGTTAATTCCCTGTATGAATATATTGCTTTTGCTCTTGATGTTTTTTTTTGTTTTGCTTTATGCTTTCATAAGATTTGTAGAACATAGTTTACTACGATATGTCACATAAATCTAAATCAAGTTAGTAAGTCCTATTCGATCAGTGTCTAATACTACATAAATTGATACTTCGTAAACCCACTAAGGTTGCTCCTATGGTTAAAAATATTGTTTAATAGTCCTTATAAAATTAAGTATCTCATAAAACTATGAACAACAATATTCGCTACTATTTTCGAGTATCAAAATATTTGTTAAATTGTTAGAATAAAAATATAAAGTTATTTTGGTAAACATTGACGTATGACGTCACACGTCACAATAAGCACCATTTTGAAAAGAAAACTGATTTGAATTAGAGTTCAGTAACGTTTTTTTATGTAAGAGATATAATGCGACTTTTATTGTATCTTTCACGCGTGACTCTTTAAGTTACAACAGTCCATAAGTGGGGTAGTCACTTACCATCATGTGATCCCCTGTAGAGCTATAAAAAAGTAATTTAAGGTTTAATAAATTAATCTTCACCATTTTAATTATCTTGGTATGCTTCTTATGCATTCATGAAATAAAGGATACTTTATAGGTACTGAACTAACATTAATATTATAATTTTTAGTTACATTAACTATCAGTGACTTAATTTTACAAAATACAACTATATATTCATTACATTAAATGATTACATAATAATTAAAGTTATAACCATATTGTAACATAATATCAAAACGCTTCTCGGCAAGCTGGTACGTGATCGCAATCCTCAATTACTGACCATCCAGGAGGAGGCTTCCGAAACACCTCATGACGTCACAGCTGCGTCGGCGGATATCACCGTAGATTCTGTTCGTGACCATACCAACGCTCCGTCCGACCAACAGGCCCCGCCAGAGCTTAATATTAATTTACAGGTAATCATTCTTATTACATTTTTATGCACATACGAGGCAAATTCGATCAGAGTAATACCAAGATCTTTAGGAGTTTGAACTTTAAAGTGGATCTGTGTTGTTCTGGGATCTAATATTAAAACTTTAATAGTCAACAATTACTTACCTGTTTAGCTAAATAGATCCGCTTCTTTTATCTTACATAGAAATAACTAAAGGACGGAACAGACAAGGAGCTGGGTGGCACGACGACGTGACACGTCAGCGGGTTGTAAAGTACTAGTTAACAAAGAAAACAGTACTCAGCGCCATTTGGCACTTGTACATTTCTACTTCAGGTTGCCTTTCCGCTTTGCTTTAACAATATTATTATACATCATATAAAGAGAAATAGTATATGAAGCAATCTTCAGTCATTTTTTACCACATTCATACCCAAATTTCTAATACAGAACTCACAAGTGAACACGAGTTCAATGGTAGTGAAGACGACCACTCGGACAACGATGAACGACAATGGCCCCGACGGACCCACCACTACAACCACCACAAATTCCATCTCGGAGAACAGTAAGTATCTTACGTCGCTTTGCACAGAGTAAAGTACCAAATCAATAATTTTCTATAGTAGGGATTGCGCCAGGAACTTCTATCATCTATTGATGGGCCTGTTGGTCTAGTGGTTAGTGACCCTGACTGCTAAGCTGGAGGTCGTGGGTTCGATTCCCACCCAGGACAAATATTGTGTGATGAGCACAGTCACTTGTTCTGTGTCATTTATTTATAATATGTATGTATTTAAAAATATATAAGTATGTTTATCAGCAGTCTGGTTACCATAGCACAGGCTCTGCCTAGTTTGGGATCAGACGGCCGTGTGTGAGGTATATTATTATTATCTATAAAACTAATAATAGTTAAAGCTCGACTGGAGACCGTGATACCAAGGCCTCACAGAAAACCAGCGTTAAGCGAGTATTTCATTACTTTGCCGAATGAGTAAGGTTACAAGTGTCGAAACTCCCCTTCCCTGACTCTAGAGCAGGGATTCTCAAAGTGGTCAATATCAACCCCAACGATTTTGCAGAATAAACGAAAACTGGTTTTGGGGGTTAAAAAGATCTAAAAGTCGACCCCATTAATAAAACAAGTTCTTATTTGAAACTTTCAAGATACTGCATTAGTTGCATCACGTGTACCAACTTGTTATAAGAATGCCCAAGAATTTAGGAGGAAGTATCATTGTTGTACTTTAAAAAAACTCAACAAGTCGATAAGCGTGCAGTAATTCGGATACGGGGGTCTGAGGTATTAATTAATTTTAGAAAAGGGATCTCTTGCCTAAAACAGTTTGGGAATCTCTGCTCCAGGGGGAGGAACTCCAAGGGCGGCACCGTTGAGTTGCAGGTGTCGATATGAAGTTGCTTGCCATGACTTGACAGGTCTGCTCGTTTGCACCTTTATACCCTAAAAAAAATAAAAGCCTTTCCGTAGGTATATATTTCATGGTTCAAAATTGAAATTGAAAAGATGAAGATGAAGAGAAACATGAAGATTGTAATGATTTTATAAAAATCTCATTAAAGTCTTTACAAAATTATATGCTTGCATGAAAGTAAAACGCGCTATGAATTGGCTTTCGATTACAGGAAAAAAAAAAATGCAAAGCTTTTGCAATACACAAAATTATATTTTTATTGTAAATGGTTGCAGCAAATTTGTTATTTTTAATGTTGCAAATTTGCAAACTTTCAATCGTGGTCAAGATTTGGTCATGGCGTCAAACACGGATTAGCTAAAAATGAGAAGTATTTTAAAGTTTTTAACTGACGAGCAATTTTTGTCTCCAGCTGGTTTATCAAAAAAAACTACAAATGCTACATTTAAAACATCTATTTTCTCAACCATTGCACAATATATTTTCAAAATTTAATACGCAATAACAAATTGTTCTAATTGTCGCTTCATACACCATTAGGTATTATATGTTTATGTTACATGTTTTCCGTTTGTATGTTTGACGGGCGCTTAATGTTTTTGTTTGTAGTCCTAGAGCACAGTCGCGAGGAAGGAGTCATCACCCGTATCGAGGTACCATATACTTTGCTTTCATAATACCTACATACCTTAACTACACGACGGAAATACCTCAAAAGCATATTATTATTACGTACATTTCTCTCTCAATATATCAATTAGTGGCTCATTTAATTGTTAAAAATAACATCTGAATTACTATTTTTTCATAAATGTTTTACACCTCTGTTTTGTTTAGTTTTGCATTTTTAAATTTCTCTTATTAGTATAGCAAGAAACGTTTTATCGAGTATTACTGTTAATTTGTAAAAAATCATATCTGAACTCGATATATAACTTTTTTTTTTGAGATTTTTCCCTCAATCTTTACCTTATATAGTTTAAACACTTACTGTGCATGACTCTATTCAAGTATTTTTGTATCTTTCTATTAATTACATAGCTTCCTATGCCAAGAGATTGTTTATATTACACCATGTATTACACACAGAGGTTCGAAAATATTCACATTGTTTTATTTTTTTATATACCATTGCGTGGAATACGTGTCGTATGTGAACTATCTTTAAGTGACTAACAACTCTTTAGATCTCCAGGCTCCAGTTTTTTATTTCCAATACTAACAATAACTTGTCTTACAACTAACAAAAAAAAATCGTCTGCAATGTTGTGGCGTCCGCTCGTTGTTTGTTAAAGGGTTCGTTCACAGTTATAGTCAAATTCGAACATAAAAATATATTGTCTACAAGATTTTCTTTGAATTGATGTCTAGTTGAACCCGCAAAAAACTTGCGTTCGCCACGCACTACGCAGAAGAACGTAAGGTGGTACTCATAAGCGGTGTTCACACAGACGGGCACGGTCACAGTGCCGGCCGGCACCGACCCGAAGCTGATTCTCGAGATGTTTGACCGTCAGCGCTCGCCACTGACTGTGCCGGTGCCGCCCCAGGCGACGCCCGCCGAGACCAACTAAACGAGGCTCCGCGTACACCGATTCGGTCCATATCACCCGTCTCAATGCTGGTCCGATATTTCACCCACTTTGAACTGCGTTGTGCCACCGGTATCCACACCACCGAAATTACACTACCCAGATACCGGTGTTTTTATCATTTGACAAATAACTAAATACTTTTAGTTTCTATAAACGGTTCCGTGATGTATTTATTACTATTTTGCACGGAGACTATAAAAATGGAAGTGTAGAGTGAGATTTCCATAGTCAGCTGTGGAATTTCCTTAAAAAAATATGTGTGATAGCATAGATAAGGTATCCAGTACTTGTCAATAGACATTTAGGAGTAGAGTGAATGAACCACTACATTTATATGGTTGCAAGAAACAGATACCTAATAGGCATGTCTGGAAAATGATCACGTCTTGTCTGTAATGCTCACTTTATACAGCCATGTTTATAGCTAGACCACTTAAGCCATTATACCATTTTGTTCTTAAAGTCAATTCGGTTACTCTAGGTATACAAAAATATTCAATTAGAAATAATTTCTTTACGTTTAAATAAATTCCTTCTTGTTTTAAGAATACTTGCATTTTATTATATTCACGTAAAATATTATAAACTGTTTTACTAAGTTTGCATGTTTATATAATTGTGACATGAATATGGGTGTAATTTTCTTTACAATGTTGTGTATTATTTAGCATAAAAAATACGAATATATGCTTGTTCTGTACTTAACAGTATCAAAAGAATTACTATTTAATGAGATTATTTTATATAATATAAAATAAAACAATGTATTATTTTTTTACTTTTAAAAAGTTTTGTTAGTTAATAATGCAATTGTTCAATATTGCTATCTTGATGAAAACATAGTATTGACGCGACCATTATGTTAATTTGCAAAAGTTTGTTTAGTACAAAATACGGACGCCATAGCAACGGTTGTTGTAACAGCAATACTACAATATAATTGTGGATTGTTTAAAATAATTTGTAGTTAAGTGAACAATGTGAAATTAATATTCGAATTAAGCTTGTTAAGTTAATATTTCGTACATTCGGAGTGAATGTCGTTGTGCCTATTTATTTCTTTTTTTATTATAATAAAGATTGTATCTAGGTAATTAGAATTATACCTTTTGACAATTAGTAATGACTAGAATATATTTTATTATGAATAAATAGCATTTAGAATTCCACGTCAAAGTTGGAATAAATGTTTTTATTGCCAATTTTTTAAATAATATAATGAAAACTTGTTGTATTACTTTGCAGTGTATCACTTGAATTGTATATTCAGTAAATATTATTTTTAATAAATTATAATGTTGTACGAATGGAAAGTTTTATGCAATATTTTTTTAGCTTTTTAATACTTTTTATTTTAGTTTATTTAACCGTTTCCAAGATAGCTTAATTGGATACTCTGTTTTAGTTAAAGATGGCAGCTAATATGAGGAAATATTTAAGCACTTCTTACTACACATCACAATTCGTGATATAAGGGGATTGATTTATTGTTTTAGACATATTTTATTCATAGATGTAAGTTAAATGTGCCTGTCTTTTTTTAGTAACCATCAGCCCCTTGGGCGTAACCAAAATATGAAACATGTACGGCGAGAAGCGTTAAGGGTACTCGCATGACGTCCTAAATGCTTCTATTTATATAATATACAATTTTTCTCCTTATACTGTGCATTTTAAAAATTTGATACGAAATTATCAATTTGTATCCAACATTCTTACAAGAAAATAAAAACTAAGACTAAATATTGTGTATTTTATTTGGCATGAGTGTTAATTTTCCCCTAAACGATTATTTATATGTTTGGAATACTACATACTTGTGTGCGAAACAAGTATACAGCCTTCCTGATTTTAAACATAAAATACTTCAGTAGTATAGTGTTAGGCAACATTATTATTAAAGAAAAACTTAAAAACTTAAACCTCTTAAATTAAAGAAAAACTTAAAATGTATGTAACTGTATACTATTCATCACCACTGCCACCAACAGTCTTTAATGGTCCCCTGCTGGACATAGGCCTCTCTTTAGAAAGGAGGTTTTGGCCTAATATACCACGCTAGCCAGACGGGTTGGTATAGGGTTTGTTTCAAGTTTACCGTCTCTTTGCAGTGCGGTTGTCTTGCCTAGTTATTTCTCTTGGTCGACTCTTAAAACACCCACGGGATGAATAGGGGTGAACACTCCGTATTCTTAATCCATCACCACACCACACCGAGCTTATTGAGCGACAGCAGAGGGGAGCTTAATCTAACTCCGCATTTCAGTCTGTACTCGCCCGACAGAGTACCGACCCGTCTTACTCGGTTATTTTGTTTAGAGTACCAATATTTGAAGAGGGAGGTGTACTTGGCCAGCACACCCGCATCCCTCAAATTGTCCCACAATATATCTTAGGTAACCAAATCAAAAGCTTTTGACAAGTCGAAGAAACACGCATATACCGGCGGCCTCCACGCTGTGTAGTAGTAGTACCCGACAGTTCTAATAATGTTAGCCACATTCTTTGTAAATGTCTTTATAATCATTGTAGACTAGCTGACCAGATAACTTTGTTCCGCCTTAGAGGTAATAAATGAGCAGATATTGTTTTTTTAAATATAAAAAAACAAGTATTTTGATTATTCTTTATGGGTAATGTATTTTGGTCAAATAAATAAAGTAATAGTAAAAACCAAATCGGTTCAGCCGTTCTTGGGTTATAAACAGTGGAACTAACACGACTTTCTTTTATATATATAGATGTCCTATAGATCACAATGAACTCTTAATAGTAAGTTAAATAGATAAATATATTTAAGAAGTACAATATTCTATCGATGTACGTATATCGTCATAATCATAATTGTCACTGATAATGTGTCGTCAAAAAGCAAGACGTAATCTTTGACTATACGATACGTACTTTGACTTTGACAATGACAAGTTGTCAAAGTTGAGAGCGAATGAAACGCCTGAACCAATTTTATTGTTTTCTTTTAAATTGTTTAATTTAGATAGTTATGACTGCCTGTAGGATATGCCTTAGTGAAAAACCTGACAAAGATATATTAGAGTTACAAGTTAACGAAAAGAGAGATGTGAAGTCATTTGCCGAAATCATCATGTTTTGTTTAGACATACAGGTAAACATCTTTGTTTTGTTTTTGTTTGATGGAAGAGGGGACAAACGAGCAGATAGGCCCCTGATGAAAAGCGTCTACCGCCGCGCTTGAACGCCTGCTATTCAGGAGTCACAAGCGCGTTGCCGGCGTTTTAGGAAGAAGTACGCTCTTTTCTTGCAGGTCGTATCTAGTTTGTACTTCGAAAATGTTTTACAAAACTATATATATTATTCAGACGTTATTTTACATTATATTAAAATGTTTCGCTGCAGGTAGAACAAGACTCAAAAATTAGTACAAAACTTTGTTTAAAATGCCACAAAAAGATTTTAACTTTTTACAAGTTTAAATCTTTAGCTCTAAATAGCGACGCATATTTGAGGTCAGTGGAAATAAAAAATGAGATATATCTTAAAGAGGATGAAATCAAAATAGAATCTGAAGAGTTATCTATAGGTGGTGATGCAGATGAACTTAAGCATGAATTAAACGATGACATTTGTTTGAAAAGAGAATGTCCTGAGAATGACTTTAATTCTGCATCAGAAGATGAGTTGCTCAGTGTAATTAAGAAGATTAAATATGAATATGTGGAGGAAGTTAAAGAGAATGGTATGTATAAACGACAATATGTGTAGTGCCTATAAAGGTTATGTAGCTCGTGAGGTAATAGATATATATCACTAACACCGATAAAATGTATCAATCACACACTAGCTCCGAATATATTAGTAACTCAGTTCTAACTTACTAGATCTTTAGTTTAATGTGTTGGCACCACTCTGGTTCATTAGCAAATGAGACTACAGTAAAATGAGTGTGATGGACGATAGTTAAGTTCACTGTAATTTTGTTGCCATAGGAAAAATGTGTATTATTTTTATAGTCGCAAAGTACTAGACATATGTATTATTTGAGAGTGAATTTGTGCTTGTTTTATTATTACATAAATCGCCACTGGCTAAACTCCTAAGCCTGCCAAATGTGAAGAAAAATCAATATAATATGGATGATTTCTGATTTACAAACAAATAATAATAATATAATAAGTTTATTGCATAAAGTAAATACTACAGATCTTACGTGCTAGTCTTATTCGCTAAATAAAAACGTAAGAAAAAATATATTCTAATTTTATTACTTGTTTTTTTTTATAAGCCTGTTAATAATTACATAATTTCATGCTTATGAATAATTATTCTGCACAGATAAATTACTGCACAGATGGTGTAGTGGTTTAGACCGTCACCTTGCCGCTCTCTACTATGCTAAGTGTTGTAGGATCTAACCCTACATGGGACAATACTTTGTGTGATCCACAATTTATTTTTTCGAGTCTGGATATTTCTTGTGTCCCTTTCATGTATGTTTGTGAAGTCCCCTGTGACACAAGATATATTCCTATTGGTGGTAGTTGTCTTTTAAAGAGAAAGTTGAAGAAGTAATTCTATTATAGAAAAAGCTTAAAAGTGAAGTTCCAAGAACTTAATTTAGGTTAATATGACAGTAAAGGTAAGGTTTGTATGAACAAGAGAGGTTTGAAATGATGGCTGCTGCAGAGCTAAACTATCTAGACGAAGAAATGAATCAGTTGAGAGACCCATCCTTATAAATTGAATCACTTGCTAAATGAACTAGAAGCTTGATGGGTGATATATATCTTTAGAGTGTAGTGTAATTATCTATCTTTTCAGCTCAGTGATACATTTTGTGCATCACCAGTTTCAATTCTACTTTGGACAGGACAATTTATGGTTTTTCATGTGATAAATATAATTCTAAACAAAACTTTTTAATCCAGTTCGTATTTTTTTTTACCATATCACTGTCTCTTCAGCTTTTTATCCTATTTGTAGAATAAACAATTTCTTCAGAAATGAAATTGTTTATTCTGCAAATAATGTTACGAGAATACTTTTGCATGTCAAACTTTTTTAGAGCTGATGAGTTCGGCTTTTTCTAACTGAACTAGCCCTGAGATGAAAGGATCAAACAGATTCAGGGATTCTTTTAAAGTCCAGACAATCTTCTTCAAGTGCAAATACATATATCTCTTAGTAAAAAAGCATAATAATTTATTAAATTTGGAGTAATAACTATTATAATTGGGTAAAAGACAAATTTCTAAGAAATTATAAATTATAGTCAGGTATTTAGATCATTGAACAACCCACATGAATTAAGCATTCAACAGCTGACCTATCACAGTTGTAGGATGATGTGGGTAGCAAAGCTGCAGTTATACATACTACATTTGTGTGTGTTACCTGTAGAATCTAAATTGAAAAAACATTATCTTCCAGAACCAAAAATTAGAAGAAGAAAACGCACTAAGGTTAATTCTAATGTGGCATCAAGCTCAAAACAGATGTGTGAGGAATGTGGGAAAACTGTATCAGATTTAAAGGCGCATTCTTATTTACACCTGCCCATGTCAGAACGGAAACGAATCAAATGCCATGTTTGTGATAAGATGTTTTCTAGTCACAGTGCAAGATATAAACATAATAAAATAAAGCATTTAGGAGTAAAGCAAATATGTACCATCTGTAATAAAGGTAAGTATACGATATAGGGTCACCAAGTTTTTAAAGATATGTTTGTTTTCATACTTAAAGTTAATTAAGTTTTATTGTATCATGAAATAACGTGGTAACTCATCTGTAAATAGAATATTCAAGTAAATTAATAATTAAGAAATATGTATGGATTTATACGCAACCAAGAATGAACTTTATTACCTAGATGTTGAAGTCGCTATTTATTTGGCTCTCTTTAATAAGTACGTACTTTCTGTTGCCAGTAGTTTAACTTACATTCATTGACCCTTCTTCGCTAGCAAGTGCAGCGTAATGTAACATAGCCTTTTAGCTTTTCTCATAAAAATAATTCTAACTCAATACAAACCAACTCTCAAACTATTATTATACTGGTTGCCCCGACAGTCTTGGCTATCAAAATTACTAGCCTGTTGCAGAATTCGAATAACAGAAATAAAAAAGTTTGAAAAAATAAGTACTTTCACTGATTGCATTCAAAACGGCAATTTCATAGGTAAAGACCTATTATTTACCTTTGGTATGCGGGAGCGTGCCCCGCGTAAAGTACGTGGTGTGCGAGAGATTTAATATCCATACAGTCGAATAAACTTGAAGGCATACCAAATATAATACATACGCGCTTTTGTTTTGTATTGGTTGACTTAAAGTATTTGACAGCCAAGGACAGGTGTTTAAATTGACTCTGTGGTTTGTATGAGAAAAGAAAAGTATTGTTTTTACTATTTTTCCTCACAATTTATAGGTTTTTTTTGCATAAGAGCCTTCCTCGTGCCACCGTTCACGAGTTTTGCCCTTAATAACACAATTTGCGACTTATTTTATCTAGAGTAGTATGATATAGATAGTATTAATATGTTTTTTTTGATAAATCTTTTCAGCTGTAACCCATTTAAGGCAACACAATCGTGTGGTGCATGATAGAGAATCGTTACCCTTGGAGTGTGTGGAGTGCGGGCGCCGTTTTATTAGTAAGTCGAACTTGGACTTACACATGAGGACACATACCAAAGACCGACCCTTCGGCTGCGATCTCTGTGATAAGAAGTTTGCAACGAAAGGCCTAGTGCATCAACATATGTGAGTGTTTTATTTTTATCTAAAATATAAATATCTCGTGTCACGGTGTTTGTGGTCGCAATCCGCCGAAACGGCTTGACTGATTTTAGTGAACTTTTGTAAATTTAGTAGGTATGAGAATAGTTCGTAAAGTATTTTCACCCTCCTACTCCGTATTTTTAATGGCGACTTTCGAGTTATACTTTCTTTCGATTCCTTTGATAATTTATATGGCAGAACAATGGCAGAACCTCGATCCCTACATCCGTTTCTTGTCGTCTAATCACGACATAAATCTTGGATCAACAAATAATTTGCTCCTCTTGTATCCCTCCCACAACTTCGACTTCATGAACTCCTCGTTCTTTGTGCAAGTAGTACTGCTCAGGAATGCGCTCCCAATCGAAATCAGGATCTCCACAAACCGTTTCGCATTTAAAAGGAATGTACGTAATTACCTTCTCGACGAGATGGCGGAAGTACGTTAACCAATAGTACACCTTCTTAAATTCAAGTATTCACAGTGTATACGAACATAAAGGATATGTATTTAAATGTATAATTATTTATATATATGTGTAATTATATTATATTATAGTTATATAATATATATGTGTTATTGTATAATGTATGTAAATTTTGTTTAGTTTTATATGCTTATTGATAAAAAATATTTAGATTTCTACATCACCTAAAGGTTGGCTGGTAGAGAATGCGCAGGGCATTAAGTCCGCCGATGTACATAAGTGTATGAAGATATAAAATAAATAAATAAAAATACTGTACATGTACATAGTTATACATATAATATAATATTATAAGCTTATGTACACCACATAGTCAATGTCAAAATATTTTTTATCATGAATTATATATTATTATTATTAAAATAATATTCTTCTTCATGTTGCAGACGATCTGTACACGACAAAGAAAAATCACACCTATGTCAACTATGTTCTAAGAGTTTCTTCAAGAAATATCATCTACATGTGCACTTAAAGTAAGTTGACTTTTTATTAAGGATTTGAATTTCAAATGTTTGTTCAATTTGTAGAATTCTGGGTGTTCTGGGAATTCTGGGAATTCTGGGTGAGGGTTTTTCTGAGTTTAAAAATGGCCTAAGTTACTCCTTATATAGACAGTTACATGGTAGTAAAATATTATCAAAATCGGTCCAGCCATTTTGATGATTAGCCGGAGCAAACAGACAGACAGACAAAAATATTCAAACTGGTTTTTAGATATAGGTATCGAGCAAATAACCGTGTGAGCATGAAAAAAAAACAATTATTTTGACATTACAGACACTTCAATTTTATTTATTTGTATATGTATATACGGCTTTACTCACGGTGTTGGGAATCACTACATATTATCGAGTCCACCTAATACAGAACAATCGTGATCATTATACGATTATTTTTCCAAGGTGGGAATCGAACCCACAACCTCTGGCTCAGTTGTTAGGAAGAGCTACCACTAGACCAACACCGCTTAGAGTAGTTGGGTTTGAATCGTTTTACATTGCCTTCAGTGGGGAAACACAGGCTCACTGACATACTAACAGTACTTGTGAAAAATACTTGAATGCGAAAAATAAATGTTTGATATTCTCATATAAATTAATCGATTCGGGTAAAATAAGTAAAATGCGATGAAAATTGCCGTTCTTTTTTATTTTAAAGTTACATTAGTAATGAATGATTTGATTGCAGTAAGTTGAGACGTCATTCTTTGATACGTTTACTGAAAGATACCGAAAGCCGAGTGCAAGTTTATTTCACATCGACTCGCTTTCGACGGCGAGAGCGTTTAGCGTTGCGATTGGTGGAGATTTCAGTGCTGGCCAATAGTAGCGCTGAACGCGGTCACCGTGACGATCGAGTACAAGTGAAATAAACTCGCACTTGTCCCTCTGATAATAATATTAAGTGTAATCTTGATAGTCAATGATAATCTTTATAGTAAATATTTTTTCACACAGGAGTCATTCTAAAGAAAAGACGTACGAGTGTCCTGACTGTGGCAAGTTTTACAAGACAGTTGCGACGCTGAAGAGTCATCGCGAGACACACGGTGACGTCCGAAACTTTGGTTGTCAGATATGTACACAGACCTTTATGAAGAAAGAGTGAGTGCACTTAACTATTTAATAAACTCACGCACCTCACACACGGTTGTCTGATCCCAAACTAGGCAGAGCATGTACTATGGTAAGGATCATACGCTAAAGGTTAAACAAGCATAGCGTCAAAACCCACAAAAAGTCCTACACGCAACAAGTCAAACATGTCTAATACGCACAGTTAAAGAACAAGACAATAAAATCAAAGACAAAATTATATTGAATGATTTTACTTGACTAAAAGTTATAATATAAAAGCAGGCTGCCTCGTGGTGCAGTGGTAGCGTAATAGACTGCTGTGTATTTTATCAGTCAATCTAGCTTTCATAGTACAAGCTCTGCTTAGTTTGAAACTAGATGGCGTTGTTTGTTTACGTACGAAAATTACGTACATTTACGAGTTTGACATTTCACGTTTCTGACAATATACGTGTTTGACAATTTGCGAAAACTTACATCCTCTTGTCATTTTGAGTCTTTGACTCAATGCGTATTTGACCAATAACCTATGATCTTGCGTTTGGGCAAGACTAATAGGTACCATTTACCGACAGCTACCTGATGGCGCACATGCTGTCCCACACGAAGGAGAAGCGCTACTCGTGCCAGTATTGCGGTGTCAAGTTCCACCGATCCGACCACCGCAAACGACACGAGTACACGGCCCACCAGAAGCATCTTCTTGCCTCCACCACGTCATCCACGTGACACTAATATTAGTCACCCACCACGTATAAAAGCAATAAACTTTCAATCCGGACTATAAAAATGCAATATTTAGCTCGTATCGTATCATTTCAAATCATTACATGATAACTACTATTTATATTACAAAACTTAGCTGTATAGGCGGTGGTCCCTTTGCCTTTTTTTAATCTTGCCAGATGATAAAATTATTTGGATTGACATTTAACATGTCATGTAACATTGAAAATATACGACAAAAAGTACCAATACTCTTAAGCATATGAGTATGAAACCCTTTAATTCGATACTGTGTTCCTGTCGGTATTACAGGGATATGTTGCATTGGAATGGACGTAGTTATAAATAAGAAATATCGTTATTTTAAGTTCCATAAATTACTCGTTAAAAATTGGTTACCTACTGATTTAATTACAATAAAAATAGCACTATTCTGGATAAATTAGCACCGCTTCGGTTTTGTCACGCCTTGAGTGTTGCTGCTGTTTATTGAAAGTGAAAACTTCTTTAGGCGCGTTGGGTATTTTCGAACAATTATTCAACTATTCAACTCGCGACACTGTTACCGTTACCGACACCTCTGTATATAAGTATCTACAAATATTGGCCCCGTTTACACGAGAGTTGAGTCTGGGTTGAAAAACATTGATAATATACCTAAATATAATATAAACATATATTGTGTATATACGTACAACATAGATATATATTGATATCGGAACTTTTCGAATCGAAAAAACTAAAATTTCTTTTGTTAAAATCAAAATGTTACAATTTTCAAGTTTTCACTTTTGTCGGCACTCCCGGAGTGCCACTGTTTTTTTTTAAATAGAAAAGTGAAATAAAACTCGTTAAATGCGTGAAGAGGCAACTGACAGACGGACAGACAGACACAATTTCGCATTTATAATATTGGTATGGATAAATCGGCAATAAAACGTAAGTTATGTCAGAAAGCCTATTATTCAATTGTATATTACATAGAAGACAAGAATGCTTGGGATTAATTTAGCGCAGGCTATTTCTTAAGTGGAAATGTTATGTGGGCTAGTGTGTTTTTATTATTTCATAAAATATTTAAAAATGTTTGGAGCTGTGTTATCATAGCCCCAGTAGAAATACTTCAGAGCATGACGTATTATGCACGAGGGTTTCACGTACGTATATTAATATTTTATCCACGCTATTTCGTCACTGCCATAATTATGTGTATCGACCTAAAGGGGCCAAAATAATAATACTATATCTAACAGGTCAGTAAAATGATACGAATGACTTTTAGGCGATCTCAATGTTTTATTGCTGTAATCTTAAAAGTAAGTACAATACCCATCTAAATATTTGGAGACTACAGATGTATATAGTTTTGTAAGTTTTATGGTGCTATTGTAGTTGATGCTATAAACATTTTACTTTTAATAAATTCAGAGCGAGTGAGTGCCAAGGACTATATGTAAATTGATGTTGGGAAACCCTCACATGTTCTCGCACAAAGAATAAAATAGTTGTTTCCATCTTTTTTTATATTATTCAGGGTGTAGTCACGGTCTGTTCGCGTATAATCAATTTCTTTTGCTGTTTTTTCCTTAAGTACATACTATATTCTGAAATTTGTGGTGATTTAGCGAAAATGTCAATAGATACTTTTTACTTCCACGGTTTTGCCTGGAAATCTTGGCTACGCCCTTGGATATTAGGGACACATTATATTGTAAATATGCGACTTGTGAGTTATAGATGCTGTTGTTAGGTTCGTAAAAATGTGTTCAGTTATTTGTGGTTTGTTGGGTTGAAATTATGGCCCAAAAGTTACAGTATAATATGTTAGAAAACCTATTTGTTAAGTTTTAAAAATAATTACAAATGAGTTTTTTGTCAAAATATTGTTTTATTATTCCCAATATATACCAAATATTACAAATCCAAATTCGTATTACTGTATAGTATTACGTTATCTAAAAAAGAACTTTGCAGTAGGTACTCGACTAGGGGCCATGCATAAACTACGTCACATGTTATAACTACTTTTACACGAATGAACCCGCTGGAAAATCTTAATAACCTTAATTAGCACTGTACAGTACTATACTATATACAACAGGCAATGAAATCATCTCATCCGAATAAAGTTACTTATTAAGGGCACAGAGGCTTTTCAGCAATATTCTCAGATTTCTCCAACTCTTCCCTCAATTCGGCTTCAAACTCTCCATTCTCAACACAATCTCCACCGTGTTCGGTCAACCTTGGGGAGTTGGATGGCGAGTAGATGTCCAACGTATTGTGGAGGGTTTGAAACTTGTGCGTCAGATGAGGGTACTCTTTCTTCAAAGTGTCTACTATGAATTTCAGAGTCTCGTTTAAAGTCCTCGCTTGGTTGTATTCTTCTAGAACAACATTCTTCGGCTTTCGAACTCTGACTGACTGACGTTTGACAGCAGTTGACAGTTCGCTGCCAAGACGCTGGCTGCGTACTACGCGCTCGAGAAGCTACAACAGAATTGTTTAATAAATTACTGCTTCATTAGATTATTGTATCTGGTTGACGGATTTCGGACAATGTTAACGTACCCATTGTTTCATTGTATCGGTCTCCTGGCACTCGCGTATTAAATCGGCCACATGATGTTCTAACTGCATATTCATGGTGCTGGTTTCTACCACCTCGCGATCTAGACGCTCCTGTTCCTTTTGAAGATGTTCCATTTGACTTTTAGCCGCTGCCAGATCCTGTCCGAAAACAAACAAAAAATATCACATATAAATAAACAAGCCGTGGATAAATTCTCAACTGGGTTACGTATTGCTTTATGGTATCTAGTGAAAACATCTCATCGGGATACACAAAGTACATTGGACGACCTGTTGAACGTCAAGGTCAACCTATGCTGCGCAGGACCGGTTGCTGTGGCAATCCTTGGAGGAAGCTTATATCCGGCAGTTGGCCTATGTCCCCTGAGATGATGATGATGTTTTTGGGAGATGAAGTTCAAAAATAAACTAGTGAAAATTACTAACTAGTCACTAGATAGCTAAGAGTTTCACGTCTGCTCTGCGTGCCTGCTCTAGTCCCAATCAGTAAAGATTTACGACAAACATCTAGGTTCTGGACCCAACCTGTAACTTTGACCCAACAATTGGAAGAAACATGAGAAAAATAGCGCACAGATTCATAGTGACTTAATAAAAATATTTATAATTAATAAAAATACCTTAGTAACCCGAGCAACATCGGCTTTCGCAAGCCTGAGCTTGTGGTGGTAAGCAGACTGAGAGGTGCCGTGGCCGCCGTGGGCTTTCTCCACAGCGGCAGCCGCTCTCGTCTTGTCCATTGCCGTGTCGCGACGTGTAACGTAGAGAGCCAGATCGTCAGCCAACTTTTCGCTTGTACGGCGCAGTTGCTCACGACGTACCTGGTGTTCCCATATGTTTTTTTGTTACTAAACTATTATAGGTTAATGTGACGTCATACCGAATACTGCAATAGTGGATTTAGTGGTTTTAGTGGATTTAGACTGCACGGATGGCGTAGTGGTCTAAGCGGTCGCCACGCTGCTTCCTACTACGTCGAGTGTTGTGGGTTCAAACCCCACACGGGACGACACTTTGTGTTATCCACAAATTGTTGTTCTGAGTCTGGGTGTTCTTTGTGTTCGTTTGTAAAGTACCCCGCGACACAGAATGTATTCCTAATGCGGGAGTTGTCTATTTAAAAACAAAATAAGAAATAAGACCATAATTCTGAGTCGAAAACCATTAGAATTTTCTGCAGGAAAATTAAACGTTTAATGCAATAAGGTGTCAAAGGTTAAGGCCATTCCTAGTAGGCCTTCGTATAAAAGTAATAACTACATTGTATTCCTTACAAACAGTCTACGCACACTAACACAAGCTGGCGGCCGGGGAAGGGGCCCCGCGCGCTTTGGCTGTTTCATTATTATATATTGCAGTTTTTGACCGTTTGCGGTATTTATTAAAAAAAATTGATAAAATGTTTTGTGTACTCATTCTGATATAATTTTTAACCATAGAATAAAAATTAAATTGAAATTTTCGACCGGACATTCCAATGATTTTCGACTCAGAATGATGGTCTGAATACACTTTCAGTATTTGTTGCGACGTCCCTTACACCCTGTATAGAAAAATTCAACTGTATTTGTAGGCAACAAATACATTTGTTGACGGGCCGGTTGTTCTAGTGGTTAGAGAACCTAACTGCTAGATTGTGAGCTTGTGGCTTCGATTCCCACCCAGGATAAATGATTGTGTGATGGTAAGTTGTTCTGTCTAGGTGTAACTTATCCATAATATGTATGTATTCAGAAATATATATATATATATATATAGATAAATATACTTTATCAGTACTCTGTTTACCATTGTATCTATCTATCTAGGCTATCTGCTTTGTTTGGGATCAGTATTGTATCGTATGTGAGATCTGCGAAGTTATTATTCATTTTACTATTATTAGTTATTTATATATTTTTCTTAAGTCTATAAGGTTAGAATTACTTTTAATATGCTAATGAGCTTTGCTAAAAAAATTGCTGTAACGACAGCACAGAATATAAACAGGATCTGTCTGGAACACCGGTTACACACAGATACTTCGACGCCGACTTTTTAAAAATTACATTTACCTCCATTCTATGGATTTCAGCTCTCATTTGCCCTATCTCGCCCGCTGCAGACTTAGCATTACTTATATTCCTCTTCAATTCCACAGCCAATATACCCTTCCTCTGCCATATAAGCGCTTCCCTCTGAACTCTGTCCAGGTCTTGTGTAAGATTCATTTTTTCTTTGTCTAATTCCTCAATATCATCTTCCAGTTGAATTATTTCACTTTCTGCATCCTTTGAAAACAAAATAACAATTAACTTTAGATATTCCGAGTGTGATATGCGTGCCATGACGACGGTGGTAACTATTACACCTAAAAAAACTGTCTGTTACACAAAATAGGACCTGTATCAATACTTTCATTTTCAATGTTACCCAACTCTCTTTGTGTGCGGTCCTTGAGTAAAACTTCAAGCATCACTAACTTACGTGCAGGTGTAGGAATGCCTGAAATGGTCTAAGTACCGTTACATATCATAACTAAAAAAATACTCACCTTTAGATTAGCAGCATACTCATGCGTCATGGCCAGATTAGTTTTTTGTGCATTTTCATTACGCTCAAACGCGTCCCTGCGCGTGCGCTCCAGCACCTCGAGGCGGCCGCGCAACTCACGCAGGGAACGTTCGACGCGCGCGCGCTCCATTAGCACAGTCTCACATTCAGCTTGCGTGTGCACAATCTTTTGTTCGCAAATTTGGATTTCTATTATTAAGGAGAAGTAAAAGCACGTTTACAATTATATTTTAGTAGTATCTTTACCAACAACTAAAATTATAAAAAATAACCTAATTTGTCAAACAAGTGTCTTACGCTTATTGACGAGGTTGATGTCAGAAACCATCTTATGATGCTGTTCCGTAAGTTTGACGACGTGTCCTTGCAGTCGCAGCCACTCGTGCTGCATGGTCTCTGTGCGCTCGCGGTAGCTCTTGACCTGATTCTCTAATTCGTCAATACGACGCTCTTGCGGCGATTTCATCTGGAATGGTACAAAATGTGACGAATAGAATATAATACGTCAAAGAGCTGGTTAATGACCTGCTTTTGACGTAATTTTCCTGAAGAAGGATCTCCGTTAAAAGAGTCGAAGTGTAAAATGATATATTGAAAATGTTTCATCACATCACACATCAAATGAAATGTGTTTAACTATTGAGAACACTAATTTAATCTTATTCTTTCAAAGAAACTTATTTTCAACAGAACAGTATACTTCTACGTTTATAGCAGGCCAAAACCTCCTTTCTACGGAGAGGCCTAGTAAAGGCTGTTGATGATGATGATGAGTTTTCATATTTTTTAACAGGTATCTGATTCCATTCTTTTAAAATTTGAATGAAAAATATGGTGGAATTGGAGAAAAAGGCAGTAGAAATTGTTAAAAAGTTACGGTTACTAATAGGTGTATTATTACAAATTATAAGATTATTCAAACAAAAAAGGAAAATGAAACTCCTGCTACAAACTTACATCAAATAGCTCCTTTAAAGCATTAAATTTCTTCGTAACTATATCCAGTTCTCGTTGTTTCCTAGTAAGTACGAGCACCTTTTGGTCATAGTCCTCTTGAAGGTCATCGATCTCCTTTTCCCTGTCTTTAACCTTCGCTAACTTTTCTTCCATCAGGAGGTTATTCTTCGCTTGGCGATTGCGGTACACCTCAATGTCTAGCATTACTTTGGCGTGTTGATTTTCCATCGTCATCAACGCTAATTCCTAAAAAAGATGTAAACAGAAACACACCTTGTTTCTAATTTCAATAGTAATTTCATAGGTACATTATACAGATGTTATAGTTTTCAGTATTTAGTCCGGCATGTCCCGCCCATTGAGCATACAAAAGATAAAATTATTAGAATATACGTAGGTAGGTACATACATTAAATAATAAAATTTGTTATGTCAATATGGATCACATTTTCACAAAATTCGTAAACAGGCTATAATAATGTAGATATACAATAACAAAAGTAGAGAACACTGAACACATAATGACTGGGGTATAGAGTAACAGAGTAGAGACCTGTCGGTCATGTAATCTTTAACTGTATAATAACATTTATTTTTCAACAAGTCATGTAGTCTTTTTTAACATAGTTATTTCTTTAACCGTCCTGATATCTCTCGGAATATTGTTATATAGGTACGCGAAGCTGTTTTGTTGCTTAACCAAACTATACTTTCTACATTTAAATAAAAGATATGCCGCAGCTACACTTTGTTATATTTTAAATAGTAGCTTTAACAGAAATAGTAGTTAACCATCAAATCAAATTAGTCGCTTGTTAGTACACATCGAAACGATCGCTCGAATTAGGTTGAAAGTTTGTATGAAAAATAAGTTATGACGTCATCCGTAGCTATTGAAAAAAAAAAATACTTTTATTACTTAGTCCACAAATTATAAAAATTCTAGTGGTTAGCGATCCTGACTGGCTTAGCACCAGAGAACGTAGCCCAGGACGATTATTATGTTATAAACGAGATCATATCATTTGTATCTAGGTGTGATTTATCTACAATATTATATATATATAAAGGTATGTTTATTTAGAAATATGTACCCGGTTGACAGCAATAGGCACTATGAAATTGGAACTATAATTATATTCGCCAAAATGTGGGCGTTTAACAAGTCTGTCTACCCCATTAGGTCTGTAGACATGAATTGTCAATGTAAGACCAAAACGCTTACCTGTTTCTTTGACATTTCTCTCATCTTCTTTATACCATTCGCCATGGACTCGACCGCCTTGTCGTTGAGCAAACAATCTTGCATGTTCGCCAATATTTCATTTTCTAACTTCATCTTCAACTCTGTCTTCCGTTGCAATTCTTTTTCCGTACTCTTAAGTATGTTCGTCTTTGCATTGTTTTCCTAAAACATGAGAAATGAGAACTTATGTTGAATTAAATAAATTCACGTTTTTATGGAAAATATCATGAAATTGGGACTTCATTATTGTAATAAGTAAGTAGTACCTTTTGGTTACCAGACATTTCATCAGAATTCTACTAGACTGTTTCATGACTACGACTGACGCGTGATTTACAATATTCTTTAAAATGATTCGTGTAAATACATTTAATGTTTAATGCTTACCGATTTTATCATTTCCCGATCTCTGTCCGTCATTTCAATGGATTCCTCCAACTCAGCTATGTTTGTTTCCAAGGTTACTTTTTTTATGTCTTCATTTTGCACTATGTACAACAAAAGTAGTTCTGAATACAAATGCAGCTTTATAAACAGTGACTTATACAACATCACTTAAAGTGGTTATGAAACACATAAGCTAAAAAAGCTTGCATGCAATGCCATGTAGCTTCGTGCACGGAATCCGTGCTGTTCATACATAGAAGAAGCTAGACGCAGTGTGTTGCTGGAACAAATCCATTTTCGATCTTCTGAAAACGAGCCGAGGCTCTCTAAAATTAGCTATCAACCATGCTCAGAACAATAGTAATTCAGTTCGAAAACATCCAGACAATATCGAAATACAAGTGGATTAGAAACAAAACCCAGAGCAATTCTTGTTGGGAGTTTTGACACTGGTTGGTCAGAATAGTAAGTAAAGACATTCCTTTAACTGCTGCTCTAAGACAAGCTGTAAACAGGATGGAATACAGAAAGGAACAGAACAGAAAGGAACTACTCCACCACTGCTTATCAAGACCAGCACTATCTTGCAATGGTAATGCAGAAAACGAATGCTAGAAAAAACAATACTATGCAGATTTCCGTTTAAATTGTAAGATAGTCGTTGTCAAACAGCTGTAGTTTGCTGTTGCATGGGATTTATCTCTCGATACGAAGTTTGTTAACGAACGTGTACACCGTGCACAAAAATGGCGCACGAAAGCAACAGCATATTTGGAATAAGTGCCTACTTCATGTGTACATGTAGAAGTGTAGGAAACTATAACTTTTAAACAAAATACCCTATCTTTTTTTTCCGTTCGGAAATCCCCTCGCATACCACATGTCGGTGGCATGTCGGACTCGAACCGACTAAAACCGCACGCCGTCTCGGGTACTAATAGCCGGGGAACCAGGTATACCCTAGAAAGGAAGTCCCTGGTGCCCCGACATACCTCGGGTCATCTACAGACGAGTAGACGACACCACCCGTGTAGGAACCCCATGTTCCCTGTGCTCCCTGGAAGCGAGCGCGCTTCGCAACGCGCTTGCCGCCACCCCGGCCTGCTTCTGCTAGGGTGACAGATGGCCTCACCTGTCACCCCCAGGCCTGCGCTTATGGAGGACGGAGGTCGTTCTGCGACCTCCGGCGCCTGAGTCGCCTGCGGTACCTGGCCCGTTCCCGGGCCTGGCGGGCTGGGAGAGTCCTAAACCTCTCCCGGTCCCGCTCCGCCGTCTCCTTCGCGAGCATAACTTGTTAAAGTTAAAAATTACAGTGGTCCAGTATATTTTGACCTGTCATAATTTAAAAGTTTATAGAAACAATGAGAGCTCAAGTCATTATAGTCAATCAAACAGTTCAAAGGATCGAAATTCGACTGCCAGACGATCTCTAATACTTTTATTATACTCAACTCACCTTGTTTGCCAGCATGTTCAATATCATACAGGAGTTTGTCCTTGTTCATGGCGAGATGCCTGCCCTCGTTCATCTCCTCATTCACAACTTTTTTCGTAATTTCCAAGTTATTAATCAAAGTGCGGTAGTTTTCTTGTAGCGTTCTGCCAATATCATGGAGATGAAATTATTTCGTAGGAAAATCTTCACATGACATATTTTATTTTGTGTTTTAAGCGCTTTTAATTTAAGAATCTTATTTTTTATTATCTTAATCTTATTATCTATCTTATGTGTAGGTAAAATTGTAAAATAAAAAAATACCAATAAATGAGGTGATTAACTAATATTATAATCTTTTTAACTTTTTTTACGACATAAGAGTAAGAAATTCATCGTCGGTGGTTTGGGTGGGAGTAACATCTTTTAAAAAAGGTTATGAAAGATTATGATTATTATATACCTACTTACACGTACTGATATCAAGTTATTCATAAGTTTTATTTATTAGTTTTTTAATGAAGTAGATATATTTTACTAAAAAACCTCCTCACTTATAATCATCTCGCACGGAGTTGTAGACCTTGTCCCTTTGCTTGATGTTTCCTATGACAGAGTTCCATAAGCTCATCAGTCGCCGCTTATCAAGCTCCAAGTCCTCCAATTCAGTCGAGTACGCAGTGACCTATACATAGTTTAAGCTTGTTAATATAACTGTACTTGCTAAGTGAGAGACATAATAAATCACATACTAGCTGACTCGAGCATCTGCATTTGCGCCTCTCAAAAGCAATAAATATATCTACACAATCGAGAATTTTTTATAAGAGAAAAGGTCAAAAGGTCAAATTGAAGCTACTCACGGAAAATTAGCTTGATAGTAATCCATTGTAAAAATGGACATCGGATCCTGAACTATGGGTCGGTAGGTATAGAATGACGAGAAAATTTATACTACTGAAATTAATCTAGAGCTCATTACAGGATACGACTAAGAGATTTTACGTCCAACTTCACAGTTGTGGGCTCAACATAAATGGGCGTTCAACCAAATAACCTCTTCAGCTTTATAAAATTTGTTTAGATAAGGGTGCTATCTACTATCAAGCAATATACTTAATATCAGATCATAGGCCATCTTCATAGTTTCACTTGCTTTTATGGTAACTCCCCACTTCTAGGAGTCGTAGCGGAATGTTAAAGATGTTGAATGGAAAGTAATGCATTTAAACAAACAATAAAAAATAACGAAATTATTAACTATAGATTATTTGTATCAATAGATATAAAAAATCTATAGTTAATAATTTACTTTCTTTTTGTAGTAACACAAAGGAAGTTAATCTCGGAATATCAAAACTGGTTAGCAACAAGAGGACATTCTGAGCTGGGTTTAGTTCGTCCCTCCCACCCCCGGTGTTAAAATCTGGTTTCGCGTTTGGTTAATAATTAGTTTAATTAGTATTACAGGGATTCGGTAAAAACAAATAAAGACCAAAATATATGAACCTATATAATAATATACCATGACCAATATATGGACCTAGCAATGCCGCTTAGGATATTCGTTCTAGATAAGAGCATACTGAAGCTCTTGGCAATTCAAGGTCTTTAAGCAGGTTATAGAGGGATTTAAGTGGTATACTCCTCGCACCCACTACCCAAGGCATACGACGCAACAAAATAACCATTTCAGTTATTTCGTTGGTTAAGTCAAAGTTATATTATTTCTATGTTACCGTAAAACCTACTAAAATATTTAAAAATCCTAATACCTTATCGTTAATTTTTTCCATCTCCGCATTTTTAATCTCCATTTGTTTCTGGAACGTCTCCAGTTTGGTCTCCAACTTCCATACCTCGTTACTAAGGCCAAATAAGAGCATGTCCTGAAAGAGACAGAAACATTCTTACTTACTTCGTACAAAAAGATTGTGAACGTATTTCCTTTGTTTGGCACTTTTTGTTCCATCAAGTGAGTGAGCAAAATAGCTGCCTCAAACTACTGAGATCCGTGATAATAGGTAGAAGTTATAGATATCAGTTATACTTAACGCAAATACCTAGTAACAGGTAAACTGAGACCAGGCAACCATGATAAAAAGTTTTAAGCATTATTTAGTAAACAAAACAAACACTCTTTGAAACAGGTAACAATTCCTGGACTGATCGGATCGCTTTGACTATCAAGCCTACAACAAAATGGCGTACTCCCATCTCAATGGTCGGCAACACATTCGTGACTCTTAATGTGAAGGTGACCCGTCTGCTTGTTTGTATCTATCATGTCATAAATAAAAACCAATCAAGACCATGTAATGTCAGTCTCTCTATTATATTATATATAGATATAATTTTCTCACCAGTTGACGTTTCTCATTGGCCAGGGCCAGCTTTTCTGCTCTCATTTTATCGGACATACGCTGACTGACAGTTAAGTCAGATTCCGTCTCATCACGCCAAGATTCCAACTGACGACAGAGGGTTGTGAGAGCCTCCAACTCTTCTATGGCTTCACGTTCTGCAGAGTTTTAAGTTATACTTAGACGATTAGGGTCGGGCAAAAATTTATAGAAAAAGTGAAGCTATAGAACTAACTTTTCGTTTGTAGAATAATATACCCACTAAGCATTTACTTACTAATATCCTTACTTGCATCTGTTTATAACATCTTCCCTTGTATCATCACCATCGTCGTCTTCTGATGGCCTTGTGTGAATTTATTTCACATCAACTCGATAGTCACGGTGACCGTAATTGGCGTTGCGATTGGTGAAGAGTTTAGTACGATAAGGTTACCGTGAGGATCGCATAGAAATAAACTTACACTAGGCTCTCTGGTCAAAAAAATTAAATTTGCCCAAAGAATGGGTTTTTATCAGGACTTACCCGCTCTTATACGATACGAAAAGAAGAACTCATAAAAACTTATAGATTTTTCAGTCAAGACCACTGAAAAGATTTTGGTATACATGTAACATTTTTAAACTCGTTTATATTTTTATAATCATCTTTTAAAACTCTCCTTTTAAGGCCTTACTTGACAGAAGACAGGTTTGACGATCATTATAAAACAGGTTTGAAATCATATCCCTCTTTTTTCTCTAAAAATAACTTTACAGCATAAGATCTACTTAAGGTACTCTACGTGTTATAAGTACAACTCGCCTCTCATAACATCCTGTTCGAGCTTCGCTTTGACCTTCTTGTACTTTTCGTTTGATTCCTGCGCACGTTTCTCGGCTGCTTGACGCTCCGCTGTTCGCTGAGCTAGGGTCGACTCGTACTCTAATATCAGGGCCTAGTTATAAACAATAAGATTTGAAGAAATAAAGCTACAGCAGTCAACAATAAAGCTATAGGTATACCACGCTCTAATTATGAGTATATATTTTACATACCCTTTGTGCATTCGTGTCGTGATCACGTGTGTAAATGGCTGACAAATCTTTCTCGTAACTCTGCTTGCTTAGCCTCAGCTCCTCGCGCTGCGGTAGTAAAAAATAATAATCATGCAAAAACTGTGGCACTCATTTAACATAATTTAGATGTCAGTATGCATACATCTATAATAAAATAAACCGCACTATTAAAATATATCCTATGCTCGCTTACACTTGTAAAATACTTTGAAAGATTGGCTAAACACACTTCCAAAGTCTCCTAATGGATTACATAAAAATAAATTATATTCATCAATACAATACTTAAAATATGTATGTAGCTAAACAATATCAGATCCCAAGAAACTAGGTCTCCGAACAACAAAAGTATCGAAAGATTACTTACTGGGAAGGCTTAGCCACAAGACTAACAGTAATTTAGAAATAAATGTTATTTTTCGTCATTAGGTAAAAGAAAATACTATAATATACCAGTGTCTGTTAAGATGTTGGTGGAAAAAGTTACCAAATTAAGTATTTCCTCCTCAGCAATGGCATTTTCCTTTATAAGGAACTGTTTAAGCGTCTCCTGGAACTTCTGCATCAGCGGGTGAGTTGATTCCAGAACTGCAGGCATCGCGCCAACTGGGCGATTGGCACGCCATCTACAAATCATAGTTAGTAGTTTATTTGTTAATTACTTACTTAGTTTTTAAGTCCTGTTGAGCTTACCTATACCCCAGAGATTCACAAACCATTTTGGACATGAGAACCCTTTTCTAAATTAGTGTATTGTCATCGGTCCTCGATATATCTACAAGTTTGAACGAATTCTGACCGTTTAAAGTCAGTCAAAATCACGCCCAAAGGAGTCGGTTACAAACAAACATACAAACAAATCTACAAGTTAAGCTAATATAAAGCGTGTAAAAAGAGGTTTATACTTCAAGACAAGAAGCTGACTGTTATTACAAAAATGGTACAAACTCGTCAAAAGCTTCCCTGCCGGCAGGTTTCACGCAACGGCATTTTATTCGAGGACACTGGCACATGTCGCATACTATCTCAATCTGAGAAGAGAGAAATGAGAAATTACAGAAAATATTTAACTTTAAAAAAAATCTCTCCTACTTTAATCCGTCTACATCACTATGAATTATTAAAAATTGTATTCTTCATTTCTTAATATGCCACCCATAGTGAATGTTTTTATGGTTTATAGTACAGGAGCCAAACAAGCAGACGGGTCACTTGATGGTAAGTGAGAACCTTCGCCCATGAACACCGACCACTGATGTCGACCACCACACCGACGAAGTCGCGGGCAACAGCTAGTAAAACTATAATAATATATCTTACACGGCCGTCTGATTTAAAACTAGGCAGAGCCTATACCATGGTAACCAGACTGCTGATTAACATACTTAAATATTTTCAAATATATACATATTATAGATAAATTACACTCAGACAGAACGAATGACCGCGCTGATCATACAATATTTGTCCTGGGTATCTAACCCACGACTTCCGGCTTAGCAGTCAGGGTCACTAACCACTAGACCAAGAGGCCCGTAAAACAACTTAAACATGACTTGTTTACGGCAATACATAACAGTGGTTCCGTGTAGACCCTGATGGTTTTTGTTGTACCTCGATAAAGACAGAAGTAAATAAAAGCTATACTAACAGGTGGAAAGATTATCGTTTCGTGCTTGTACATAAGACAACTCTTCTCATGTATCACGATCTCATTCTCGTCCCTAGGACACTCGCAGTTGACACTCAGGCCAGATTCTTCCGATGTGTCATCCTCCGGACAAGGGCAAGGTCTTGAAGGCCCAGACATATCTATTAACTTTATATTATCAAAAACAATATTTATTTAAAGCTTTTGATTTGAAAACGGCTCAAAAAATTGATAACTAACTCGCTTGTTTGTTGCTAAGCGACTAATGGTTTTTAATTTATTTTCTAACTTTATGGGGCGTCGTGTTTATTGATAAAATATGTTCGTGTAAGTTGCCAAGGAGTTTGCTTTCTCTAAAATTTTGCTATAACCTAACCAGGGAAATGAAACTCTGAGCCTGGGGCGCCCCAACTAGGTTTTCTTTTGCGTTTAGTCTTAACCGGGTATAAAAGTTTTAAAGAGCTATGATACCAGAGATAGACACACTGATAAACACATTATAACAACCCTCCTTTTGCGTTAGGGGGTTAAATTTTAACGTGAATTTCAAGACAAATCCTTATGGATGAATAAGTACTATGTTCAACCATAACAACTTTAATAGAGGAACATATTTGATTTTAAATTCAATCGAAGAAAATAAAAATAGTCTGGATGTGCATCCAGCAAGTTATAAATAATTTTATAAATTACTAGCTGACCCGGCAAACGTTGTATTGCAAAACAAAAAAAAATTAGGGATGGGTCACCCTTACCATTTAGGGGTATGAAAAATAGATGTTGGCCGATTCTCAAACCTACCCGATGTGCACACAAAATTTCATGAGAATCGGTCAAGCCGTTTCGGAGGAGTACGGGAACGAACATTGTGATACGAGAATTTTATATATAAGATTGTACTGAACATACATTTTAGTTCAATTTTTTTATTATTCTAACTATCCTCTTTACCTGATAACTTTTCAATACTCGATCGAGTATAAATATTGACATGATTTTTTTATAGGCTCCATGACCACCATAGACTCTTGACCACAAATAATATAGTTACCATAGCAACGATAACGTCAATAAAAGCGCGGTGCAGTGCCGAAATAAACAAAGATAATAAATATATCTACATAGGGATATCGTAGATAGTCAAACAAATATGGTACGTTATTATATTTCCTTAATAATTCAATAGCAATTAAAAACTTCATCAACAGCCTTTTGTAGTCAAGGAGATTTTGGCCTACTATACCACGCTGGCCGACAAATTAGCCAAGCAAAACATTCCTCCTGACTTGTAGACAAAGTTTAAATATCCTGTTTATTATACACAACAGTAACAGTAAAGAACAAAATATAAAAACAGTATATTACAGGTCGTTGTGTTAGATTATTTTCCTAGCTCGTTAATTTCTTCTCAATTAATCGTTCCGATGACTGCATTAAATAATTGCAGTTTTGTGAAGACGATTCACCGTCTTTGTATAATTACGAAATCAGTAGGATTAAAAACGAATACTCTTCAAAAGACAAGACCTGGTTCTTTACGTCTGTAAAGTTATAAATATTTTATACATGAAGGGATACAAGGGCGTTAAAGGGTTACCAAATAGATGTATTCTTAATGTGTTCGTGTTTTTAGATTCTATCCCGATCGAAACCAGCGACTGAGAGTCGCCTGAATACGGGCAGTAGCTCCGCTAAAAAAAGCTTTCCAGAGCTTGAAGATTTCATACTCAAACGGGACTATCTTGGAGCTTTGACTTTGCTGGAGGTGACAGAACGTACATTTTCTATTTATATTATTAAGCTACTGGCTATTTAGTTCACCAGCTTTCAAGCGAGTGTCATCAATAAAAAAAACAAAATAATGATAATACAACAGCGACTCCGTGTTATCAATAATTATAATTATTCACGAACATCTCTGAATTGACTTATCGATTTCTAAGTAATCAGAAAAATAGTAAACAAACGGCCGTGTTGCCTTTCCTAAGCTTATAGCCGTGACTATCTTTAATTAGATAATGGTGCTAATTCTGTTGTTCAAAAACTCTCTAAACTAAACTCAAAATCACTAAAAAAATTGTTTAGTCCTGTTAAAAAACGTTTCGTATTCTGAAAACATCGTATCATTCATTCGTAGTTGACTGGACTAAACAAATTTTTAGTTATTTTTAGTTTAGTTAGACAGTTTTCTAACAACAGAATTAGCACCAATGTATTCTTATTCGTACGTAATTATATAAATATTTAATAATTTTTTTACATCTCTCATGTTCGGTAAGGAGGTTCTTATTACCTCCAATTGGGGCTGTAAGTGACTAATTAGCGCTCTAGGGTAATAATGTAGCTAGAAAAGACCTAGGGCAGTAAGTAATTTAAAAAAAACACTTCTTTCTTTCAATAAGTTCGCGTACATCTAACCATCATACTGGCAATAGAGCAATGACCAAAGAGGTCGCTTTGCTATTCAGCCTTGTCTTCGTGTGAGTAAAATAGTCATCAATTTTAAATATCGAACGGCGAAGCTCAATTTCGATCTTGAAAAAATCTTAAAAGTTCTTTACTTGATTCTTTTTAATGAAAAAAGGCGGGAATAGAAAACTTTTACTTTAAAAATTGTTTGTTTTTGGGATTATTTCATAATTACGTGCTAATTAAGAAAAAACATGAGTTTTTCAAGTGATGAAGATTCCAAAAAATACCTGTCCTTAAAATTTGAAAATTGTTCTCATTTCACTATAAATTGCAACAAATAAAATGTTTTATTCTTGTAATGCCGGTTTTTTTCTACTTACCTCACAATCGAGATGTAAAGCAGAATAGTTAGCTCGGGTGTAAGCATCAATTGCACCCTCGAACTATAGGCTCCCTCGCTGCGCTCGTGCGACTAAATATCTCGGGCTGCAATTGATGCCTTACAGCCCTTGGCTACTAATCTACTATTACTCTATTTGACCCTCTTCATTGGTTCCATCTGAAAACGACTACATTCCCAATGTGAGTTGGCGTCAGGCATTCGGCAGGCCATATAAAAAATCAGAAAAATCATTTGGACACAAACTAAATTGGAAAAAGGCAGAGAAATTATGACTTATCCATTCGTAAGGTAATTAATTAAATCGTTACTGCTTATTTAACTTCTATTTTCCACCAGTTCCTCAAGCACGAAGGTAATACCGACGTATGGGCTGATGTTTGGGCTGCGTGGTGTTGGTTTCACCTCGGCGAGTACAGACGCGCGCTAGACGCGTACCTCCTTGTGCAATCAAGGGACAAGCTGGACTCGCGAGTGGCCGACAATATCGCCATGGATCTCGCTGTGTGTTACTTTTATTTAGGTTGGTACTTTTTAAATATGCTAGTTGACTGGCAATTTTTATCTTGAAAGGCGCAATCCATCTGTTGCGAACAACAGAAAACCGGTGTCAAACATTTCTTTCTTTGCGTAACACCGAGTGAGTAAGGTTACCGGAGCCAAAACCTTGTCCTTCCTCTAGGAGGGGGTCTTGAGTTGGTGTCCCTGGGTGGCGGTAGTCACTTACCATCAGAGGACATGTCTGCTTGTTGGTCCCCCTATACTATTAATAAAATACAGGTGTTTTTTACTTAAAGATAGTATAGAATAATGCCTTGTGACGTCACTTCTCGCTATTGTCATGACACGCTATTTAATTCACTGTAATGTTGCCTTTCCATATAAAATATCTTGAAAATCATAACGGAGCTATATTTTTAGTCCTATTTCATTTCCTGGCGACTGTTAAATAGCTTATACTCAAAGTATGCAATACATTTTTCGGCAGGTATGTACAAAGAGTCGAAAGAGATTGTTGAAGAAGCACCAAAATGCACTTTAAAGGTAATTTCCTACTTCTTTTCTTTCATTTATACACGTTAATACTATTTTAGTCTAGACAGGGTCTAGAAGGAGATAGAGACGTCATTTTTACCTACCAACGTGATATCTACGTTACAGACACGTGTGTGTATAGTAGCCAACGGTTGGCGACTAGTTTGTTTGACGTTCGACGCTTTCACAGCTTCGACAGTCTATCTAGATATGTCAGTGATCTAAATTTGACATATTAAGATCCGCTGTCAAAATATCCTTCTTCTTTCTTTACCTTTTTCTTTTGTAAAAAATATGATAAATATTTTTCAGACACGCCTGTTATTTCACCTTGCCCACAAGCTCGGTGACGAAGAATCCTTGATGAAATCTCATGCAGCATTACGCGATGTTCCGGAGGACCAGCTTTGTTTGGCCTCAGTGCACTATATGAGAGCTCACTATCAAGAGGCCATCGATGTTTACAAAAAACTCTTGTTAGAAAGACGGTATGAAAATTTTACTAACATTAAAATTGTAAATAACTTGAATTGTTCATTAATTAAATATAAGAAACAGTTTTGTTTTAAAATATGTGTTTAAGTATAAACTAGGTTCTTAAAAAAAAACAGTCAACTTGAAAATTAAAAAAAAATATGATTATAACAGGACAAAAATTTTGATTTATTCGATTCGAAAAGTTCCTACATGAATATATATCTATATTGTACGTATATACACAATATAGGTTTTTATTATATATCGTTATATTATCAACGTCTTTCAACCCAAACTCTCGTGTAAACGGGGCCAATGTCAGTAGATACGAGGGGTGATCAATAAGTAATGATAATCAATATGAAACAGAACTATTAGATTAAAAAAAGTATTTTATTTTTCAACATAGTCTCCTTGCAAGTTAATACATTTAGTGTATCTTTTTTCTAAGCCCATGATTCTCTTAGAAAAAAATTCTTTGTCTTGACCCTCCCAAAATGCCTCTACTGCGGCCATCACTTCACTATTGTCCTCAAATTTGTTGCCCCGGAGGTGTTCTTTGAGCCGAGGAAAGAGGTAGAAGTCACTGGGAGCTAGATCTGGCGAATATGGAGGGTGTTCGAGCAGTTCGAACCCCGTTTCTTCAATGGCAGCCATCGCAACTGCGGCTTTGTGAGCCGGGGCGTTGTCTTGGTGAAACAGCACTCCAGCGCGCAGTTTACCGCGACTTTTTGACTTAATAGCTTCTCGCAATCTTCTTATTTGGCCTGCGTAGTAAGAGCCTGTTATAGTGGCCCCCTTTTCCAAATATTCCACCATAATAATTCCTTCTGCATCCCAGAAAACAGACGCCATAACCGTTCCCGCTGAACTTGACACTTTGAATTTCTTCGGCGTTGGTGAGGAAGCTCGTTTCCAAGTCATTGATTGTTGTTTGGTTTCGGGATCAAAGTGGTGGATCCAGGTCTCGTCCATGGTCACAAAACGCGACAAAAAAAATTCTTTATCGGCCTGGAACTTTTGAAGATTCACCCTCGAAATGTCGACTCGTTTCTTTTTTTGCTCGTCGGTTAACATTCTCGGTACCCAACGCGCAGAGACCTTTTTCATATGCATTTTGTTGACAATGATTTTTTGAACGCTGCCATAGGAGATCCCTGTGACCTCAGCTACATGCCTTACGGTCACCCTTCGATCGGCCAACACGATATCTTCCACTTTTTTGACGTTTTCTCCAGTAAGGGACGTGGAAGGGCGTCCCTCGCGATGTTCATCTTCAGTGGAGGTTCTGCCCAGCTTAAATTCCTTTGCCCAGCGTGCGACTGTGGAATATGGAGGAGCAGACTCCCCCAATGTTTCCTCTAAGTCGCTGTGTATGTCTTTGGTAGACATTTTTTTCAGGCAGAGGTACTTGATGACAGCTCTTATTTCATTTTTCTCCATTTTGATGTTTTCTCTTCGACAGTTCGTATTCAAATGAATGTATCTCCCGGTAATGGTGTCCTATTTCTACATTTTTTTGAAGCTGAAGTAGTGGATATATAAGCAAGCAGAAAAAAAATAATTTGGGTTTTTGTGCGTTCTAGAAATACTCGATTATCATTACTTTTTGATCACCCCTCGTACTTATACACGGAGGTATCGGTAACGGTAACAGTGTCGTGAGTTCAATGGTTTATTCCCATCTCAAAAAATACATTCTTTTGTTTGTTGTTCGAAAATGTCCAACGCGCCTAAAGAAGTTTTCACTACAAAAATTGTTAAGATGTAGGTATGTGAAGAAAATCGTAAGCGGAAAAATATAGTGTGATTTTTTTATAACTGTTACCGATAGCTAATTTATTAAAATTAATACAGGGTAACTTCTGTTAAAGTTAAAATGTTCAGTCTTAAAAATCAACTACACTTTTCAAGTTTAAAAACCTTACAAGCAATAACTACCATTATGCCATGAAAAAAAAAGAATCATATTTAACGCTCTAAAAATGGCACTGAAGTTACTCTTGATGGATTAAGAATTCGGAGTGTCAAGACCCCTATTCATGCCGGGAGTGTGGTAAGAGCTGACTAAGGGGGCGACGCACGCACGGAGAACAGAGAAATAGACTCAGACACTATCTCCAGCACTAAAAGAGAAGGGAAACTTGAAACAAACTCTATAACTACGAACCCGTCTGGCCAGTGAACCAAAAGCCAAAAGCTCCTTACTAAGGAGAGGCCTATGTCCAGTAGTGGACTACTCTTTAGTAGTCCACTACTGGACATAGGCCTCTCCAGCAGCCAGCTCCAACAGCCTTTGCTGTTGATGACGATTATGAATTAAGTGGCCAGTAGTTACTTAGTTGATTCTCACAAACAGAGTCTAAAAAGGTTTATACCTACTTACAGATTTAAAAGATTCGACAATGATGATACCGAATGGATAAAGGCCTTGCCCCATTGCCATGGGTAATATTTAAATTAATAATTGTCCGTAAAAATTTAGTTTAGCTTAGAGAAAGTATATTTAGTTGTACGAATTTTAATTAAAAAGTAAACAATTGTGGATGTACGTAATATGATCATATATATGTCGTATATTATAATAGATACTGGGTCTGGGTGTTCTTTGTGTCCGTTTTATGTCTGTTTGTCAAGTTCCCCGTGACACAGGAACATATTTCTAGTGCGGGAGTAGTCTTTTTTGTAAAAAAAAATGGATACAGATACATAAGTTCATTTATTATTTTAGCGTATAGTCATATTATGTTGACACCCTTTGTGTGGCCTCCCCCCAGATTTAGAGAGAAAGAGGAATTGGGGTGCTACAGTACTTCAGTCACTCGGCGATAAGTAACAAAAGAATTGCTTAACACCGGTTTTTTGTGATACCGTCTTACATAGGCCACTCCGGGCCAGCTAGCTCATGTGTGCAGCATAAGCATGGCTCTCCCACGCTAATATTATATATTTCATTAGCTGCGCACCGCAGTGCTACCGGTGGTATCCACTTGTCCGAGGGAACACTGCATATTTTCGGGATAAAAGTAGGTGATGTATTAAAATAGGATGTCAGCATAATTTCCAAATTTTATCAAAATTGTTCCAGCCGTTTGAGCGTAAACAATAGCGTGAGCCAAACACACACACTCACAAACTTGTACCTTTATAATAACGTGATACGGCAGCGTTTAAATTGACAAACAAACATTGTCATTTTCATTTTGCTAATATTTTTTTTCATATTTTCTTAGCACACATATGGCACTAAACGTATACGTGGCGTTGTGTTACTACAAACTTGACTACTATGATGTATCCCAAGAGGTGCTCGGCGTCTACCTCGCTCAGCATCCCACATCCACTATCGCGGGGAATTTGAAGGCTTGTAATCTTTTCAAGTAAGTATGTTATTCTTATAAAATCCTCAAAGCCAAATTTGAAACTAGATTGTTGAACGATCTAGATAAATGTAGTATAGATTCTCAAACAATCTATTTGTTCACTTTTTGTGACTGACTAAATATTTACCGTAACCATTTAGGAACTAATTTCAATTAACCTTGTTTAATTAATTGAATAATTCATTCAATTGATTCGACTCCACTTATTTTAATTTGAAGAAGAATACAATTTGTTACAATTTATTAAAATCTATTTATGACGCGCGGCTTAAAGTCTGTGATATATTTCACTGAAAGTTCATATCAGCTATTATGTACCTAAACGTTAAAAAAAATACGTCCTTTATTGCATTGATATAATTTACTATTTGCTTCTTGATCGCACTAGAGTTTTGTTTATACATAACGGTTTGCAGGCTGTACAACGGCAAAGCGGCCGAAAATGAGCTTAAACAGATATCGTCAGATCAACACACTTTTGGACAAGATCTAGTCAAACATAATTTGGTTGTATTCCGAAATGGCGAAGGAGCATTAAAGGTACATCTGTTTATTATACTTGAAGCTTATTTATTGTCAAGTTACTTAACTCTTTCAGAACCACAAAAGATAAAAAGAAGTAGATCCTTTATAAATGTGTCAAGTTGTTGTTTAATAGGCCTAATTAATTTTTTTTTAAGTTGATTTCTATGCCTTCCTAATTATAGAATGGACATACCTCTCGGTCTCTGCGAGCTTCAGCAGCTAGCAGCAGTCTCGAGATCCACTCGCTCTATCCTTTTCCTTTACCCAATTTATTTTCTTTTCTTATCACATCAGAAAACCTTTACATTCGCAAATAGGATTGTCGTCAGCCAACCAGGTAAGAAGCTGGCCATAAAAGAAATCAGACCATATTAAAATATATTCTTCTTAAGGGGCAAACGAGCAAAGGGGTCACCTGATGGCAAGTGACTACCGCTGCGCATGGACATCTGCAACTCAAGAGTCAGATCAGATAAGTCAGTTAGCTCAAGGGGGGACTCAGAGCCGTTTGCGGCCTCTGAATCACCCCCTCAGAATTGGGGGAGGGAGGGCTGCAGTCCATCGACATGTCTTTGGTATTCCTCTTCCTTCATACCTAACACTTTCTTCGCCACATTTTCCTCATCTCTCCGCATGACATGTCCACACCAAGATAAGCTATTACTTCTTAAGTTTTCATCCATTGGCTCTTCTTCCTGACTCCCACGTATATACTCATTCCTGACTTCTCGTTCAGACTTACTCGATGAAAAGTGAAATAATTGTACCTAAATAATTGAAGACCACAAAACTGCTTTTGTTTTAGGTGCTACCAGAACTAGTGGACGTGGTTCCAGAAGCTCGTCTCAACTTGGCAGGATATCGACTTCGCAACAGAGAGCCACTGGAGGCAAGGTCTTTGTTGGAACCATTGCAACCCACTTCCCCCCTCCATTACATTTTGAGGGCAGTGGTTGCTGTAAGACTCTATAATGAGACTAGCGATGTAAGTATTGAATTGCTAAAATAATTATATTTATTATCATATTCAGATATGCAGATGTAGGCGAATTTTTGTTTTCTATAAGATAAGTTATTAAGCAAGAACGAGATCTTCTGGATGAGAAATGCTAGCACCAATTCGCACTAACTTAGTCCGTACAGTACATACTTAAAAATAAGCATAAGAACTTCACACGTCTTACGCACAGCGGTCTAATCCCAAACTAGGCAGAGCCTTTGCTATAGTAACCAGACTGCTGATAAACATATATAAATATTTTTAAATATATACATATTTTAGATAAATTACACACAGATAATGAATAAATGATCGTGCTCATCACACTATTATTTGTCCTGGATGGGGATTGAACCCAGCCAGAGTCACTAACCGCTAGACCAACAGGTCCATCAATACGTGCGAATTAGCTCCCTATTTCACGTTATTACGATTGAGCAATTATAGATTGACGATTTTTTGAATTGACTTAAAAGAATAATACTATTATGTGGGTGGTTACTACAACCCTGTCTAGCCCTTCGAGAGTTGTGCATTCACTGAACTGAAGTTTTCTCGTTTACCTAAGTTTTTTAACGTAGCTGAATTATATTAACAACATCGATCGAACGTTTATGGCTTAACTTGAATATTTTTTTTATCCCCAAGGAGGAGCAAATGAAGCTAGCCCAGCAGAGTTTCCATCTGGTGGGTAGTTCGGCATCAGAATGTGACACAATCCCTGGCCGGCAGTGCATGGCGTCGTCCTACTTCTTAGCTGGACACTTCGAAGAAGTCTTGGTCTATCTCAACTCTATTAAAAGTTTCTTCGTCAACGATGATACTTTCAACTTTAATTACGCACAGGTAACACTTTTTTTGAGGCATTTATGTTTTATTTTAGTTACAACTTTTGCTTCGAGATTCTGACAAATACAGTAGAAAACTTAATTCAAAGTTTTAATCCTCAATAGCATTAACGGTAACTCAGAATTGGCGTCTTGAAAGTTCAATCGGATTGATACAACGGCCTCACAGAAAACCGATGTTAGGCAATTCTTTCGCTGTTTCTCATCAAGCGAGTTGGGTTACTGGAGCCGAACCAATTCAGGGGCGGCATCACACAGCATGGGCGGCATCACACAGCATGGGCGGCATCGAACTTTTATCTCTATAGTTACATGTGTTTATGGGCGACGGTATTAACTTACCATCAGGATCCATCTGCTGTTTTCACCCTTACACCATGAAAAGGTATTCCTGGAGATAGTTTCAACACAAAAAACACACCTTCTCTTTCAATTCAGAAATAAAGCGTGTCATCACCTTTAATAGTCCACTGCTGGACGTGGGCCTCTACTTAGAAAGGAGGTTTTGGCCTACTATACCACGCTGGCAAGACGGGTTTGTATAGGGTTTGTGTCAAGTTTTCCTTCTCTTTGCAGTGCTGTTGTCCTGTGTAATTAGGTCCCTTTGTCTCGTACGGGATGAATAGGGTTGGTGACTGTTATATTCCTAAAATATGGGTGGTTGCATCCACCCCTAACATAGTATAAAATGTCGTGTCGCTTGACAAATAAATGTTGTGCGAATCCAGCTATCGGTCGTTTCACTACTCCCTGTGCGCATACTTATCAGTGGCGACGAGGATGGGAGTGACACTTCGTATTCTTAATTTTTCACCACACGGATAGAACTAGAACTACTACTAACTAGAACTAGGACTAGATAGGGTATGACAAAGTGCAAAAGTTTATAATTGACTAGCTAGACCCTGCGACGCTTTCCTGTGGCATATTGCGGTTGCATTCATGAGAAATGAGGAACAATACTAACACGAAAAATAGATTAAAACAATCTTTGAAGCGGTATATCGTGTCAAAATTTAAACTCGATTGGTGCAGTACTTTTTGAGTTTTTGAAGCGCACACAAACCAACTTAATATTATATATTTATAAATTGGTTCGGTTCTGGTTAACCTCCTTTTTAAGGAGAGGCGTATGTCCAGCAGTGGACTAGTAAAGGCTGTGGATGATGATGATGATAAATTGGTTATGCTATTGCGATGATCTGTAATATAAGGATGGAAGTATCTATTTAAAGTCTGGTTACTCTTGGTTTTGATAACTGATACAGAACTGTTATAACCACAACATAGTGAAAATATAGTGATGTACAATATCAGTATGAGCTCGTCTCTCTCTATCTACAGTCGATTTGTCTATCCAAAGGTGGCTTGTAAGAAATTGTTTTCTAGCGCTAAGGCAACCATTTCTACATGGTCATTTATAATAATAATAATAATAAAACTGTTAAAACAATACTTTTCTAATATTGACCGTTTATACTAAAAGGCTAAAGTAGCAACAGGCTTCTACCGCGAAGCTGAGGAGGTGCTCCTAGCGATCCAGGACGAGAACATGCGGTCTACATTTACATTTCTCGCATGTTTATGCAGATGTCATGTAATGAACAAAGATTCTCATCTTGCGTGGGAGATTTGCATCAAGGTAACATTAGTAACATTACTTTTTATCTTCTTCTTGTCTTTTGCGATTTAAAGACTGCTAGTCCTTATTTGAACGTTTTTTTCGGTGTATATGCTAGGAGATCATACATTATACAACTATAGTAGGATTTGTTATTCTTAGACGATTTGCAAAATATGAATGAAATATATTAGGGATTAAAGTATTAAATTGCCATCTGAACGAAAGTTCATTTACGCCTTTACGATAGAACTCTGGGGATCTAGATTCGACAAACTGTATGAAAGCATTTCAGCTGTGTGGGCGATCTTCCACGTGGTTCGTTCTTCAAGTCGAAGTTTCTGTTACGAAATCATTTAAACCAAAAACGCACGGTGCGTTCATTAGCAGTCTTCGCTCCAAACGCAGCGTTGATATTGCGAGCATTATCAATTCAAAGTATCCAAAACTATACAACGGTAATTTCATATATTAACCTATTCTTTAGTAGTTTAACCACAACACAATTTTTGTAAAGTACAGTGACAATGCAATCATCTCAGTCTGATGAACTATCGATCTTGACACACAAACAGACGGTTAGGCAAATGTTTCAATTCTCTAATAATATAATTGTGGTAGTAGTAATAATATTATTTTTTTCCAATAAGGAACTATAAACATCAATGTTTTCAAAAGTAGATGGCAAATTTAACTGCAGGGATGGCGTAGTGGTTCAAGCGGTCGCTACGCTGCTTTCTACTGCTCTGAGTGTTGTGGGTTCGATCCCGACATGGGACACCAATTTGTGTGGTCCAGAAATTGTTGTTCTGACTCTGGGTGTTCGTTGTGTCCATTTCATGTATGTTTGTAAAGTAAAACTAATGCGGTAGTTGTCTTTCATTAAAAAAATATTCTTTAAATCTCCTTATTTCAACAAAAATACCGCACAGAAGCATTTGATGTTTGAAATACTTAATGTTCATATTCAGAAGTGCGGAAAGCTGATATATTTAAACACTGTACGAGAAACGACTACATAAAACGTCAGGGGTTCAGTATATATCTTGACCCATGATTATACAAAAGTCTATATACAATAATAGCTCCAGTTATACTGGTCAATAAAATTCGACCTCCAATCAATTTATAGGGAGTAGGTATATAATATATTATTATGTATATTATATCTTTCGCAGTCAGCTGGCACACCTGACAGTTTCGCATTGTTACAACTGCTTGCTAACGACAGCTATCGGATGGGGCAGTTCCTTGTGGCTGCTAAAGCATTCCACATGCTTGACAGGTTAGTCGTAACAAATTTAACACTAAACAAACTTTATCAACCTGATAATGCGGGTTCATTAACATTACTTTTGTATACATTAGGGTGCTTCTACACGATGCAAGTAGCTTGCGCATGTTAAGGCACTTGCGCAGGTTATTTGCTTCGCGAAAAGGACTAGGCGGGTCCAGCGACTCGAGCATGTAACTAGCGCAGCAGCATGCACATTATATCAACCAAACGTGCAAGTAACTTGTGCATGCTTCTGGCGCAAATAGCCCGCGTCTTTGCCCGCTCCAGCTACTTGCACCGTGTAGAAGCACCCTAAGTATATGTGGTGACTCACTCACCGAGTGAGTGATGTTATTGGAAGCCAACAAGCCCTCTCCTCCCACTCTCCTTCTGACTGAATGTGGGGGGGGGACTTATAGGGTGGGCAGCGCTTATCTACGCCTATCTGTGTCTCTTAGGTAGCAGGTGTCCATGTACGACGGTAGTCACTTACTCGACTCGTCTACTCGTTCGCCCCCTTTTAGCATAAGAAAAAGATCCAGAAATAAGTTAAATAATTGTATTTTACCAATAGATTAGACGGTGGTCCCGAAATGTGGGAAGGCTTAAGGGGTGCCGTTTGTGGTTGCGCTCAAGCGGCTGCAGCTAACAAATCTGGGGCAGCTGCAGACCTTCGAGATGCCTTGGCCTTACTCAAAGGTGCAAGGGTCAACAACAGGGCTGACAACATTGTAAAAACTATCACCAAGTGGGCTCAACAGAACAGAATTCCTCTTTGATTGGAAACCAAACAATGCTGTGTAGGGTAATGTGAAGATTGTGTAGATAAATAACAAAGTCATGAGGAAATAATTTTTATAATAAAATGAATGAAACTTAACATAGACTTTTATTCATAATCTTATTTTATTATTAACACGCTTTATTAGCTTGGTGTGTACGAGTATGTAACGAAATCTTCGAACGTAATTGTGACCCACTTCAAAACGTAGAATTAGATTGAAACTTAGCACACTTATCAACGACCGATGACAATACAATAATTTGATAAATTAGTCCGATTATCCTGATCAGGATCTTTAGGATTATTGGCTTTTCCATACCAAAAAATACGGTAATGTTTTGTGCTACGCACTAAGAGGCGTGTGCTGAAGCATACGTGACATACTTACTTGTTACTTTTTAGGCTTAATGAGAAAATAATCATCATTAGTGACTAACTTATAGTTTAATCAAAAATAAGTTATAGTTTAAAAAAAAAAAACCACAAAAAGAAAATTCTATAAGTTCAAAATAAAGACACACTCGCGGATCTTCTTTTGAGATACGCAGATACAACACCCCCCACAGTACAGGAGGCTGTACCGGAAACCTGCTTTTTCTTCACCAATATGATGCCGGTATGTCCTGTATTGTCGCTTTCTGAGTGATGGCTGTATTCGCACTAGTAATACCTATCTCTAAACACATCCAATATCTACTTTACATAACAAGAAAGATTTTTAAATAATTTGTACCAATTATTCTCGTTTTAAGGAAGACTTGTGTGAAACCTATCAGTACTATTAGTAGGTTCAATTAAAACTCAAACTATTTGTGTGTCCGTCCTTATTCGGAACTTACTATTAAATATGTAGGTATACTCGTAAATTGACTGCTGATATGTGTTTCCATATTTCTTCATCCCAATCGTACCGATGCTATATAAGGGTCTAGTACCCCAGATCTAGAAACTTGATGTAGTACTTGCTTTCGATTCTTTGATAATTTCATACTCGTTTCATTAAACTCTTGACTATTTGGTGCAAGTCATTAGTTTGACCGAATTCTTTTCATCTATGGATATAAAAATACTTGCCTCAATTGATTTTCATCAACGCAAAGCTTACAAAGTCAAAATTTTGGCAGCTGATGCTTTAATTTAGAACCCCTAAGGGGGTAAAATAAGGGATAAACGGTTGTGTGGAAGTTTATCGTTTTCGAAGTAGAAACACGAAATATGAAATTATGATAATATTACACAATATTATTATATGTGTGCTACTTGCTAATAACATTAAGAAATTCAGAGGCAATAAGCCTTAAATTTATTTAGTCCTTGTGGGTTTTAATTGGATGCAATTCAAAAGAGGAAGATTAAGAATTCTTTTCTTAAAATAGAAGATAAAATGATTTAAAAGCATTTAAATACTGTATAAAGTACGAGTGTGTTTATGTCTTAAAACACAACACATCTCAAACATGGCAGTCTGAACCCAAAGGCAGAGCCTGTACTATGGAAATCGTACTGCCGGTAAACATACTTATATATTTCTAAAAACATATATACTATATGTAAATATCACCTAGACATATAACAAATGATCGTGCTCATCACACTATTAAAACAACACTAAAGACGGCAAACTTGACACAAACCCTATACCAACCCGCCTGGCCAGCGTGGTATAGTAGGCCAAAACCTTCTTTCTAAGGAGAGGCCTATGTCCAGCAGTGGACTATTAAAGGCTGTTGATGTGATGTGATGTGACCACACTATTATTTGTCAGGGGTGGGAATTGAACCCATGACCTCTGGCTTAGCAGTCAGGGACACAAATCATTATACCAACAGGTCAGTCAACAACAGTGATAATTATAAGACTGCTTGAGAATTGCATGTTCATTGTAAGATGAGTTTTTTACTAGAAGGCGGTGTTGTCTTTTGCTGTTGTGACCTAACCTTAAATAGTTGTAGCCAAAAAAATGCAGGTGTCAACTAAACTTAATTTTATACAGTGTTGCCATTAGACATCTGACAAAATCACAGTGAACTGTGATTTTTCATTCGATTTTTCGTACATAGGTTAGATTTGCTAAGTAGGTAGGTTAGACGCTATTTAACAATAAATCTAGTATTTTTTTTTAATTATTAAGTAGGGAATGGTAGCTATATATAATAAAATAAATAATTACTAGATTTACTGTTGAATGCGCAAAATAGGGCATTTATGCATCGTCTGAAAACAGCTTTATTGGCAACAACGCGTGAGTAAGTAGTGACCCTTTTTTTTTTTCGTGCGGAAATCCCCTCGGATACCACCTGTCGGTGGCATGTCGGATTCGAACCGACTAAAACCGCACGCCGTCTCGGGTACTAATAGCCGGGGAACCAGGTATACCCTAGAAACGAAGTCCCTGGTGCCCCGACATACCTCGGGTCATCTACAGACGAGTAGACGACCCAGTAAGTAGTGACCCTGACCTACGTACGATAAAATCGAATGATAAATCACCGGTCTTTCACAGTTCACTGTGATTTTGTCCCATGCGTAGTTGCCATTACTAAATTAATACTATGCATTTCATGGAAAGGCTAAATTACACTAACGATGTAGTCGTGAAGAAATAGTAAATAGCATTACTTAATAGGATAGAATAACTTCAATTAAGTAATGTCTATGCCAAGTCTAAGCGGCTGTCGGTTCGCCTTACCGGTTCTAGGGTTTCACCATCGTATTTCCGACCTGAGATCGTTATCCACATACATGAATGTAAGGTAAACACGTACACCATATCTATCACCAATTAGAAAGAATCCATGGTGTAATTTCAAGTAATTGTTGGAATTTAAGATACAGAGTACTCAAAGGAATACTTATTAAATTTGATTTCATTTGTTTCATTACAAATTCTTTCTCTTTTAAAACTTTTTTTAGATTTTTCTAAAGTTACAATTACACAGGCCAACAAAAAATGTTGAAACAAGAGAAGACTTTTTAGCAGGATTTTGGTTTGCTGAATCCAAATCCAAATAAAAAAATGGGGTTTTTTGCACTTTTGTATTAGAATATCTCAAAAATCTGACGTGATAGAGCAATTCTGCTGCCGAATTTGGATTAAGTGCACCAAAATCCTTTGGAAAGGTGTACTCTGGTTTCTGGGGAAGAAACTTTGTCAAATTTTGTTGGCCTGTGTTATTAGAGAAAGACCCTTTTTCTCAAAAAACGGGTGAATCGAAGCGGATCGCGGAGAGACTAGTTCTTTCGTTAAAGTCCGAACAGCGGCAGGTCTGTAACTGTTCACAGACCTGCCTCTTGTATATTTACTGTTTTAAAAAAAAAACTTAGCTATAGCACACCAAATAGTTTCTTTCGTTGTTACATTTATACCTACGAAGAAATGAAACTCTCTAGATTAAAGTATGAGAGCGATGATTCATCACATATGTAAAGGCTCGACCGAAATTATACCCTGACATAAATAATGACAATACCAAAAGTATGGTGTTTTCTTTGACCTATAAGACTACTGTCTTGCAGAAATAAAATTAATCGTTGGCAATCTATATACATAAAATGTTACGTTGTTTTGGTTACGTTTCAAAACTCAAAAAATTCTAAACCGATTCAGTTGATATTTTGTCACGATATACATCCCGCTTCAAAGATTGTTTTATCTCTTTTTTACGTCAGTTTTGTTTTTCGTGTCTCCTAAATGCAACAAATTTTCCTGTTTCTAAAATTGAACTAAATTTGATAAACTGAGTGAATAGCAAAGCGAAGAACGGCTTTATGGGAAGATAGCCTCAGATACTTTATCATCAGTCAATGAAAAACAAAATATTAATACAACAGGTATACGAGTATTTCTTGAATTTTTAGAGAAACTCATTTCGGATCCTTTCTATTGGACATTTAGTTTAATGTACCTCTGCATTTCGTTTAATGTACTTATTTGTTTATGTTCTCAGTGTCTATTATCTTGTTTGTACATTATAGATAAGTGATTCTATAGTATTTAACTGCAGTCTCGATATCATTGACTTGGCTTATACATATAAATTGCTCCGTCTCGAATTCAGATTATTCTAAAGTTTTCCGGTGATTCAAGTAAGAAAGTCGAAGTACCTATTTTTAAATGAGTATCAGGTATGTTTGGAACGGTTCAATACATTTTTATGTATTTAAATTATTTCACAAGTGTTTCTCATATAGAAAACACCTATGTACAAATAGTATTTCGCCATAAATAACTGTCATTTTACTTGAAGATGTCTTTAAACAGTTCAATATTCCAAGTTTTAAAACTAAACCAGTAAAACCACAGAATAGTGCAAAAATTGCATTTATTTTTATAAACTACATTATATTTACATGTAAGTAAATAATACAACGCGTCAATATCTAGTCCGTAGGCAACAGTCAAAGCAGTACATAATAAATAGTCACAAAAACAGGCGAGGTCGTCGGGCTGCCCTAGTGTTGCTGAACATTTCACACTTAAGACTGTAGCTAGATTGCAAAGGCGAGAACTAACAAAAACAAACCCATTTTGCCCCAATTATAAGACATAGAAACGCCCAATGGCATATTTTGACGATCTATGTCACAACATGTTAAAAATCAAATAAAAAACGCCTTTACTATGTAGCCGCGGCCTATGATTCCTACTCAAACAAAATAAGTTACCATAAATCATTGCCACAATTCTTAAAATCACAACATTTACGAAAATATGAATAACAGACTACAGTTCTGATGAAATCTGTTCTACAACATCGCGTTCACAACAAGGATATCGAAAACATACTAAAACTCTGATAACGTTGATTTTTTCTACTTTATCCCATAAACTATTTCCTACAAAGCAATCGTTCATCATTCATTCAGCTAGCACTAGAGCGTGTTGTGATCGTGATCGGGTTTAACCCCAAGGATGTGCGACGTGGGCGACGTGGGCCGCTGGGAGCGTGTATCTAGCGACTGGGGCGGCAACAGCAACGTGCGCTGGAGCAGCGATAACTTTGGCTACAGGCGCAGCTACCTGTAGAGAACAAAGATTATTATCTGTAAATTTATTACTATTCAAATAACTTCAACCAGGCAATTCAATATTTCAATACAATATTGTAGTCCAAACAGAACTTTACCAACGCCTTAAACTTTGGCTAACAGCTGGACAAATCCCCCACCGAATTTCCAGTTCTTTGAGATTTTGGCAACGTCCATGCCAAAATCTCAAAGATAGAGCATCTTAAGCAGATAGATATTTGTTACTAATTTTTTTTTTTTTTTTACATTTTATCGCATTATCACATTAATGAATTAAATGAAACATGTATGATTGAAACTGAATACAACTTCATTTTTTCAATGAAGGATAGAACCAACGTGAAACACACACTAAGATTATCTACTCTTTACTTAATTAATAATTAAGTATAATTTGAATTTACCGCATGTGCTGTAGCGCCAGTCCTTTCCACGACAGCGTTGAAGCCATTAATCTTGTCTGCGGTGTAAGTAACCTTGCGCACGTGGCCATCGGGCTCCACCAGGCTATAGGAACCATGAACAACGCCATTTTGCAGCGTCTCAGAAGCGTCCTTGTGATCACCAGTTGCGGGATCGGCTACGCCGTATGAGAAACTGTAGGCGGGGTTTGGATCAACCGGCTCAGCTCGAACAATCTAATTATAAATAAGGTTTTTAATAACTAAACTATAATGTCTAGCACATTGAATTTTTAAATAGTAAAGTGTAGGAAACCAGTAAATAACCAATAATTATTATTATTACAAGAGACATTTTCGACATCTTAGTAGATGATGTCGTAATGAAAGCATTTACCTTTTCTATAGTTTTCTTTGGTAATGTTTTTGATATATTCAATAATATATTCATTACAAAAACTTCAGGACATTAATACGATGCTTAAGGGATCGGAGACCAAAAAGTTGAAGGGCAGGATTACTACATTACATACTGATCTATCTAAAAAATCTTTCCCTTCTCTTACCACTAGACTTATTTATAATTTCGGAACGGAACAAACGGGGCTGGAGGAGGAACCAACAAAATACTTACCGGAGCTGCCACAGCTTTCACGATAGGCGCAGCAGCGTATGTATGGGCAATCGCTGGCGCCGCGTATGTATGGGCGATAGCAGGTGCTGCATAGGTCGGTGCATACGCCGTGTGAGCGATGGGAGCAGCGAACGCAGGCGCAGCGTAGCCGACGTCATACAAACCAGGACGCGCCGCCGCCAATGCGCAAGCGCAGCAGAAAAACAAAAACTAAAAAATAATGGTAGCCGTAAGTTTATTTTGTAATCATCGCGTGTCTATTTCAGTATAATTGGAATTATAATAGTTTATTGCTGGAAAAAAATTGGTCCCGCTATAAAGTTTTAGTCTTAATTTGGTAGTAACATAAAAATACTGTGATTTAAGAGATATTTCATAGCATATGTTACAGTTTGATCATGATTTTTGCTTTGGCAATAAAATGGTTTCGAATCCTATTGTTTGGCTCACTTTCGCGGACGTGGTTAAAAGCTAGTTTTGTTTTAATATATTTTTATTGCTATAAGCACGCGGTCAGCCTATATTCACGGGTATCACAAACATTTTTCTAGCACTTTTTGCAGTACCTAATAGTTAAGACAATTAAAGTACGGCACAAAATATAAGTTAAATTGTGAATAATGCAACAACAAGCCTTTGATATATTTTTTGAAGTATTATTCAAAATGTTCAGAATAATATGTTCTATAGCTCGTACCTTAGCCAACATCTTGGTCTGTGGGTGCGTTCCTCGTGTGGTTGTAAGCACGTATGTGGTTATCTGGCTGTGCGCAGTATATAAAGGACCGCTAGCCCTTCCGCAGGCGCCTACACTTAGTAGGTGATACACTTTCGCAATAGAACACTGGAGTATGTTACCAGACTGTTTAGAGAGATGAATATCTTTAATATGTAGACTAATTTAAGTCATGAATCAGTCGTCTGGTATTTTTCAGGTCTTTACGTCTAATGCTCTCAATATTAGTAATCGATTTTTGTAATGTTTCTTTACAATCTACTAACTTTACATTATTTACTTTCGTAACAGTTCGTTTGAGGTCGTTTTAAAAGTGATTAATACCCTTTTGGTGAACTCATTATGAATTTGAGGATCACTAGAAATACAGCGTTCTATTGCAAGGTACAATTTTATATACGATTTTAGAATTTAAATTTTATATTCAATGAATAATTGAGACAGTTTGGACAGAAAAGGGATTTAAACTGTCCTGGTCCTGTCTAGGTTGCAATCAACTTCGCTGGTGCAATCATAATTATGTGTGGTATTATCTAATATATAAATATCTCGTGTCACGGTGTCTTGACGGTGTGGTGACGGATTAAGAATACAGAGTGTCACCACCCCTATTCATCCCGTGGGTGTCGTAAGAGGCGACTAAGGAAGCAAACTACGCAGGACAACAGCACTGCAGAGAGAAGGAAAACTTGAAATAAACCCTATACCAACCTGTCTGGCCAGCGTGGTATAGTAGCCCAAAACCTCCTTTCCAAGGAGAGGCCTATGTCCAGCAGTGGACTAGTAAAGGCTGTTGATGTGATGATGATAATGATGGTGTCTTTGGTCGCACTCCTTCGAAAATGCCCGAACGAATTGATTTTTTTTTTGTGGCAAATTTTCCTTCTCTTTGCAGTGTTGTTGTCACATACGGGATAAATTGGTTTGGTGACACTTCGTATATTTCATCCGTCACCACACGACATTTTGGCGTGTATGACACGAACCTCAATTTCAGCAATGCCTTTCGATCACTTCAAATGTTTTACGCTCGAAAGCTCTTGTATTCAAGTAATATAATTACTTTTAAATTACCTGATGGAAAGTGATTACCAACACCCATAAACGCCTGCAACTGTATAAAATATTTCACGAATGCTTTTCATTTAGTAACTAATTGTATACTCTTACTACTAGGATTTCTGTAAGACCCGCCCAACAGTAACCTAATAAAACGTTATGCAAGATACTATACTAAGCCAAGGGTCCTAAGCCAAGACTAGGATACTTTAATCCAATACTTCTATTTCTTCTTCTAGTTCAATACTTTGTATTTTAACTGGATGAGTGGATTATCATTAAAACCATTTCAAGCCCTGTTCTTAGAGGCTCCCCTCTCCAATACCAGAACAAACGCTAACGCTGGCTTCTTCCTTCACTCTAATCTTTCCATCCGCCACTAATTTAAGTCAATTTCAAGTTCTGAAATTATATTATTCATAAAGAAAGTCGACTTCAGTCAGGCGGTCGGCTATACATTTTTTACACTTTCGACAGTTTCGTTATAAATTCCGAACTCGAGAAAAGGAAAACAAAGTAACATTGAGTCAACATTGATATTTTAAAAAGATAACAAGATTAAACACACGTTTCTCCCTACACATTATAGACATAGCAAAATTGCACGCAGTAAAATCGGGCGTTACACATACAGATTGGGTCATAAATATGAATAGCATTTGCCAAGCCCCTATGCGCATATAATAGATTAACTAAAGTTACATGATATTAGAACACTCCAATCGAGGGTACTAAAATCTGTTTTTAGTACCTGCAAGATATCGTTTGATAAATTGCTAAGTGTTCATATATTCTTAAGATACTCGTATGTATATTTTTCCAGATTCTTAAGAGGGTATAAAACACATACTTGGTCAACTATAATTTTAATCCCGTATACGCAAGCCTTCATCCCGGCACTTAAGGAAGTAGATAGAAAATCGGGATCAATATGAAGGAAAAATAATTAAGAAAGAAAAGAAATAACAGGAAAGGGGTATTGTTGCATTGCTTATGTGGTCGAATTGGGGAGTGTCAGACGGCAATACCAGCCGTCTCGACACGGCTGCGGGCCAAAGAGTGGGACCTCTGGTGGCAAATTAATTGCTGCGGTAGGTGGTAGGATGGCGGCCTGATCGCATTAAGACGCAATCGGGCCGCCATCCTGCGATTGAAGGGGGGAGGTCATTTCCTGCACTAGGAATATATCCTGTGTCTCGGGGGACTTTACAAACATACATGAAACGTACACAAAGAACAGTCAGACTCAGAACAACAATTTATGGATCACACAAAGTATTGTACCATGTGGGATCGAACCCACTCAGCGCAGTAGGAAGCGGAGAGGTAACCACTTAAACCGCTACGCTATGCGTGTAGTCAAGTAAGTTTAAATCGATATACTACTACTTTCAAACTCTGGCGTTACTCTATAATAAATATTTCTTTTCGAATGTAATATTTGTGTAAGTGAATATCTAGTTAACTGTCATTATAAGTTCGAGAGTTATAAATCTGAAACTATTGAAATTGTACACAGCACACAGATTAAAAATAAATGAAAGCAAAAGACAGTCCTAGTATTAAAACACTATATGTACTTTGTACTTTGTACATTTGCCGCCCTTTGTACTACATCTGTTGTTAATTACTTTATAATGACTGAAAAACCCTGGTGTACAAATAAAGTATTTATCTATCTACCTATCTATATATTTAAAAAAATACATACTATGTTCACAATAGTTACTTCAGTACATACATAATCAGGATGTCCACTAACCGCTTTACGTTCAAGAAGAAAGTACAAGATCTTCTTGGCAATAAGTTGGCAGAAAGGTCACGACGCTAGTACCCAAATATGTATTAAGATACTTATGTATTTATAAATGTGTATGTTCATGTATTGTTTTATACTTGAGACCTCTATGTATATATGAAGTAATGAATATAGTAATTTATTTATAGCTATACATGTAAGTTAGATTTATCTTAAATTAATACATTGAATATAAATAAAGTCAAATTCTCCTGTTTTCTCTTGCACCTACCGCATCATTTTTCTATATCACCCGAAGGTCGACTGGCAGAGAATGCCCTGGGGTGTACAACTTGTGCATTAAGTTATATAAATAAATAAAATAACGTACGTTCTCCTTAAATACTATATTGTACATGTTCATAGCACTGCTTTTCATCGATGAGTTATAGATGGCAAAGTTAATCTCACATATTTAGTTCAATCAATCGCCAAAATTGTATCTAGGTATGTATATACATGTGTATTTATTAACTAATGAAACTTAATCACCTAAATCTAATAATACAAGTAATGCGATATAGTAACAGGCTAGTTAAATACACACACAAAATTAAAATGTAATAAATATAACATATCTTTGAACTAACTAACGGTTCTACTGTAAGCGATAAGCGTATCCGTTGATTCATTTTCATGAAAAAGAGAAGGAAAACTGGAAACAAACGCTATGTATAGCGTTTGTTTCCAGTTTACCGCTAGCCAGACAGGTTGGTATACCAACCTGTCTGGCTAGCGTGGTATACGAGTAGTAGGCCAAAACCTGCTTTCTAAGTAGAGTCCTATGTCCAGCTGTAGACTACTAAAGCCTGTTGATGATGATGATGATCAACATAAAAAATACACAAATGTCGATGACATGTCTGTATTACGATAAAAATAAAATAGAGTATTATCCCTAAATCATCCTTGATCAGATTTAACGCCTCGCTGAATGTCAGTCAGACCATAGATCACACAGCCTACTTTGTATCAATACCTAAACTACTTAGAAACATATTTCGGCGTAAAGTAGGTCACATTGGCTATTCCGGTACTTAAAACCGCATGTGCAAGCCAGTTTAAAATTCATTTCTAGCCGCGCCCTTAGGTACACGCATAATTCTCTCATGTAGTGGTATGTCGCAAGGACATGGTCTGGTACGAAAGTCAATTCCACATATAATGTTACGTGCTTGTAATGAAATATCTATTACCTTTTTAATAAAATTTAGTGCAAGGATTAAGCAATGATAATAAGTTTGATAGTTATTTGTATGTTTGTCACCAATCTACTGTATTAGGTAAGAACCTGTAAAAATAGATATAGGTATGGAAATAAACAAAAAAATTGAGAACCGCTTCCAAAGGAAATTCCAGATTATATACTTAATTAATATTGAATCCATTTTAGTTTTTTTTGTAATAGCGTAGTCCCTAAAGCGTAGAACTACAGAAATAAGTAAAGAAAGGTTTATTATGTGCCATGGAACAAAAAGGGCAATTCTAAACGGTATTTAGTACTGGTACGCAACAAGAGAAAGTATAGTCGCCCCTTTGTGTCAACCTCAACTAGTTAGGACTGAACATGGATGTGGTGAGTGAACATGGAGTTCCACATCCAGATATTTTTGGATGTTACTTTCCAGTTATTAGTATTTTTTATTTTGATAATAGGAAATCATTTGGAAAATACAAATGGTCTACTAAATAAAATTACATTAAAATGAGAAGAATTAAAGAGGAAAAAAGAAGAATTTATTCATAAAATAACACCACATTTCTTAAAAACAAACTTAAAATTAATGCTTCTTATAAGGAAAAAAAATAACGAATTTGAAACGACTCACCCTATAACACAATATAAATAACCCCTGACACAAATAAAAAACAGTATAAAGCCCAAACGTGGTATATATGCTGTAAATTTCTGAGGAGCAGACTACTTGATGCAGCAGCAAGTTCCAGGTTACCATGGCTTGGAAATATCATCAAAGTAACAGTATACCATATTTCATATCAATCGGACCTGTGGGTTTTAGTGAACATCTCGATCCCATTGGCTTTCGAACAAAAAAATCTGCATCGAAATTGGTTCATCCGTTCGGGAGCTATGATAACACAGACAGACAGACACAAGTTAAACTTATAACACTCCTCGTTTTCCGTCGGGGTTAAAAATTATGACAAATTCAGTTTCATATTATTAAAGGGAGTCAATTGACACTAAAACGAATATTACAGGAAGTTAAAAATGTGAAACCAAAACAAGGAAACCATGTTTATAAAACTCTTATAAAGTTTGAATCAATTCACACCCTCTGGTAATAAAGTTAGAATACACTAAATAAATAAAAATACTACAAGGATTTCCAATAATGAGTTTCCAATAAATTGTAACAAATATTGTTAATATAATTTTATAAATTTTATGTATACTGAAGATATTTTTTTTTCAAAAAATTTGCAACTCTTGCTATAGCAAAAGTTCCAAAATAATTGTTCAGTAAAATGAATTCTCATCTTAGTCACAATACTAAAGTATTCACTCATCATATGAAATATTAGTAATAAGTTTCTGCTTCTACCCATTGGGAAATGTTATTCCTTATAAGATAACGTCTTAATTCATCGCCACATATCATTAGAAACATGAAAGGCCACGCTGAAATAAAATCGTGCCAAGATAGCGGCTCCGTACTGAATACTTCATGACAAAGAGGTACATACGTGACGATGGCCGCTGCAATTAAATCGATAAGAATACTTAAGTTCAGTACTTGGTTACGCATTCCTTTCTTCATAAGTGATATTCGTCTAGTTTTACAAATGATTACATCAGATATCTGGGTCCAGCACACCGCTACAAAATATGCTGTTTGAGCCTTGCGTTCGATCCTTTTTCTATCCTTAAAAGCCCACTCACGACCTAAAGTATCTTTCACCAATGATTTATGAGCTTCCCATTCCTTACGAATGAACATCAAACTTGAAGGAAAGAAACCGTCCTGTGCAAACACAACAAAGTAAGCATACAATCCAGCAAAGAACTGAATGAGCCCCACTTGGAAGTATGCCATAAAAATCAGTACTTTATTAACAAGGTGGTCTGTTGCTTTGCGTGGAGGATGGGACATTATATCTTCCTCGGAATCCTCGTACGCTAAACTCATAGCAGGCAGTAGATCTGTACCTACATTGATAACTAAAATCAGCATCAGTGTCATAGGCAAAGGCATGCCCACGCAAGCGTATAGTACGAAAGGTAGCATCTCAGGGGTGTTTGAAGTAAGCGTATAAGCGATTGTTTTCTTTAAATTGTCAAAAATTCTTCTGCCTTCTTGTACCCCTAACACAATGGAAGCAAAATTATCGTCAAGTAAGATCATGTCTGCCGCTTTCTTAGAAACTTCAGTTCCGGCGATCCCCATAGCTATGCCAATATCGGCCTTCTTCAATGCTGGTGAGTCGTTAACGCCGTCACCTGTCACAGCTACAACGTGTTTCAGTGATTGGAATGTCTCAACTATGAACAGTTTCTGTTGCGGACTAGTCCGTGCAAATGTAATTTCAGCATACTTTTTTTGAGCCGCTTTTAAATCATTAACACTCATTTTACGAAGTTCATCTCCAGTAATGACTGCCGCAGCGAACATATTTTTTACATGATGCGGTACATCAGCTAGTTCAATGTGATGTTCAAAGGCATAATCGTACGCAGTGGGCAGAGTGATAGTACCACACTGCCGAGATATAGCTAATGCTGTTACAGGATGATCTCCAGTAACCATCACCACTTTTATACCCGCTTGTCTACACAAGGCAATAGATTGTGCAACATTTTTTCTAGGTGGATCAATCATAGATATAGCCCCAATGAAATTAAGATCTTCCACTGGAAAGTTACGTTTTTGAGTATCAAATGCGTAGCCTATTGGGTAGGACTCCTGTGGTAACTTTAGGTCACAATACCCAATCACGCGTTCGCCCATGTTTGCCATTTTAATGAAATGTGCTTTAAGCTCTTTCTTTATTATAGGTGTAAGCTGTTGAAGATCGTTATCAGTGTGGAGTCTAGAGCAGTACTCTAAAACAATTTCTGGTGCTCCTTTCATGATCAAATAGTAACTCTTCGTCGCTTGCATGCTATGAATAGTGACTTGATATTTATAAGCTGAACTAAACGGTATTTCTGCTGCTCTAGGATTCTCATTACGAACTTGAGTTGCTGAACGATTAGCTTCCATGTACCGTAGTATTGCTGATTCAGACGCATCACCAAGTATTTTCCGTTTTTCAATTGGTTCGTTCATAGTGTCATGAGTAAATTCAGCTTTTAGATTTAGTGAAGCGGCTAAACATAAAGTCGCATATGTCGGGTTAGATACATGTGTATGATCATTTTTGTCGAGTATTTCGAAATTGCAATATAAGTGAGATACTGTCATCTGGTTTTCGGTCAAAGTGCCAGTTTTATCGGAACAAATGCATGAAGTGGATCCTAACGTCTCCACAGCTTGTAATGTTTTGGCTAAGCAGTTCTTTGCCTTCAGTGCCTTGGCCGACAATGTCATACAAACTGTTAATGTTACTATTAAACCTTCAGGCACATTGGCTAAAATAATACCCAGCATATACTGCAGAGCTGAAAGCCAACTTCCTTGAATAAAATATACCATTAGAAAAAATATTACCCCAAAAACAAATGCTACACTGCATATTAACTTAATAAAATGTGTTATTTCTTTAGCAATTGGTGTTTCTTCCTTCTGCAATCCTGTTACTAAACCAGCAATTCTGCCCATTTGAGTATTTTCTCCGGTCGCAACAACCATGCCTTTAGCGGTACCTTCAATGATGGGACAACCAAAGTACACCATGTTTTTTGACTCCAGAGGATTGGAGTGAGTGCATTCAGGTCTATGTTTGATTGGTTCGGATTCTCCAGTCAAAGATGACATATCAGTATTAAAATTAGAGCATGTAAGAATCCGGGTATCAGCTGGCACTATATCTCCACCTTTCATTTCAACTATATCTCCTATGACTAAGTCGACGTTGGGTATCACTTTCTTTATTGACTCCCTTATTACAACAGCATTGGGAGGTACTAATTTCTCAAAACCACTCATAACGGCTATATTCTTTGCTTCCTGATAAAAACCAAATAGACCAGTGCCGACTATCGTAAAAGTTATGACCGTTCCTAAATAGAGATATTCTTTAGCGGTATGGCCACCTTCTTCATGTCCGGAGTCAATATAGCTAGACCCAAAGTAAGCTATAAAATTAAGGATTGCCCCAGCCCAAAGAACACACTGAAACCATCCAAAAAGATTATGACGAAAGACTTTCCACATACTTGTGCCATGGAGCTCTACAAGGGCATTGGGCCCATGAGTCTCTAGGAGTTCAGCGGCAAAGCTTTCGGTTAGACCAGTATTCACATTGGAGCGGTATACAACTTCCAGTTGGGTAGGTGTGAGAAAGTGGTCGCCAGTGTGATTCTCTTCCTTCAAGACGTCCATCCGGGAACTAACGGGTGCACTGCCCACGATTAGACTCGGCAGTCGCTGAAGCGTGGACGAGTGGATCCTGGTAACTGATAGGGACATCATGCTGGACCGCCGGCGGTTGACCCGCCCGCCTTGACCCCCGTGCGTCGGCATTGTTGGATCAAACTAAACCGAGCTCTGGAGAATGGTAATGGTAAAATAAAGTCAAATGAATATTGCGGAATAATATAGTATCAGACCATAATCGGCAATGAGTGTCAATATGTTGACATCTTTGTCAGTGAGACACGACTTTCTTCGAAGTAATCTATTGGTCTTTATTTTTCAATCTCCACGTTGAAGGTTCTAAGCATTCTCCTCTACAATTAGGTAATTCGTAAGAAGCTCAGTTATGTTAGCTCGGTCCATTCGGTTAGGTACATTCGTTTTTATTTTTATTTCTTCTTTACATAGTTACGTTCTTAACAACTTCTTAAGGACGTAACTGTGTAATATTTCTTTAGCTATGATTATGCAGAGAAAGGGGAATATCGTCAGATTTATATGTTGACTTTACTGTATTAAAAGTAGAAACTTCAAAAATATTTTTCTTGCGTCCAATACTTACTAAGATATTACATTTTTTAGTAAAGCGAGAGACGCGGAGTCGCGTCCGGTACTGGGACGTCTCTCTACAACACGGTCACTTACTTCAAAAAAATATTGTGACAGTGTTAAAATACTAAGGTACCGTTTGTTGTTTTTATAGTGCCATTTAAACCTAAAAGTGAAAGAAATTGGATGTAAATCATGATGAGGGCTAACCGGTTTGCCGCTACTAACTTTTAAAAATAATCACCAACTTTAATGCGCAACAATAAACTGTATTCTTCTTTCCTCAATTTTGTAGGTAGTTGTTTTTTAAGCTATTGCATAGCTTCTATCGCGGGCCTTGAGCGAGGGGACCGAATCCAGAAATTCCGTACCGAAAAAAAACCTCACGCTCCCCACTCCGACCGGCACAGCGGTGACACTTTTTAGTTTTGCCATCTATCGATGAATAGCAGGTTCCTTTGACATGACAAAGGGGGGAGACCAGTTTATTTTCATTAATGTAATAACATCCACATACAATACACCCCCCCCCCACCAAAAAAATTATAATTGCATTGAGGTCCCTTCAAAATACCTCCCCTTCTCTCCCCTCCACTTTTTTCATTTATCCCCTCTTTGATTTTCTTGGTACCTGGAGCAATTGAACTCCCATGTTTGGGTTTGTCTGAACCGTGAAAAGGAGACGAACAATCTGGCCCCTACAGATTTTTTTAAAAGTATCGTGACATGTAACAACACTTCAGTCTGTTTTTCTAAAGAGGGGCGAGGGGGGAGGGTATTTTCGAGGATGACTTATTTTTTTATGATTGCATTGAGGTCCGCACAAAACACCCCCCCCCCCCCCCCTCACCCTTCAATTTTTGGAACGAAGTTCCTTATCGCGCGTTGTGAAAGGGGGCTAGACGGAAAAAAATCGTACGAAAATTTGGAACGACACTTTTAATATAAATTGACGTCTAACTGTGGATACCATACATTAAATTTGCGTTAACGTTCGCCAACGTCCATACCATGTTGAATACACCGGTTCTCGTCCAATCACCGAAGTTAAGCAACATCGGGCGTGGTTAGTACTTGGATGGGTGACCGCCTGGGAATACCACGTGATGTTGGCTTTTTGCTCTTTATTTTCGTGTCATCTTGTCAGACATTCAGCGCCATCTATCGAATAGATAGGAAATCATTTCGCAAGGAGATTTTACCAATGTATAAATTGTTTTAATTGTTTTTAATATGTAGGTAATAGCCGCTTTCATAGATGGCGTTGTAATTAAAATCGTGTCAAATCAGTTTTACTCGATCGTCACAACTTCGTTCCTATCGGGTGTCCCACGACACCACACGGCTTTTTTTTTCATTTATCCCCCCTTTGATTTTCTCGGTTCCTGGAGCACTTGGACACCCCATGTTTGGGTTCGTCTGAACCGGGAAAAGGAGACGAACAATCTGGCCCCTGCAGATTTTTTAGCTGGTACCCGCGACTTTGTTCGTGTGGAATTTTAAAACACTGCCTTAGTGGGTTCGATTCCGGAGCCGGGCAAAATTCTATAGGGTTTCCCTAAGATAATTATTTAATACTAGCTGGTACCCGCGACTTCGTTCGCGTGGAATTTGAAAACGCTGCCTTACTGGGTTCGATCCCGGCCGGGCAAATTTCTATAGGGTTTTCCTGAGATAATTATTTAATACTAAGTTTATTAATACTAAGTTGATAAAAAATACTATGCAATAGCTTTACCGCGGCAGTCCCCGAGTGCCACATGTCTTTTTTTTTTTAAATCAGGTCTTTATTGATGGAGTTCTAAGTTAACAAACATAAAAAAGCCGAATCGGGAACCTCTTCCTTTCAATTTTGAAGTCAGTAAAATCTTGTCTAGCTTTTTAGCCTACTTTGGCGTCGAAACCTAAAAAGAGGGCTAAGTGAGTAATTATAGTGTGAGGCGGTTAATCGACTTTAATACATGAAGTTAAAGACCTTAAATCACAAAAAAAAGCTCATGAGAAATGACTAATTCAGAATATAAGAGAAAAAACGGGTTGAAGTAAAACATATTCCGGGTATATGTGCATGCGCCACTAACCTCTATTATACAAGTATAATATATTTAACTGAGGTAAAGCAAATAAAAAAATGATAATTAGTTCGATACAAATGCAATAAATTTTTGAACCCGTGCAATGGTTTACGGTCTGTCTGAATTTCATTAAAAACGTGTTAACGCGCTTCATCTGCGCGCGTTAAACATACGTCGTGATTTTTCAAATAAAAAATAACAATATTAGGAAGCAAGATGTTTTATTTAGTATATTTGTTCAAATAAGGCAAGCAACTTAGTTGAACACCGTAGTAAAAACTAAAAATAGTAAAAAAAGTTTCTCTGGAAATCTCTAGCACTATAGTGCTATCTAGTAATTACATGGTAGCCCACAGCGGCACAACATTAGGGCTTTTGCACTTTAATTATTAGGTAGAGCGACATGTATTTTATTTCAACTGAACTTAGAAAGATTTCATAAAACATAGTTCACAGAGATAGTTCGACTCAATTCAATTTGACTTGTGTTAATAAAAGTGTGAGACTTCAATTTTATTATTCACAGACACAGTTGAATGATTAAAAAAAAAGCACGTAATCAATATTACAATAAGTCAAAGTTACTTAGAAATTAAGGGACATTAATAATAAACTTCATTTTTCACAAATTCTGAAAGGTCATTTCTAATGATATAACGCCTTATTTCATCGAGAACTATCATTAAAACCATAAAAGGCCATGCCATAAAAAAATCATGTAGACATAGCGGTTCTGTATTAAAAAACTCATGACAAAAAGGTACATAAGTAACAACGGCCGCCGCTAAGAAATTTATAACAATACTCATGTTAAGGACCTGGTTCCGCATTCCCTTTTTTAAAAGTGATATTCGTCTCGTTTTACAAATTATTACATCTGAAATCTGAGTCCAACAGACCGCAACAAAATAGGCAGTCTGCGCCTTCCTTTCTATCTTTTTTCTGTCAATAAAATTCCACTCACGACCTAAACTATCTGTCACCAACAGTTTGTTAGACTCCCACTCTTTACGAACGAACATTAAACTTGAAGGAAAAAAACCATCTCTTGCAAACACAACAAAGTAAGAATACAAGCCACCAAAAAACTGTATCAAGCCTACTTGGAAATAAGCTATGAAAATCAACGCATGATTGACCAGATGGTCGGTTGGCTTCCGTGGAGGATGAGACATTATATCTTCCTCGGAATCCTCGTATGCTAAACTCATAGCAGGCAGTAGATCTGTACCTACATTGATAACTAAAATCAGCATCAGTGTCATAGGCAAGGGCATGCCCACGCAAGCGTATAGTACGAAAGGTAGCATCTCAGGGGTGTTTGAAGTAAGTGTATAAGCGATTGTTTTCTTTAAATTGTCAAAAATTCTTCTGCCTTCTTGTACCCCTAATACAATGGACGCAAAATTATCGTCAAGTAAGATCATGTCTGCCGCTTTCTTAGAAACTTCAGTTCCGGCGATCCCCATAGCTATGCCAATATCGGCCTTCTTCAATGCAGGTGAGTCGTTTACGCCGTCCCCCGTTACAGCCACGACGTGTTTTGATGACTGAAACGTCTCGACTATAAACAGTTTCTGCTGAGGACTGGTTCTAGCAAAAGTTATTTCAGAGTACTTATTTTGTGCTTCTTTTAAATCATGAATACTCATTTTACGAAGTTCCTCTCCAGTGATGACCGCAGCTGAAAACATATTTATTACATGCTGTGGTATGTCTGCTATTTCGATGTGATGTTCAAAAGCATAATCGTATGCAGTTGGTAATGTGATAGTTCCACACTGTCGAGATATAGCTAACGCTGTTACAGGATGATCTCCAGTGACCATCACTACCCTTATTCCCGCTTGTTTACATAAAGCAATAGACTTTGCAATATTATGTCTCGGTGGATCAATCAAAGATATTGCTCCAATAAAATGAAGATCTTCTAACGGGAAGTTGCGTTCAAGAGTATCAAAGGGGTAACCTATAGGATAAGCCTCCGGAGGTAACCTCAAGTCACAATATCCAATTACGCGTTCGCCCATGTTTGCCATTTTCATTAAATGTGTCTTTAGCTCTTTTTTTATCATAGGAGTGATAGGAGTTAAACCGTCGTTAGTGTGGACTTTAGAGCAGTACTCTAGAATGATTTCTGGTGCTCCCTTCATTATTAAGTAATAACTCTGCGTCGCTTGCATTCGATGAATAGTAACTTGATATTTAAAAGCTGAGCTGAATGGTATTTCTGCTGCCTTAGGATTGTCCTTACGAATTTTAGTTGCCGAACGATGCGCTTCCATATACCGTAATATAGCTGACTCAGATGCATCACCTATTATTTTCCTTTTATCAATTGATTCATTCATAGCGTCATCAGAAAATTCAGCTTTTAGGTTTAGTGAAGCGGCTAAACATAGAGTTGCATAGGTGGAGTCAGAAACGTGTACATAATTTTTCCAATCTAGTATTTCGTAATTAGAATATAAATGAGACACTGACATCCGATTTTGGGTCATTGTACCAGTTTTATCAGAGCAAATACACGACGTAGATCCTAATGTTTCAACAGCTTGTAAGGTTTTTGCTAGGCAGTTTTTTGACTTCAGAGCTTTTGCCGATAAGGTCATGCAAACTGTTAATGTTACTAAAAGACCCTCAGGAACATTCGCCAATATAATTCCTAACATATACTGTAATGCAGTTAGCCAGCTCTTCTGTATAATATATACCATAAAGAAAAATATTGCACCAAAAAAGAATGCTACACCACATATAATTTTAACGAAGTATGTTATTTCTTTGGCAATAGGTGTTTTCTCTTTCTCTAGTCCTGTTACTAAACCGGCTATTGTTCCTATTTGAGTTTTTTCTCCGGTTGCCACCACCATGCCTTTAGCGACGCCGTCCAGAACAGGACAACCGAAATACAACATATTTTTTGATTCTAGTGGGTTTGAATTGGTGCACTCAGGTCTGTGCCGAACGGGTTCAGATTCTCCAGTTAAAGATGACTTATCGGTAGTAAAATTAGTGCAGGTGAGAATTCGAATATCAGCTGGTACTATATCTCCACTTTTCATTTCAACGATATCACCGACTACCAGTTCGGTATTGGGTATCACTTTTCTCTTTGACTCTCTAATTACTACAGCATCGGGCGGTACTAATTTTTCAAAGCCGCTCATGACAGCAATATTCTTGGCTTCCTGATAGAAACCAAATAGACCTGTGCCTAATATAGTAAAGGTTATCACCGTTCCTAAATATAAATATTCTTTAGTGGAGTGGCCACCATGGTCTTCTCCTACGTCCAAATAGCTAGAACCGAAATAAGCAATAAAGTTTAGAATTGCACCAGCCCACAGAATACACTGAAACCATCCAAACAGATTGCTCCGAAATATTTTCCACATACTTGTACCATGGAGCTCCAGGAGAACATTAGGTCCATTACTTTCTAATAGTTCAGCGGCGAAAGTCTCTTTAAGACCAGAATGGATGTTGGAGCGGTATACAAGTTCTAGTTGCTTGTTTGTGAGGAAGTGGTCACCAACGTGCGACTCTCCTTTCAATATATCCATTTGGGATGTAATAGGTGCACTGCCAGCAATCAGGCTTGGGAGTCGCTGCAATGTGGAAGATTTGAGTCGTGTGCCTGATAGAGTCAACATGCTGGAGTGCGGCCGGTTCACCCGCGACCCGTGCATTGTTATTGTAGTTTATGTTTTGTAAATACTTTATTACTAAATAATAATAACAGTAAAGAAATTAGGGTTTGACACATTTGTCATTATGGCACTGTCATTACGATACCTTCTATAGACGATGCCTTTCTACAATGTAGAGAAGCTGTCAAATCCAGTATCTGCAGATAATTACTATTTTCATTACAAATTACAAATTTCCCTGACTAGAAACCTGTCTATCTGTCTACAATAGACCTGATGGTATGCTGAGTCTAGCTTAGATCTCCAGCAGCTAACTTGTACCCTGACGAAACACGTCAATGAAGAACCGTGGCTATTCGCGGCTAAACTGAACCAGAACTATTTATTAAGATATTTCAGACATTTATAATTGTTACGAAAATAATCATATTTTTTCATGTATTATTCGTTTTTTTGAATGCCTAAAAGTGCAAAAAATGGGGGTTGGAAATTTAAATGAACATTTGTTATTATTTGTCGCGAGGACGAAGTCACCGGCAAAAGCTAGTCTTTAATAAATTGCTTAGCAACAAGCACAGGATATATTAATAAATACATTTAAGTCTCCATTAAAAAAAGTCCTGATTAAAAATGATATTATTATGCATTGGACTTTATCGCTGTCAATTTGCAGTATTTGTTGTTTATTCTTTTTAATTTTTGTTTATTCTTTCTGTCATTAATTAGATCGATTGAATATTTGGCAGTGTAGTAATCCAAATATTACTGTACCCTGTTTAGTAATATTTCTATGGTAATCAATGATAGTAATAATATATGTTATTATGTTCCATTTATATGCATGTAAAAAATTGAAAATTTGCACAGCCATAACGGTAAAGCGCATTGAACCTGTATATGGATTTAACACTAAGTAATTACCTGTGTTATGCAAATAAACAATCTGCATCAGTTAGTTTAAAAAGTCTTACAGTACAACTAGACTGCACGGGTGGCGTAGTTGTTTAAGCGGTCACCTCGCCGCTTCCTTCGATCCCGTCTTGGGGCAACACTTTGTGTGATCCACAAATTATTGTTCTGAGTCTGGGTGATCTCTGTGTCCGTTCGTTTATGTTTGTGAAATTGCCCGCGACACAATATATTCCTAGTACAGGAGTTGTCTTTAAAAAAAATAAGGAAAGAAGAAAAAATAGCATGGCCAAAAAAATTCAAACTGAAACATCAAAAAACTTTATAAAACATTTTTATTAAAAAAAATACCTTTTCTACAATACATAACACACATAATTACAACAGGTCGTTACATTTCTGGTGTGAAAAAAGACAGAACTTGTATGCACTAACTTTTATAAAACTGTTAAAATAAAATTTATTTTTAAACTTTATTAGAAAGGTGATATAAAATAAAAACTCTTTAATATTTAACCTTTTGACCGCCACAGTCATCTATACAAAATGTGTTCAGCACGCCACGGTTCCGAATGAATGACAGACTATTAAACGCTAAAAATCCTAAAATAAATTATTGTTTTTCTTTTTGTTTTATTATTATATAGCTAGACTTGTCCTAATTTATATTAAGTAAACATTCATTATACTTTTGAAATCGTAGCTTGGCGCGGAGAGCACGCTTTTTGACATGGTGGTCATAGGGTTAAGAGGCCACATACCAATAGTGCCAGAAAAAAACAATTCTAATGTGGGAGAACCTGTATCACGTTCCTCTATTATACTTTAACTACCTTAATGCGTGTGTGAAAAGCTGTGGATGTGGAATTTTTCATCTTACTTCGTTTTTTTAGGAAAGGCATTATTTTTCACAGTTGTTAAACGTTAAATCATTCATCATTCCTTTTTTCAATAAATTCTTACAATAAGGATTGAATTTCTTCAAGCCAATACATCGCCAGCAACATGAAATAAACATCGAATATTTGAACAAAACACAATACAACATAAAGCTCATGTTTTGAAATTACATGATTTTTATGACGACAGATTTTTGCGACATTAAAGTTAACGACACTGCATTATCTGTATTTTTTTGTTGTTTATTTCATTTAGCTAACGGCCATTATAATGTGAAGGAAGGGATACGATTGCGATTTCGTAATCTCATAACTATAAAAATTAAGTTTATAATTATGAGATTACGAAATAGGGTTTACGATTAAAATTTGTTTCTGTTTGTTTCTGACCTTTGAGGAGTTGGTGATATCGCATATTCTACTCAACCAGGCGGCTTGAAGGGTACCTACGTCACTTCCAAGATGATGATACAATTTAATATAAATCTATATTCATTTAAATCTATTTTAACTAACGGTGATCTGAAGTTACAAATGTTAATGTTAAAACCCAATCCACAGAATTGAGAACCTATTACTTTTATCATTTATATTTTACGACGTCGAATGACGACAATTCACTTTTGTAATTTTCTGCCTTTTATCATTTACAATTTAAGTGCATGTCACAAAAAGCCGTTTACTTTTTTTACCAAAAACCATTTACCAAAAACGGGAATCCCGGGGAAGCTTTGAGTAATAAAAGCTGATAAGCTAAAGCTTCAGCAAGAAACTAGATTTTAGAATATAGAACATCGAAATTGTTTTAAAGAAATAATGAGTATGAAAAGATAGCTTATGAAAGGAAATAATAAATATAGCACGATTAAATATATATATTTACACCGCATCGTATGTACATTTATTTTCATATAGCGTGGTGACGCGTCGCCACGCCAATAACCGATTAAATGTTTCACATCAAAATTTTAAAGAGTGAAGCATACTGCCGCAGTGATGTTAGGCGTCACTCCATTAGTAAGATCCTTAGAAATATACACGTGACTAAAACCGTATATTTTTACTAAACTTTATTGGGTTTATATATGTTGACAATTCACGAAGCTGATATTAGACTGCAAATAGAATAGGCGCTATAAAATGCAACATTGTTTGTTTGTTAAATTGCTAGATTTGAAAAAAAATACTTAATTACAACTTAGAAAATACAATTTGCTTACAGTGAGCATTTACAATAAAATGACGATCAAATATACATAAATTAGTAAAATAAATATAGTCTATGTACATTTAATTTATGCTAACATGAAATGGTTACTATTTAATATTCCAAATCCAATCAATCATAATCAAACTTATTTCAGTAAAATAAATAAAACGCGTTAGCAAAAAAATGCTGTTAAACATTCTAGCAAAAAATAAGGATAAAATTGAGCGAGGCTTAGTAATAGTAGTCACATAATAAGATGTGTAATATCTCCCATCTCACTTACCATCAGACGGACTACTCTAGCACTGCGCGCGCTCATTGGTTTGCATTTCCATCCCTTTTTACGTAATCACTACCGCACTAGGTCCTAGTGCGACTTTATTTCACAACAACGCCCTCGTGACGGTGACCGCGTTTGGCGTTGCGACTGGCCCGCACTAAACTCATCACCAATCGCGATCTCGATATGAAATAAACTCGCACTAGGCCTACAGATTCTAAGAATGTGCAAGGAAAGACGTTACATATCATATAAAAATATAAATCTTCATTATTACAAGGCATTGTAATCTGATTCAATATCGACGCGACGACGCTTAATAAATGACAAAAGTACGTAAATTGAGTTTTATTTTACCTCTTTTACTTCATTTTTTTTTTAATTTTACTTACTTTTGTCGTTTAGTAAGGTTTGGATTTCGTGTAAATATTAGTATCATACTGTTTGTTTTTATTTTTATACTAGCAATGTTTCTCATGATTTTATTTTTCCCTATGGTAAACTCGACACTTACTAATGTTTTATATATATATATGAAACATTAGTAAGATAAAAGAACTGACTATCAAATGACAAACGTAAACAATAACAGAAGGTACTTTCTTTAAGTTACTGTTTTAAAAAAAAACACGTTATAATTAAATTCAATACAATTAAAAAAAAATTACAACATTTAAAAAAAATGGTCTTTGCTTAACGGAATTATTAGATAATGTACCAGACTATGTAACTGAGGCGAGTCCTTAAAACTGATTAATATATTATTCTTACCTACATACATTATTCCTATAAGAAACTACAAATGTCTACAGAAATTACTCTACAAATGTACATATACACGCGTACTTATAAATACTTATAGCTACTTGGGAAATAATTAGGTATTTATCACAGTAACCTAAATTGCACAAATGTATTTTTGATATCGACAAAATTTGCTAATACCCGGAGTTCGAAGGTTAAATAAAAAGCCAATCAGCGATCACAACATCAGGAATTATAAATAGCAACCATACACATCAATTCATGAAGCAACTAATACACCTACATTATGTCTTTTATAATACAATATTATGCTAGAAACTAAACAATTTGTTCATTTATTACCCTTAAGAGATAAATTAATATTACTTGTATATACAATTTAGCTTTAAAGAACGTGGAGAGGCGTGTGTTTATATGTCTAATGTACTTATATATTATGTCTGGATAGAAACTTGAAAGACTTTAGTTTCTTTAAATTAAAATAGAAAGGAAACAAGTTTTTTTTTTCTATGGTATAAGAGGCAAACGAGCAGACGAATAATCTGATGGTTTGTGACCACCGCAGCCATGGACACCTAGACTCACACATACAACTCAAGAATCATAAGTGCGTTGACGCGATTTTAGCGCTCCCCCCTCCAGAAATAGGGGAGGGGGAAGTTGATAAGTTGCAGTTCCATAAGAGCCACTGTCTAATCTAAAGCAGTTTAAAAAGAATCACAAATTATTGAAAATTATACGATCTTTAAGAATACCACCTAAGACCATTGGTATATTTCTGGATATTTATTTTGTATTCCAAACAGATAACATTTTTTTTAAACTAATGCCATAACAGAGTTATAAAAACACCGTCAGTAAAATTCTTTTGGTGGTCTTATACTAAGGGCCCGGTGTGAGTTTTTTCACATCAACTCGGTCTCGACATTAAATTCTCCATCAATCGCAAAGCTGACCGTGACGATTGAGTAAACGTGAAATAAATTCACACTAGGCCTATATTTTTAAATAATTGTCCGAATTTCTTACATATTCTTTTTTTGGTCATGGTATACCAAAGGTTTCTCTGACCATCTAATTTTTATAAACTTATTTTAGCTTTAGTTTATAAAAAAGGTATGCGTTTGAAATCCTATCAATATTAGGAACGCAAAGGTTTGTGGGGATGGATGGCTGAAAGTAACCGGATAAAATTTGGCACTGAGATAAGAGATTAGAGAGAGAGAAAGAAAGATTATCAAGGAGAAAAATTTATTGACAAAATCGACATTAAAGTGAGTGAGCTAGACTAAAAAAATAAGACTACAATGGTATTAGAATGTGGTATAGATTAATTATATCGCATATTATTTTAACCTACAAACAAATCTATATTAACTGTTTTTAACAATTAAAAAGTAATTATTATGCGTTAAAACTCTTTGGTAATAACTACTTTGTACTTTTAATGCGAATGTAAGAGGACAGAAAGCACTTTATTTGTGAAACCGGAATTTATATTTATAATGTAGGACACTTTTTTTTCGAACAGTACAATGGATCAGACGTGCTTATTTGGTTAATGAACCAGACCAGCCAGGAGTCGTGGGTACGATTCCCACCCCGGACAAATAATTGTGTAATGAGCACGTACAAATATTTCATATTAAAGTACTAGTTTTTTGCAATTTTACCCTTCTCCCCACCTTCCCCTCAGTTACCACCTGTAGTACATGACAAGATTCACCCGCTCTTCCTCCTCTACTTTTCATGAAGTAATTCATAAATATGATTTAATTATTTTTTTGCAAACAGAAATTAAATATGTCTGCCATATTTGATTATAGCTCGAAAAAGAGCAAAATTTCAGCAGAGCATATTGACTACGTAAAGAAAACCTAAGCCGTCCCCCCGCCACTGGGACCAAGCGTGGTATTTTGATGACCCCTTTCACCTTGACCAGGTCACGTAGTATGAGTATATTCCCTTAATAAGATGTTTTTAATAATATATGTATGGAACAATTCAAGAACAAACAGTCGCGAGTAAAGGGTCCTCAAGGTCCTCAATTATATGTATCATTTATAAATAAATCCAAATTTCGGATGCACAGAGTTATCACACATCATATATATAACCACTATTAAGTCTCGAGTTAATATTCACAAACGTTTAAAGACGATTATTCCATATCTATACGTAAACGCATTTATCGAACGAAATAATACTCTGTAATCTAACCTAATAATTACTGCACGCTCCTATAAGGTAGATTTTACTTGATGATCCTGAAGAACATAGAAACATAAAAACCTGGACCCAAGCGTGGACCCACCTGGACCTAAGCCAGGACCACAACAACAATCTTAGACTCTTAATGTCGTCTTTTAAAATTGTAAACCTAAATAACTAAGTATATTATAAACCTAAAATATTTATCATAAACTGTAATATGTATTTAGAGGGCAATTTTTTTGGAGTCAGCCAACAAATAGCATAGAATCAAGCTTTCTATATCTATGTATTATTATTTTTAATACAAAAGAAAAGTAACTCTTGCGTATAGAGGATACGACACAAATTAGCTTACGCAAGATAAAAATAAGCGAATGTTTTTTTAGAGGAATGTTGATTTCTTTTCCAGTTAGTTTGTACTTAATTACCTAGCAATTTAGGTCGCGATTTATTTGACTGTCTTTAATAAGTGAGCATTCTGTTCAACTCCGCACTACAATATAAATCGTAATAGCGTTTATTTATCCATATATTGTGTAGTGTGGATCTATTATTGCCTACCCTCTCTCTCTACATATTACAAAGGGAGAAAGGAGAGTCTCGATTTTTGACATTATGAGCTTCCATCACCCTAATATCATAGATTTAACTCCCTTAACAGAAATGATTTAATAACAAAATTCAAGTTGAACAGGTAATTTAAATAACTAACGTAGAGAAATTACAAATGGCTAATATATAAAAGTTTTTTTTTCATTTTACAAAGCGCATTATATAAACTACACGAACACACTGAACTCTTTTGAACTTTACTCAAAATATTATTATTTTCTACACAACATTCTTTATCACTAAAATAGAGGAAAATGGACCCAAATGGAGAATCATTAGGGTCTGCTGTCCATCGAGTCACAGATATTGTACTACTGACAGTTACATTGAACTGTAAAGTGAAATGGCTTGTTTTGAAGAACAAAATATTAATCATTACTTTCTGATTTTCAAAAGAAAAAAAAGTATTCTTAGAATATAAAGGACTACTAAAGCTCGGTTTAGAAAAGTCGAGTATACACATTTTTATTTTTTATAGTTAATTTGCATTGAACAATATAATACATGCCTTAACCTATGACCCTTAAATATTATTTTTATGTAACTCTAGTATGTAACAAAGTTATACAATCCTCTCCGCTTCAATGTGCATCAACCTTTACACTTAAGGAATATTATAAATTATTTTCTTAATATACAATTATTAATAATCAGCAAAGCAGACTAATACTACCGTTATCACTACCTAATAAAAGTAATCTATTTAATGGTAACACTGACATACAAGTTAGAACTCCTTTGAAGGTGTCTGAACGAAGCTTGGTGCTTGAGAACGAGGCATCCTGGTCTAAGGAAGTGTGCACTCCAATGCGGTTGTTTGTTGTCCCTGATATTAGCTCGTTGTAGTACACAGCGAGACAGTGGACAGGCTCTGTGCTGCCTCTGTTAAAAAAACTGGTTATAGATAACCCGGTTCAAGCAACTGTAGTCCTTAAAAAGTATTAATTAAAGTAGTTAATTAACTATCAAGGTACAGTCGGTTCTAAAACTACGCCCAAAATTTAAATTTGATAGCCCGGTTCAAGCAGTTGTAGTTCTTATTGAGTAAGAATTAAAGTACATATCGAGGTACTTTCAAAACAAAAGCGAAAACAAGAGTTTAACGAAATACCATCAGATTTTAGAAAACTTCTATTAACGTCTTTCAAACCCACTTTAGTTACATCTTTGACTCGGTACTCAATCGAAATGTTAGGTTACCAGCTGTAATTTTATTAATAAATAGCTGTATCCTTGCCAAGCTCCGCGGTGGCACATTGTGGACATAAAAAAATGGATAAAAGCCATGTTTGAAGCGGTTTGTACATGATGTCAAATTTTGAGCTCAATCGGTGAAGAACTTTTACAGTAAGAGTACACAAACCAACTTAATATTTTTATAAATATATAATAAAAAAATATTTTTTTACCACAATATAGTACTCGTATACGAGTACATTACATTTAAAAAATATAATATACATATTACCCTATCTAGAATATTGGGGGAGATTAATGCCTAAGATAAGATCAAGATTAATGATCATCATCAACAACAGCCTTTAACTCTTCACATGCCACCCCTCTGATATGCCTCTACACTATAAAGTGCTTTCACCAGTAAGCACTGAACAGTCCACCGCTGGACATAGGCCTCTTCTTAGAAAGGAGGTTTTCGTCTACTATACCACGCTGGCCAGACGGGTTGCTAGAGGGTTTTTTTCAAGTTTTCCTTCTCTATGAAATGCTGTTGTTCTGCGTAGATTGCTTCCTTAGCCGGCTCTTGCGACACCACGGGATGGTGAGAATCCGTATACTTAATCCGTCACCACACGGAAATTAATAGATTACAAATTTAAGTAGGAATCAAAAATCAAAAGGGTTCGAGATAACTCACTTCAAGTGTGCTATAAGTTCGCCGTCATCTGGTCTCCAAAGCGCCGTAACTTGATCCAACCCCGAACTCAATAATCGGTGTTCGTCAACCGTCGCCAGGCGAAGCACCTGAACATCATCACAAAAAAATAGTATCAACTTAGAAGTTTTCAGAAAAAGAATAAAATAAAAGCCGTTAAAGCCGTGGTGTTATAGCCTATAGCCTTCTTCGTTAAATAGACTATCCAATACTATAAAAAAACTTAAATTCAAGCAGGTAGTGCCTGAGATTAGCGCGTTCAACCAAAGATGCACACTCTTTCTAATATTAGTATTGATTACATTATTTAAATTTCTTTAGTTTTTTCTCTTTTTTTTAAAGACAACTCCCGCATTAGGAATATATCGTGGGGGGGATTTTACAAGCATACATGAAACGGACACAAAGGATACCCAGACTCAGAACAACAATTTGTGGATCCCACAGTGTCGTCCCATGTGGGGATCGGAGCCACAACACTCACATCACACATCATCACATCAACAGCCTTTAATAGTCCACTGCTGGACATAGGCATCTCCTTAGAAAGGAGGTTTTGGCCTACTATGTGTAGTAGGCCAACTCAGTGTAGTAGTAAGCAGCGTGACGACCGCTTAAACTACTACGCCATGTAGAATTTTTTCACATCTCACACACGGCTGTCTGATCTCAAACTAGTCAGAGCCTGTGCGTTGTAATAAGAATGCTGCTAAACATAATTAAATAATTCTAAATACACACATATTACTGATAAATTACATTCAGAGTACAGAAAAATTAAGTACAGAACAAGGGTGGGAATTGAACCCACGACCTCCGGCTGGACCGTCATATTACTATGAAGGTGTGCGTACCTCTCCATCGTGAGCCCTCCAGGTGGCGAGCGTGAGGCCGGTGCGCAGGTCGAGCACGGCCACGTGTCCGCTGGCCAGCCCGCACGCCGCCCAGCCCCCGCTCGAACACACGCACATGCAGCGGATGAACGTCGTCGCGCTCATCGGCAACTAACACATGCATACTTCATTGAAACAAAAAGAACCCGATAGCATTAATACGGGGGAAACCAGAAGGGTAGTCATCGACAGTCTTTAATAGTCCACTGCTGGACATAGGCTACTCCTTAGAAATAAGGTTTTGGCTTGCTATACCACGCTGGTCGGACGTGTTGGTATAAGGTTTGCGTCCAGTTTTACTTCTCTTCGCAGTGCTGTTGTCCTGCATAGTTTGCTCCCTTAGTCGGCTCTTACGACACCCACGGGGGATGGTGACACTCCGTGTTAATCCGTCACCATACATAAGAGGTGTAGTAAACATTTACATTTCATCTCTATTGCCGTTATTGGACACTGGGAATTAACATGATCATGAACGAATCGACATCACGCCTAATCAATCCCTATCCTAGAGAAAAAGACTTCCCCCTCTCAATCGCGGCGTGGCGGCCCGATTGCGTCTTAATGCGATTGGGCCTCCACCCTATGCCCATTACATGATCACCCTGGCGAATAAGTTAGTTAGTTACGATGATTCATAGAACCATATTATATTATGATAGTCATTTTAATGTGTATCTATTATATATACCTTAAGTTCATATGAGTTTTGTGGCGCCCTCGCGTCAATAATCCTTAACGTGGCGTCTGTAGTAGCCGCTAAGATGGCCGCTGAAGGGCCTGCTAATGTCCGGACAATGCTCACTGGTGACTTTATATTGTCCAACTATATAAAACACAACAGAAATGAATCAATAACTTATTTAATATTAATATTGACATAATGTTCAAGAAGCATAAAATAAAAACGTCGTATGCTACATAATAGGGGTTAAAGTTTGAATTTGCCAATGTATAGTAATAGATACTTTGAATTGACATAAAACCTTCATGGTGTGAGATTTTCGTGTGAATTTTTCTTTCACATGATACCTATGAGGTTCTTCTTTAAAAAATGTGCAACTTTCGATATTCGACTTTCAATTCTTTTTTTACTCAACTTAGACCTAAAAGATGGATTCTCCGAAAATCCAAATCATTTTTTAATACAAGTTCCGACGCGGAACTAATGCTGCAGAAACGGCTCGCAATATCAACGCTGCCTTTGGAGAGGAGACTGCTAATGAACGCACCGTGCGTTTTTGATTTAAACGCTTTCATAATGGAAACTTCGACTTGAAGAACGAACCACGTGGAAGATCGCCCACACAGGTGAATAATTGAAGGAGATGGTGGCAGCCGATCCTAGTCAAACTACTTTACAAACATACATGAAACAGACACAAAGTTCACCCAGACTCAGAACAACAATTTGTGGATCACACAAAGTGTTGTCCCATGTGGGGTTTGAACCCACAACACTCGGCGTAATAGAAAGTTGCGTGGCGACCGCTTAAACCACTACGCCATCCGTGCAGTCATCATTTAACGTTAAAGTACCTACAATATGGACTCATTTGCATCAAATCAATAAGATAAAAAAAATTGAAAAATGGGTGCCTCATGATTTGACTCTTGTTGAATCGGTACAAAAATGAAGGAATATTGGATCGAATTGTGACATGTGATGAAAAGTGGATTGATCACGATAACCGTAGGCGAAAAATGCAATGGCTGACCCCAGGACAAACGCCGCAACAGTGCCCTAAAGCAAAACCTACCAATAAAAGGTAATAGTAACTGTTTGGTGGTCTCTTCATGGTGTTAATTACTATGGCTTTCTCAGGTCTGGTCAGGGAATAACAATCGCTCTTCACCATTATTGCTTCATGATAACGCAAGACCTCACACTGCATGAGAAACCGTAGTAACTCTACAGGAGCCGCAGTTAGAAACCATACGCCATTCTCCTTACTTGCCAGACCTTGTTCGACTACCATTTTATTTGTGATTTAGACAATTTTCTACGTGATAAAAAAAATTCTTAGCAGGAGGCAGTACAAAATGCTTTCACACAGTTTGTCGAATCTAGATCCCCAGAGTTCTATCGTAAAGACATAAATGAACTTACGTTTAGATGGCAGCAATGTATAGATAATGAGGATAAAAATTTTGATTAAATAAATATGTTACATCTTAGAAAAAAAACGCGTTTCAATTTTTCAGTACAAATCGGCAATTTCATACTTAATATTAATAAAGTTCAGAAGGTCAATTCTCATAAAGTAAAGTATTACACATCCAATGTGATTACATATATCGTGTTGTGACCGAAACTTGAATCGGTATTCTGCTAGTCTTAGTAATACTTTACTATGAGAATACTAGGCCTTCTCTAAGGAGCGTCAACTATCCCGGTCTTAGGTAGTCCGCATCCAAGTTTTAACTGTCGTGTCGTATCCAAATCGAAATAGGTATGTAAACATGACATTTGTGAGACCGAAAGAAGCTTAGACTTAGTTTTCTAAAGGTACCTAATATATATCTAAACACTACCATCGAGAATACTTATTACAGTGTTTGTCATTATTCGGTAATTTTAGATATGTATTGCGGCCATGACCAAGCAGCATGCAGCGTACACGGTACCAGTATCAAGCACGCATATGATTATAAGTTTGACATTATTTTCTACTACCTGCTTATCAAATGCCTAGTAGTATCTTATACCTCACCACAATATACAGTGCAATATAATTACAATGTAGATATAAAAAAATAATTGTGGGAGAGTGGTGCCTAAACTATATTGTAGTCTGTATTTCAGAAGACCTTACTTGTGGAAATTTACACTTTTTTATCATCTCAACCAAACTGATTCTACTTTCATAATTTTTCTCAGGAACACAACTCTTTTTTTTCCTAATTTTCTGTTTATCAGAAAAGGTATTTATAATTTATTAGAGTAGTTAAAAAAACGTACCTGAGAAACAACACTTTCCATAAATGGATCCCAGATATGTACGACGGAGTCAGTAGACACAGCCAAGCGGAGCGATTCTAGGAACGTGAGCGATAGCACGCCTTTCTTATGGCCCGTGTATGACCAGTTGCATTGTGACATTGTATTGCCGTCGCCCTGTGGTGCAAACATTTACATATGTCAATTAAAATACTAAAGATAGCAAACAACACATGTGTTCAAAGGTCCATTCGCGTTAAGAAAATAGTGACGCATCGATCAATCCCCGTCTCTCTTCGTTTTCTTTGTTTCTCTCTCTGATTGGTATTGGCCTCTCGAAAATATTGTAACAAATATTGTAAAATAGTGTATTGGTATTGTATTTGATGAATCAGTGTTTACTTTCAACACACTTTAAAATCTAGTAGTGTAGGGTAGGTAAGTAGTAAAAGTACATCGTAATTAGTGGTTCATTCTACCACTTCCTATATTTCACAGTAACTTTTATACTAGCATTATTAATAAATAATTTATTTTTATATCTACTTAGCTACTTATGTAATCTATTATATAAAAATAGATCTAGAAATAAATTTTCTAAATAAATAAATATTTGTGTACGTCTTTTGTTAGAAATTTCAAAGAAAAGTTAAGCAATGTGTGTTGTTTTGGTACTGTATGATATATGAAAATTTGGCGGACAGTCAGATTTATATAACATACTAATAAGAATTGTACGTGGCTACTATTAGTATCAATACATATAGGGAATGCAGGACTATGTACGGCATTTTGAAAACTGGCTACACTTGCAACGCAGTTAAGATGAAACACTTATATATACTAATAATCATCATCATCATCAACAACAACAGCCTTAACTAGTCAAGTTTTTCTTCTCTTTGCAGTGTTGTTGTTCTGCGTAGTTTGCTCCATTAATAGGCTCTTACGACAACCACGAGATGAATAGGGGTGGGATGAATACAGTGTCGTATTCTTAATCCGTAACCACACGGATCGCCATATATAATATTACAATAAAATAATAAGAATTGTATGGAACAAACTCAAACTCAACTCAAACTCAAACTTTCTTTATTTCATAAAATTTCCAAAATTGTTTGAAATCGTCTTCCATGTAGACTCTAAAGTCATAGATCAACACACACAAAAGCAACAATCTCTGTTTTGTCAAATAGTAACCAAATAAATTTAACAAAAATCAAACCCATACAAAATCTATGATTTGCCTGTGCCGATCTACAACCGCCCGTTTCCAAGGGGTTGAGCCTTATGAGAAGAAAGGGCAAACAAACTCATGGCCACTCTTTTGCAATTCACAAGTAGATACAATGGCACTATTAAATATATCACAACATTGTTTTGATGTGAACTATTTGAGATAGACATTATTATACAGAATGTTACAAAAAGGGGTGACCAAATTTAGGACTTCATTATCATTTTTCATTTGACGGTCATTTGTTCTGTGTCTGGGTGTAATTTATCTATAATATTTAGAAATATATATTATAAGTATGTTTATCAGCAGTCTGGTTACCATAGTACAGGCTCTGCCTAGTTTGGGATCAGACGGCCGTGTGTGAGTTGTGTGATATATATATTATAGCTATAATTACGTTTCTTCAAGCCTTACAAATTATTTATATTCAAATTGTTCAAGACTTACTTGGTTCCTCAAGGACCACAAGCGTACAGTCTTGTCTTTGGAGCCGCTCATGAAACTGTTCTCATTATCGAGACAGTGAATACTCTTGACAGTGTGTGTGTGGCCAGCAAACGTTTGCAATTTTATCTGTTTAAGGTTGAAACGTGTTTCCTTATCGGGCCGACCGATTTCATGCTCCCAGTAAATCAGCCAGTCGCCGCGTAAATGTCTACAAAATACAATTTAATTTAAAAACTTGAAAAGTTATTATTAAAAGATAAAGGAACTCAGTCAAAATATCTTTGTTTCATAAAATTCTTTTAAAATTGTTTGAAATCGTCTCATACGTAATGACTCTAAAGTCAAATATTTAGTAAAATAGGTGTATACCTACCCATAGAAAACATATTATATGCATGTGCCGACCTACAACCGCCCGATTCCAAGGGGTTGAACTTTATGAGAAGAAAGGGCAAACACACAATACACATGTCAAATACCATACTATACACATACCCACATACCATATACATTCATACATGTACTTACATACCATCATCATCATCAACAGTCTTTAATAGTCCATAGGGCTGGACATACGGCTCTCCTCAGAAAGGACTTTCTGGCCTATTATTCCACGAGGCCAGACGGGTTGGTATAGGGTTTGTTTCAAGTTTGCCTTCTCTTTGCAGTGCTGTTATCCCGCGTAATTTGCTCCACTAGTCGGCTCTTAAGACACCCACGAGATAAATAGGGGTAGAGACATTCCGTATTCTTCATCAATCTCCACAGTGATAATCATACACAACAATAACTCACAGAACACACCATTAACGCACTTTCATCACACACTCACATTCATCTCTATGTACTTGTTTGCATAAGATTTGTGTTCCTTATAATGAGAGTTCACTGACTTCTGTATCACAAGTCAGGATTCTAGCTCAAGAGTCAGGGACTTCACATTTCGGTGTACTTTTTTATGTAAATATATTAATAACAATAATCAAAATTTAAAAAAATAAACTAGCCCTGGGCACTTACGGTGAAGTTATTTTCCCGGACATCGTTACATTTGAGACGTTAAGGTATGAAAGTGTAACAAACAAACTCACGTTCTCTTTCTAATTTAAGTTCTTGTCTTGTCTGTCCCTTAACGTTGATGTATAACAACAATTGTTAGGCGAGCCTAGATTAAATTAATACACAATAATATCTAAAAGTGTGGCAAACTTAAATACTTGTCGTTAGATTAAAAGACAAATAAAACCTCACCTATTACTTTTAACACCATTATCCATTTTATAAGCGACCGCATCGAACCCGTTACCCTGCGCAGCGTGTCCGACATCGCATGCATCGCTAGCGACATCTATCCTGTTACCAACCAGCGTGACGTTGGAGCCAAAGCTGTTGGAACTAGATATATGGTCCATGACAATGTCCGGTTTAGTCGTGACGTCTTTCCGGCTCAGTGGTTCATCGCTGAATGATGTTTGGAATCGTTTGTCGGGGCTGATTTGTAGAGGCGAGCTATGAGAAATGTGGGATTCAATTATTATGTATATATTGGTTACTGTGGTTCGTTGCTTGTTGGGATCACGGCCAGTGGAACCTAGTCAAAACATCACAGAATCTAACGGTATGTAAAATAGATTACGGGATCACGTTAATTCGTGTACATAAGGCAAAGTAATTATCGTGAAAATTATTGTTACCAACATACAATGGCTTTGGGTGTCTTAGAAATTGAAATTAGTGTTATACAATCAAATTGGCTACACATTTTATAGTAGAAAAATAATTTCAAATAAGTGGAGATTCATGAAAAGTGGTTAGCTTTGAACGAGCCTTTTTTAAAGTAATTGAAATCAGCACAGCTTCCTAAATACAAAGCTTACTGTAATTATAATAATATATTTCGTTAAATAAAGCCATTTTTCGTTAGTTTTACATAAACTTTAAAAATAGTCACATAAATGTACCGCCCTTGACTAATTAAGTTCAAAAATCTTTGTCTAATGTACGAAAATGTTTTTGTGACAACCCTTGCATATTTTTAGCGACGAGGCGTTGAAACAATGTGTGGGTACTTAGCTGTCTATCAAGGGAGTTGACTCACTATTAGTATTTATAACACAGCGACACATACCTTACAGAATGGTTCTGTTCATAATTCTGACATAACATTCTTATGGTATCCATGTTCTTTAGACAGCGCTCCATGGTATCTGCTCCTATGAACTTCGCAAATGTAGTGTAAGCTTTAAAAGCTAACTCCTCGTCGAAAACCATTAGAAGTTCTTCTTGAGCCTGTAGGTACATGAACATAATATAAACAAAAATATTTTTACACAGTCAATTAATTTAATGAAAATGTTTATAGAAAGGTTATACGAGGGCTGCTATTTATGTATCCGTAATAACAAAGTGGAACAAACATATAGCATTTATTATAGTTTTATTGCTTTTCATAATATTCGCTGTGATGATCGATGCACTTTCGCATACCTTATTTGGGTTCGGTTCATCTTGGAACACCCAAACCATTGATTGTTGTTTAGTTTCGGGATCATACGCATATATCCAAAATTCATCACCTGTGTAGATATTATATACAGCTTTCGACGCAGGGTGCGTCAAAAGCGGTTGTACTTTTGTAACATTTTTTTACACTAATCAACACGAGCCTGTTTTTGGTCAATTCTCAAGTTGTGCGGAATCCAAAGTGAACTGTAATATTTTATATATACTCGTCATACTTATTCCCAGAGACGCTTCTATCTCGCTATATGTAACATGACGATCTTGCATTATTAGTTCCCGCACAGCATCAATATTTTGAGGTACTACAACAGATTTAGGTCGACCTTCTTTAAATTCGTCCGTGAGCACAGACCGCCCTCGATTAAACTCACTAAACCAGTGATACAACAACCGGTTTTTGATAGTGCTTCGTCCTCAAAAGTCGAGGTCAGTTGATTGATGCACTGTTTTTGAGTTAGCGAATTTTTTTTTTTTATTCCACAAGGGATAAACAAATGACAGCTACATGAAACAAGCTGTATTCCTTATCCGAAGAGTTCCACTTTTAAATGTTATAAGTACTTTTTTAATGTTGGTCTGTAACTGGCCATTTCCGGATACATAAATAGCAGTCACCGTAAATACTCATAAATTTTGATGGTTTAGCATTAACACTTCAATTTTAATCTGTTTGTAGATTAGATTAATTCTGCACAAAATAGTCTATATGACAACAGTATCCGTGTGGTATCTTTTCATATCTCTCTCTCTCTCTGCATCAAGATTTTTATGAATAGTGATGTACAAAACACATATATTAAAGTGATTGAATATATAATTCTAGTTTTAAGAAGTTATTTTTTGTTGTTGTTATAACAAAAAATATAACATTGTACATAAAAAAAATAGATAAACAACGTACTGTCAATCTAGCCGCGTCCTGTGGAGGTTCGACATCAGGAGGCGTACAGGCCAAGTCGGGCAGGTCCGTCCGCACCACCCTACCGTCCTGGACCTTCCACTCAGCAGTCGTGCCATCCCGACAGATTTCCAGGAACCCTTCCAGCTTAGCTTCATTTGATTCTTGTTCGGATAACTGTGAATCAAATATTATATTATTTCAACTACAAGTACCATGTTATTATATACATAGTACTTATAGTTTCCTTACAAAATGTTAGCATACCTCTTTTCGCATTCGCCTTTATCCCCACAGCGGTTAAAGGGGTCCAATATATGTATATAAATACAATAACTTAAATAACTCCTTACTCACACTAGAAAATAACTTGGATGTTAATCCGCTGTACGGCCAACACGTCTGCTTATATAAGGTTACCGAAATAACTATATTAATCCCTAGGATTCGATAGAGCGTTCCAGATAATGAAGAATTTTGAAAGTTCTATCTTCCGTAAAAAAAAAAAACCTGTGTCGCGAGGGACTTTACAAACATACATGAAACGGACACAACGAACAGCCAGATTCAGAACAAAAATTTGTGGCTCACACAAAGTGTCATCCCATGTGGGGATCGGACCCACAACACTCAGCGTAGTAGTGAGCGGCGTGGCGACCGCTTAAACCACTACGCCATCCGTGCAGTCAATCACTTATGAGTTTTTATTCTAATTTCATGATCATGTAAATGCAGTGGATTTAATATCTAATACTTTATTATTTTCTTTTTAAAACCAAATTTATTTAAGTGCAATCGTATCTTTCTCTACCCATCTTGGAAACTTCCGATTATAATATGATCAAAGGGGAGGCGCATAAAGAAAACATCCAACAATATTAAAACATTCTTGCTCGTTTTATATCTCTCGGAAAACGTAAGAAGATATTTGTATAACTTTCTTGCAATAAGGTACGCGTAAATTTTAAAGCGTTTTATTTTTTCAATTCACAAACATTCATGAAACGGACACAAAGAGCACCCAGACTCAGAACAACAATTTGTGGTTGACACATATCCCATGTGTCAACCACAAATTGTTGTTCTGAGTCTATATTATCCCAAATATTATTATTATTAATTAGTTGAGTCAATATTAGGTCGATGCTTTATCCTGAGTTCTAATTCTGAGCAGTGTGCTCATCATATCCTCTGGGAATGTGATCTTTGGTTTAATGAACGTAATATAGTGCTGAATAGCATGTCTCCTGTAAACTATTCAGTATTACTTAATAGCTTACAGGAGACATGTTAACCCATGGTGTTCGTGGTGTGCTGTATACTAGGATGTAAGTCTATTTTTACTATATTTTTTATCCCGCTTTGCTATGTAGGGAGTGAATTTATTATATCTTGAACTCCTTCAATTTACTTCTGATTAATTTCGTTGAGCGTTGCAAGACAGTTTCACTTTGCCTGGGAATTCCCGAGTGTTATTACTCGGTGTCGGTTCTATGGTCACTGCCGTTGAGTTTAATCGATAGGAGTTACAGTAGTTCCAGTAGTTCCATAGAAAAAAGGTTTACCTTTTCTTGTGTACTTTCATCTTGTTTCGGCCAGTTGTCTATCTTGCCTGTGGCCTTATCAAACGCCAGGAAAAATCTGAAACGGAAAGTTAAATATTAGTTTTGGATTTAACATACTCTATAATCAAACAAACAAAAACAAAGCAAAATAACCAATTTATACACATTAGATGTTTGTTTTAAACTTCATTTCAAGGTAACGTAGTCAGGTCCTTTACCGTACTGATGAAGCTCTTCAAATTCACCTGATTACGAATAATCCTTAAAATGTACGAAAAATCGAATTTATTAATAAGAAGTCATTTTCAATCCAGGCGTCTTAGTGTTTGATAATACTTAAAATAAAACTCATTTTCAACTGTCAACGAAAACGCATAATAAAATTAGAATTATGTAAGTTAATGTAATTTTAAACAAATCTTTGTGGGCAAAATCGCTCGTGTTCAAGTCTAGTGAATACTATGATTTACTAGTAAAATCTATACTATGCTTTTACATGGGCTTATATAGTATTATACATAAATCTGTAAAACTGTAATCGATAATACATACTAAGAAATGATATCGATATCTCTTAAGAATCGGATATTGTAATAATAAATTTCTTTGACCCCATCGCTATACTTCAATCTGTCACAACTGTCAAACGTTACCTCTTAGATTAGATGGACTATAAAAAGTTTCGAGAAAAATAATATCGTTACAAAATACTGTTTTACATAATAAAAACATTAGACCATAACTTTGTACATACGATATGCTACTTCATTAGTCTCATTACACAAATTGCTGTGTCGTTTCTCAAACAATGTGGTAGCAAAATGATTACCTCTGCAGAGCCGGCACGCACAGATGTCGCCTGGTCATCTCTTTACCGATACGTAAGGCGAGAGCGTGAAGGGCATCCAACAGTTTCCTTGTGAGAGATGAACGAGCTGCTGCACCGCTGGGGTATGAACATCGAGCCGTAGAAGCCAGGCGAAGAGCTGGCTGAAGAATTGTCTTCAAAAACGTATCCTACAATAGTAGCTTTTAGTAAATTTGATGCTTATATCTTTGCACAGTTATAAAACAAACGCGCACAGATAGTAATATGAAATTAGAAATAATAAAAGTTTATACATAGAAGAAGTGTTATTATTGATTACCTTACAATAGGTGTACTAGACAGTTCTTATATAATATCCCGTATATTAATATGTGATACGACGTCTCGTATAATCGCTTTGGGTAAAAATTAAACTTTCATCACAAACTGAAGAAGTATAAAATGAAAATATCCCCCACTCGATAATCAAATTTTATGATTAGGAAAAACAACAGACCTTGCAAGCAAACCAAACTAAATCAAAATTGGTTTTTAAACCCATTTAGGAGCTATGAACGACAAACACACAGACACACTTAAGAAATCTATCTTTATAATATTTAGTCGTCTAATATTTATAATATTATTCCTTACATCAGTCAATATTGCGATTCCAAGGTATTGATGACGTCACAGTATCACTGCCGCTGTTCACTCACCTGTAATTGCTCCATAACTTTGACATCCGACATGAAGGGTACGAGGTATTTGACGAGTTGTAAGCAAGCGACCACACCGCCCTCCAACGGCGCGGACAAGCGACGGCGGCACGAAGCGATCAGTTCACCCATGTGAGGTAGGTATTGGAATATTATTAATTGTTCGCCGTACATTGCTGCAAAAAAACCAACACTTTAATTAACATCTATATATTTCAACCAATATAAAAGAGGCAAGCAAAACATACAACCGAAATTTTCAAATTACTCACTAATATTATAAACGAAACTACAAAACCTACTTTTTTGCCTACTGCCATTGATCTTTATTTCAATGAAAACGTTTTTCCGGCAAATTGACAAAACAAACAAACAAACAAGTAATCAAATTACAATTTTCAACAAAAAGAAAAAAACTACTCACCAACTATAGAAGTGAGGCACTTAATAACCTTCATAGCATTCTTATCACCTACCACTTTACTATTTACGATAGAGATCTCATCAAATTCGTCCTTTTCTTCACTTTCACACGGAGCCAAATTATCCTTCCCAATATAACACAAGGTCAGCATTTTGAGCAAATTCCTAGTAATATATCTACAAGTAAGTACGGGGCCTAATCTATGCGCTAACCATATTAAACTTTCAGAGCTCATATCAGATATCTTAGCAGAACTCGAATCTTTGCATCCAAAAGAATCTTCTTCATTAATACTCATGGGATTTGCATACTGAACTTCTGTGTTAAATTCCAAACTATGTCTTTCGTGTGATTTTTTCTTAACTTCTTCATCTTCAGTGTTATCTTCTGCGAAATGTAGGTAGCTCGTAAACATTGGTTTAGTCGGTATTTCTATTACAGGAGACACCGGTACTTTTGTATCGTGTGGTTCTTGATTCTCTTCCCTATGTATTACGACGTTGATTTCCTTTTGAATTGTGTGGTGCAATATGAAATGTTTTGTCGATATCGGTGATACGTGATCCTTGGAAGGTGAAGGTGTATGTAAATTATTATCTTGCACGGTACTAGACGAGTACGAGTCTATAGATTCTGCAGGTGACTTGCTTCGGCTACTACGACTAGGCAGTCTATCTTTATCTGTTTCGAAATGAAACAATTCGTTTTCGCTTCTATTATCAATGTCTCTTTCTTTTACTTCGCTGCTGGTTTTCTCAACAATTGGAGTAGTTACATGCTCAGACCCATAAGACGTATCAGGAGAAAATATGTCTGTATTACTTGACAAAGCATTTTTCACATTATCGTCGGAATATCGTGGCTTCTTGTTTAATAAAGCTTTATTATGACACAAGTGGCCAGGGGAACCGACTTCTGCAGTTGTATCTTTGTAGCCACCAACAGCTTCGACTAAATGCTGAGTAAAGTTGTCCAAGAAACATTGGAGATCAAGTCTAACCATTAACTGTAGTAAAAATATATTATGGTATAGTTTAACGAACTTCTGTTTGTTGGTTACATTGGTAACAGTTAGAGAATCTATATCTGTTAGTTTGTGTTGATCTGGTTTATCGATAGCAAAGTCGTCGTCGTCATAAAGATTCAGTATATGTTTAAGTAGTTTCTTTTTCGTCTGATCTGGACCGAGGGCTTTACTAACAGTGTCGAATAAGTACCAAGCGGCTAATACTGAAGTATCTTTACAACAAAGTAACTCTATATAATGTGATAAAAAAATATCCAAAACGTCGAACTGATTGTAACAATTGACTTGATTCAGTAATACGTCTAAATGAGTAACGCAAGCTTGGATTTTGCCTTCAGCTATCTTTTGACTGAAATATAACTTAGTTTTGTCTACGTTTTGGTACTTTTCACATTGTATTCCATCGCATTCGTACATGTAAAGTATGTTGAGCTCATTGCTTGTTAGTTCATACTCGTGTAAAGTATTCAACAATTTATATAATATATTAAACCTTGGGGGAAATGGTATCAAATGCTGCATCAATAAAGGTTGCAGTAATTGCGCAGGTGTGGGTGCAGGCAGACCCTTGTCCGTCACTACAATCTTTTTCACGTGCTCTTCCTTCTTAGGACTTAGTTCATATTTCGCACTCAAGCTTGGTGGTTGAACATTTAGAAGCAAGGAAGCTATGTAGCCTACACTTTTCGGCAAAATGTTAAAATTATGTTTTAATACTATTCTACAGTTATTGTATCTTTCTAAGAAATTTCCATTGGCCATTCTTAACGGTCGCATGTATGTATGCAAAAATATTTCTACTATCAAACATCCTATTACTAGCATGTCTTGCCTTCGACTCTCTGTTACGAATTGGTTATAAACCGAAGCATCAGTAGTATATCTATTATTGAAAGATCTGTTCTTTCTCTCTTTTAATACAGTTTCTAAATGTACATCTTGGGTGAATTTCTTTAAGTAACTCTGATCGTATGATGCTAAGAACATGTGATTAGTGAAAGCTGTTTCGTCTGATACTTCTTTAGATATGTTGTCTTTGATTTCCTGTTGAACGGGGTATAAATTGAGTGTAGAAACATTTTCTTTGTATTTTTCTCTATCAGCTGCTTTGCTAAAGAAACATTTGGTACGGAAATTGTCTAAGGCTTCTAAAGCTTGAATGGATGCTACTGGATTGAATTCTTTTGGGAGGTATATGACGCCTTTGCCTAATTCTGATCTTTGGACTCTGTAGTGTCGTGGAACGGAAGGTGCCCTCCCTTCACTAGAAGAAGGTTGTACATCTTCAGCACCTAAGCCTTTTGACAATGAACGAGTTCTACTGCTACTCTTATGCCGGGATCTAACTCTTTGAGGTGGTACGCTTAATCGTGAAACGTGTTGAGGAAGGCTTGTAGACTCCTCTTCTTCATCTGATATTTCTTCTGAGCTATCATTTTTTATGGATTTTTCTGTAAAACAAAATGTCAACATAATATGATTGATAAGATGGTTTTTGTTTACTCTATGTAGTATTTTATGACCACTAGGTAACATAAAAAGTTATTTCTAGAACAAGCTTTCCAAACCCTTAACAAACCACCTCTGTCTTTAGTCACTGTTCAATTACAGGCTATTAATATTAAACCTACTCAGAACAGTTTCTACTTTTTTGGCGTATCACAGGGCGGCATATTGAGACCATTAGGTTAAAGTAGTGTTAGTTCTCACTTACTAGCATCTTTAGGCGCCGTCCAGTGTAGTCTAGGTGGCGAAGGTGGTAACGCCCGAGCTGACCGAGGCGGATGCGGTGCCGTGAATAACTGGACAGGGCCACCGCGTCGTATTTTAGTGTGTCCATCGACCAAAGAGAGGCATACGTTTTTTGCTTTTATAGATGCCGAGCCTGATAGCCTGAATAAATATGTTATTAAAATTACTAAACTCTTCTAGAGTAGGTCTAAATGAACCAATCAAAACGCAGCAACTGTTAGGCCTTAACAAGTAGATAATTTATGGATGCGAACTTACTTGTATCCAAAAGTTATATCTATCCAATGGTGTAGATTATCAGAAACATGACTGCTTTCTAGCGCCTCTCTATGTTTAGTAATAAAATCTTCGACGCATGTCGCCCATGAAGGTATTCCTAGGTCCTGCACAAAAAAGTAATTGTAAAATTTGAGAGATGTATTTGTGACGTCACATATCGTATTTGTATGAGGACTTACAGGCAAGTCTTCGTGTATACTTTTGAAAACTGTAGGATCAGTGTAGAACTCAGGTATGCATTCATCTGGCGTCCACTCTTGCATCCGCTGTATTGAAGCCGGATACTCCGCAGGTACCCACTTGTTTCGGACATACTTACAGAGAACTTCTTTAGGCATTCTAAAAATCAATATTATCACTAGAGTTCACAGTTCAGAGATATTCACATAGAATTGTAAAAAAAAAGTTAACTAGCAGTAGCTTATTTTGAACTTTTTAATCAATAAACCGAGTATGTCGAGTTTTATACTCGTCATACTCGGTTTATTGATTAAAAAGTTCAAAAATTTTTTTTTTCGTATAAATGCGTGGGGTGCTCGATCTAACTCAAAGTATCTTTACTTCACAAAAAAAATTGTTTGAAATCGTCTTTTATATAGACTCTAAAGTCGTAGATCATCACACACACAATAGTAACAATCTCTGTTTTGTCAAAAAGTTAGCAAAATAATTTTATAAAAATTTTACTTTTACAAAATCTATGACATGCCTGTTCCGATCTACAACCGCCGGTTTCCAAGGGGTTGAGCATTATGAGAAAAAAGGGCTGTTAGCCACTCTTTTGCAATTGACAGATAGATACAATGGATTTTTTTTATGGAATAGGGGGCAAACCAGTAGACGTATCACCTGATGGAAAGCGACTACCGTCGCCCATGAAGGAGGGAGGAAGGAGTACGCTCTTTTCTTGAAGGTTTGAAGGTCGCATCGGTCTGGAAATACCGCAGACGACAACTTGTTCCACAGGTTGATAGTGCGAGGCAAAAAGTGCCTTGAAAAGCGCATAGTGGAAGTGGCGGGGATGTAAATTTTGCCGTGTGGAACGATAGCGGAAAGCTGCAGCTGGTATTAGTCCGAACAATTTATCGGAGAACTCGTCATGATATATACGATAGAGAATGTAGAGCGAAGCTACAACTCCAAGCAACGCCAAGGGATCGAGCCGTTCGGAGATCCTTTGGCTATCGACGATTCGAGTCGCTTCTTTGGATACGGTCCAGAGGGAGAAGCTGGCACTGAGGTGACCCTACATGGAGATGAGAACAGTATTCCATATGCGGCCAGACTTGTGCCTTATAGAGTTGGAGGCGATGGGCTGGAGTGAAATACAGCCTCGAACTTCAGTTCAGCAGTGCAGCAGTCAATGACCGCGAAACTAGAGTTCGCTCGAGAAGTCGATGTCTTGGATTCCGACACTGGCTGACTGCCTTAGGGAGGTGCTCTCGAACCTGTCTTTTTTGGGTTAAAATGGACTAGATTCAGTCGACTCCAGTCTGAAACCTCCGTTAAGAAAGTTTCAATTTCAGACACAGTTTGAGTTTGAGTTCCCAACATATAATTGATATGCAGAAGAAACAGTATGGGACACAGCCCTTTGGGACACCAGCATTTACTGACTTCAAGTCGGAGCATGCACCGTCGATAACAACCTTAATGCTTCTGCCCGCAAGGAAATATATGAACCAGTCACAGATTTTTCTCGGGAAGCCCATAGGAAGGGAGCTTTGAGAGAAGCGCCTAATGAACACCCAAACGAAGGCCTTCGCTACGTCCAAGCTTACCGCACAAACCTCTCCCTTGGTCTCGATCGCCTGTGGCCATCGGTGTGTTAGATAGACGAGAAGATCACCAGCTGAGCGACAACGACGAAAACCATATTGTCGGTCACTTAGTAGCTAATCACTTTCAAGTACCGGAGGAGCTGGCAGTGGATTACGGATTCCATAATCTTAGAGAACAAGGGGGTTATGGTCCGATGTCAGAGTATCCATTATAAACAGGAAGAGATATGGGCTCAGAGCCGATCCCTGGTGTAAGCCTACAGACACTGAATTCATCAGTGTTTTCCATGACCGACCTTACATGAGTGCTAGACTCTCTGTACATAGCACAAATCAATTCCTCATACTTACTTAAATTTTATTTCTATTTCTGGTATTTATAGAATATAGATCTTTTTTTTTGCGAAACTCTATCCTTGTTTTTGTGAACATATATATTACATTTTCATATATATATTGACATGCCACTGTCATTATGTTTTTTTTATTTAAATTTTTGCCTCAACGAAAAACGATTTCCTAAATTATAAGAGCTCGAATAGCTCTCTTTTGGAGTACAAATATAGTTTGAAAGTCAGCAGCATTCCCTACAGTAGAATACCGTTACCGTACCTATAAAAATAACTGAAGTAAACAAGTCGTGCTGTATCAACATCAGTTAACTCTCGAATTTTTCTTACTGCGTATGCTGCTCAGCTGAGTCTGCTCGATAATATATCAATATGGGGCCCCCACTGTAGGTTATAATCTAGTGTTATACCTAAAAATGTCGTAGTATCCACAAAGTCCGACTCGATTCCTTAATCATCAAAGTAGTTTTCACTGGCTTGACGTTAGGCATAGTAAAACGCATACAGTTCAGAAAATAGTGTCGCATCGATCTAGCCCCGCACCCTGATCGATAAGGTTCCAAGCTTAGCTAAGGAACCTGATTAGTCAGGGGTCACTATTTTCTTAACGCGAAAGTTACGTACTTACCGTCTGGCCAGGTACACGTAACAAGTAATATCTGACAGTGCGTCAGACACATGATGCGGTGTCTGATCATTGCTACTACTGACGTCATACGTCATATCCAATTGTCTGTCTCCTTTGTTTAGACGGTACTTTGATTTACTTAAGTCACGCCAGTTTCGGCCTAAAAAATAACATTTATTTATTACTTATATTGTCAGTGGTAACGAAGATTTAGTTGGAAAATAGAGGTGTATGGGGCGAACCAAGTTATTATTTTGTATTCTAATAAGTTTGTATTGTACCCGCACATGAAAATTTTAGACATGGTAGCTATATTTATTTCCATTATAAAATATGGAGGAACATTGATATTGCAACTGTTGTATTCAATATTTTATACACAAAAACTAGTCTGCTATAAATTCTGTGTGGCAGGTGTAGAAATAACCTGCCACACAGAATTTAAAGAAGTTATATAATTGTTGTTGTTGTTTGTCGTTGTTCACGTTACTAGAAATGTCTAATATGAGTATTAGACACAGTTAAACTTACTTATCATTCTTGTTACATGTAGTTATTATCTATTGGTGTCATTAGCTTTTTAATAGTGATTGGTTTGCTTTGGAAACATTCATGTTGCTTATACGCCCATCGGAAAGATAACAAGCTGAATCATAATCTGCTTTTGTTGTACAAACAAGTAAATTAGGCCTTGAAATCATTATAATCTGTTTTGGCTTATGTTTATGGTATAATGGACTGTATTTTAATTTGATCTCAACAATTAAACAAATCTTCTTCTTTAGAGAACTCAATAAACTAAGAAATTAACCTCTGAGCTTGCAACATATATTTAAGCAAATAAAAAAGTTTCGATCTCCACCACTAGGTAGTACTCCAGTAAATTACTACTCAAAGTAAATCTACTCAATAGATGAACTGAGTTTTTTATTTATTAGTTAATTTATATTAATCTGCTATGTGGCTTAGAAAGTGAAGAAGAATCAAATCAAAGCTACCAAATAGGAGAGTGCAAAATAAGTTTTAAATTATTAGTTACTTTATATTCATCTTTTACGTGGCTTAGAAAACAAAGAATAGTAAGAAATAAAAAACTACAGTAACTCTAAAATATACATGACATAAGAGTTTCATATATAACAAATTTTTTTCTATTATATTACAAATAAGTATAGAACTGGCTCGAGTTAATCAAGATGTTGGATGCCCTTGTCACATATATAAAGCTTCACAATACTTATCCAATATTTATATCTTTATTAGTCGCTAGCACTTACAGTTGATACAGTTAAACTAGCTCCTATAAACACTTCAACACCAAATACATCTTTGTAGCTATTTACTGTCTGTATTTATTTATCATTCCATTAACAAAACATATTTGTTTTGTTAAAATTAACCATTCAATTTAAACTAATTACTACTGTACATTTTACTAATACTTACCACAGCGGTATGAGAAATCCGTAACCCATGGTACCATGAAATGCGCTTGTGGATCATTGTTACTTCTGCCTGTGAGCATATTCAAGTGCAAAAGGTAGTCCAAGTTGGATATCCTGCCTCTTGTCCACAACATACACAGCTTCTCTAGTTCAACTACATTCTTTCTCGAACACTCCTCTCCTCTCTTAACTTGTGTATTTGTTGTGGAAGCAGCCCTAGATCTATTCTGTTCAAATATCAGTGAGGCATCTAAGCAGTGTACATTATTTGTTATTAAAGGTATCACTTGGAGCCACAAATTTTCTGACAAATAAATATCTTGTAATGTCAGCATGCCCAAGCTTAAGCCTCTATCACTCATTGCTTTTGATAGATTCAGTAACTGATATAGTAGGAATAAACCTCGGCAGTAATTCATATCTATTAAATTTGGACTGAAATTTAAACAATCTAATAATGTATTTTCAAAATGCCTCGAGTATATTATAAAGAAGTTACTGTCTGTTTCTAAGGTAAACAATGCTGATAATAAATTACCATGAGTTTCATATATTTTTAATATATTCTTATTAGGTATCACATCTAAGGGTTTTCCTGCTCCATCACCCTTGATTCTAATTATATTACATCCATAAATACGCAGCAACACTTCAGACACCAACTGATCATGTTCTAGTAAATTTACTATGGTACTTTCCTTGTTATTATCATTGTTTTGACAATATTTCTTATAAGATTCCTTCCATAAACTTCTATGGTTACTTTGAGAGACATATTGCAGAAGCTGAGAAAATGTAAGAGGTGTCTCATTGTTGTTTTCGTTGAGCTTGTAACGAGGTAGAGGAAGCACCTTGGATACCTTTTTATTTAGTACCTGCAATGTAAACAAAGTAAATACAAATTCCATGTTGTTAAATGTAGATTTTAGCGTTTAGGAAGTTAAGGCTTAATTACCTACCCTTATAAATATTTTACGCCAAGGATAAGGCACACTTTCACCAGGTTGTAATGTGAAATCTGCATTATTCAATGTGTTTTCAACATCAACGTTTTTTAACCATTTTTTTAACCAACTTGTGTGGACTACGACCGTGAATAGGTCAGGCCAGGCAGTTGGAATTATATTTTTATTACTTATACTTAACTCCTTAACAATACTATCCATGTTTAAATTAATAACAATATTTTGTTTTGTTTTGTTTGATTGTGAACAAAACTGGAGGCAGTCATTATAAATTTCGACTTGACAGATTAATTTGACAGATTGGTGATTAGTCAGGGATGTCATTCAAGGCATTGTTTTAATCGTTCAGAAGTCCTTCTATATTTCCATAACTATTTAGACTTTTAAACAAATCATTATAATATACAAAAAATACGATAAATCACCATCATTCGGGCTGAGATAGAATAAACGAAAATAAAAAGCTTGAACCAAGCAAAAACTGTGTTTAGGTAATTATTACCTACACCCAGTTTTTGCTTGGTTCAAGCATTCAAGTATTACCTGGTAATACTTTGAATATAAAAAAGGAAATGTGGGTGGTAATCTCATTTCCTTAAGCTGGGTTACGACTCACTAGCGAGTCGTAACCCAGCTTGCATATACTGTTAGCCAAGAACCAGAGTGTACGTGGTTAGCAAACCAGCTGCGAGCTCACAGCGAATCGATTACAACGTACCTACTCATTCTGTAATTGTAACATTGCACTTGCATTGCGTAATCGTAAGCGTTACTGTAACCAAAAACTTAGCATGTACTCAATTCGCGAAACTACAACGTGCAGATGATATTTGCGAGTGTTTATCCATTAATTCATCGTAAATGTATAGGCAATTATTAATTTGTTTTCTGCTGATAGACACCTATAAAGAAAGCAGTATACCAAAGCTTATTAGAAAAAAAAAATATTAGAAATAAGATGCTTGGGCAAAACTTCGTCCAACAGCGTGGCGTGCCAAACCAATGTTGCGGATTGATTCGACTTGTTTTTAAGGTAACAGTGATATAAACTGCATGTACACCATAGAACCTCATTACTGTATCTGTTTAGTTACAGTTACAGCTCGCCAAATGAGTATCCTCGGTGAAATAATAGGAAATGCTTTGGCCGATCGTACGTGTACGTTGGGGTTTCTGGATCAAAGAAGATCCAGAAACACGCAATTTCAGTATATTCAATATAGGACCTGATTTGATTTAATATTCATTCATTAAGTTAGAGTCTGGCTAACGAAAGTAGATACTGGATTTTTTTGCAAACTTTTTATATGACAACACTAAAGTGTTCCTACCATCGGATATTTACCCTACTAATTGGGGTATTTTAAGCAGAAAGTACTTAGGAACAATTAATTCCAAAAAGGCATTTTTAAAACAAACTTATTTTAAACATTTTATAAAATGAGTTTTAAAAATTCGTACGTGTGCTAAAATTGTATTCATCGAAAATAAGTATCGTAGTACGTGTTGGGGATCATTTTAAGAGCAACACTAAGCCTTAAGTTGGTCTAATAAATAGCTTAAATAATTAAGTACACTATTTACTAGAGAAAAACTTGGCAATTTTATTTTAAAGAAGTTAATTTTCGACGGTTTTCCGAAAGATTTGGAAAAATCAGAATCACTGTATGGTATCCCTATCTCTGACGCAACAAGATGGCGAGTTGTTGATGTTTCGTTGTGGTTGACTTGCGTGTAGTTTTATTGTGATATATCCGTGTTATTGCTATAAAAATGAATAAAACTATAAAGAGTGAAGTGCGAAAACTATTGTTTTGTATGATTTCGAAATATGAAGAGAAAAAGCTTGTGAAACAAGCCGTATTGCGAGAAAAACAGGATTGTTTACGTACTGTGACTGTTTTTTTAGGTTAGTACGGTCGAAATGACTTGATATTTTTTTATTTTAAATAAGTACATATTAGTTTTAGTTACTTTATATAATGTTATTGTTCTTTTACAGATAGTCTTGAGGATAATGCACGAACTGCTGAAGTAAAACAAGCAATTAAAAAGATCACAGATTTAGATCAAAAAGATATGATGAAATCGCAGAACCAGTACTTAGAAGAACTATCTTCACTCACCGGTAAGTTTTCACTCAACGTTAATCTTAGACTAGTTTTGTAATACTTGTGTATTTTCTATTATTTCTTAGTTATGAGACTCACGATAATTGACATTTTATTTTATTCTTTTTACAGATGTAAGTGTTATTACATTGAAGAGAATTAAAAAAGAAGGTGCGGTGAACGAAGGGGTCTGGAGGACTCCAGGTAAAAAACGACCCCACCCTTCAAAAGTGTCGAACTTAGATAGTTTCGATATGGATGTTATTCGAAATAAAATAAACGAATTTTACATTGTGAGGAAACAAGTACCAACATTAAGATCTTTGTTGGTAGAGTTAAAAGAAAGTATAGAATTTGGTGGATGTCGTGAAACTCTCCGTCGCATATTATTAGCCAACGGTTATGTATTTAAGAAAAACAAAAATGAACGTTCATTATTAATTGAACGGTATGATATAGCTGCATGGAGACATCGCTTTTTGCGTACCATTGCATCGAAGCGTGCAGAAGGCAAGCCAATAATCTACTTAGATGAAACTTATGTCCACAAAACCTATAAGCCTAAAAAATGTATGCAAGGTCCATCAACAAGTGGAATAGTTGAAAATATATCGTCAGGAAAACGATATATTATTGTGGATGCAGGATCAGAGAAAGGCCCTGTTCCAAACTCATTGTTAGTATTTAGCACCAAATCGAAAATGGCCGACTACCACCATGACATGAATTCCACAAACTTCAACAAATGGCTTCAAGAAAAGCTTATGCCCAATTTGAATGAACCATATGTAATTGTAATGGACAATGCATCATACCATTCTGTCATAATAAATAAAGCGCCCACATCTCAAAATCGAAAGTTAGAGATACAGAATTGGCTTACATTGAATGGTATTTCATTTGAAACATACAATTCAAAAGCAGAGTTGCTTTGCTTAGTAAAACAGAACACACCAGAACCTATTTATGAAGCTGATGAACTTTTAAGCCTAAACGGACATGAAGTGCTAAGACTTCCTCCATATCATTGTGACCTAAATGCTATAGAACTCATATGGAGTCTAGCAAAAAGAAATGTGGGAAGCAAAAATGTAAGCCGAACTCCAAAAGAGTTCGAGGATCTCATAAAACAATCTTTTGAGTGTATTACAGCAGATGATTGGAAAAAAATGACAGACCATGTCATTCATGTGGAAGACAAGTACAAAAGAAGAGACAATATAACTGAAAATAATTTAGAAAGCTTCATCATCAATTTAAGAGACAGCAGCGACTCCAGTGATTCTGACGATTCACTTCATGTTGAATTTTTACATTCAGATTTTGATTATAGTGATTAAAAAACAGTATAAAAATATATGGTGTTGTTTTCTTTGATACATACATAGATTTACAAATATTTAAACTCATGATAAAATTGATACTCATGATAGTGTTTGATAGCCTGTTTGTTCCTTTAATATGCCACAATGGAGTGACGTATCCGTGTGATGTTTGGTATGGAGTTAATAAAGAGTTAACAAGTGATATAAGCTACTTTTAATCTCGTCATAACGCGGACAAAATTGCAAGCACCACTAGTAAAATAAAAATAAATGTCAAAGTATCAAAGTGAGTTGTTCCAACTTTCCTTTTTACTTTAGGGCTGCCATGCTGATATTTTTTAAATTTGCCGCGCTTTTTCAGTATCAACTTTCATTAGCCAGACTCTAATTAATAAGTTAATTAATAAGTTTTTAGTTTTACTTTTTAGATTATTAATAAGCATGTTCGAAATAGGAAAATCACATCTAATATTTAAAAAAAATAAGGCTATAAAACTATTTGTACAATATGTGACTTTGGTGATGCTTTGGTGTGACCAGGCGACTATTCTATCAAAAAATTACACACATTAGTACACCTTCCCCCCCCCCCCCCCACCACTACTACCCCACTTTCACCCTTCTTTTCAACGGACGTCAGTTTTACGTTTCGTTCCGCAAGCTGGCAAGAGACGGTAAACACTACACATTTAAATTTTAATAGCTTGAAAAGAAAATAATGCTGTAAATTAATATTTATAAACTGATAAATATATGCGTGCATGAAAACGATTGAAACGAGTACAAAATATATTTATTTACGTAAATTTATATAAAATAAAATGTTACCGAACATATGACAACTTAACCGTAGGTAAAACGAAACGTTTAACTGCCAGAATTCTATATAATCTGTGGTAGGGATTGACAGAAATATTGCAAAAATAAGTAAAAAATTATTGATTTCAATAATTTTTTCCTGAAAAACTACGCGTCTCCGCATGTTGAAACGTTGGGGGGTTGACTACAAGGTTGACCCAAACCAATAATTCAGTAAATTCTTTAGCGTATTTGTTTATCAACCAGTTGGTTGATAAACAAATACGACTGTCATCGGCTAGTGGCGCGCAAAGCTTCGAAACGTGCACAATCGACTCTTGCTATCACATTTTATCACACGCAATGTTGGCATTAGAGGAACGAATACCGTTGATGGTAAATTTGTTCAACTGAAATATAAGCCATCTATGGATCTATGGTATTTCTTTATCTTAGGTTCACGTCGAGTCAAGAGTCGAGTCCATATGGGGTTACCATCTCTGTGGAATCTATGCCTGACTTAAGAAGTAAAAATGCCTGATTTATACTAAACAAATGCATGGTACTAAGAAAAAATCATCTACGTCTACGACTTGCTAGGGAACGCATTTGAAAGTACTTAAGCCGATCTTTGTAAGAACGTATTATCTCAGCCTATTACAGCCTATCTCACTATTCAAAAAAGCAATGTGTCAAGCGCAGCGTTTTTGGATACGTGCAATAAGCAGCGATGAGTGGCGTAATGCTGACGCCAGCCTACCCCACAATACCCTAGTATACTACGGACAAGGCTATTGTAAAGTAATATTTTCGTTCTATTATTTCGAAATACTTTGCAATTTCTTAATACAAAACCCGACATCCTTGAAGCTTCTTTAATTATACTGTCCAAATGTGGTACAAAAGTAAATATATGCTATTGTTTTCCAATGATTGTAAATATTCGGAATTGCTGTTATAATAAGAACAATGGTCGGAACAGTAAACAGAATTTCAGTAATTGGCAAAGAGCTTGCATACTTCAGTTCCATTCGAAGTGGTTTTTAACCCAAGTGTCATAGTTATTGGGTATGCGCTCGTCCCTCCTTTTTTCAAACTTTACATGAGTCTATAACAGTTTTGGATTATTCCTCAATTCCTCCTCTAAAACGTTAGTATAATTCTTATAATATTCAATGGGCCAACTTGTCACATTGTTTAGCGAGATCTCTTAAATATTTTGCATCTAATAGATTTTGATACTTTTATAGCGAATTCTAACATTGTTTTTAAACATAACATTTTAATTAGTCCATTTACCAAGTTTTCGGGGTCCCCATCCCTCGGAGCTCGACCTCGCCAAGCACGAGGGGTGACACTAGACGAGACCCGGGCGCCCGTGGGACCCACCCGTAATACCTCGACTTCGTCAAGCAAGCCCTCCTTCCCCTTACCGGATTGATACCCAGGAACTACTAAAAGGCCCATCCCACTGACCTCCTTGCAGTGGACTGCCCTAGTGGTTTAAGCGGTCGCCACGCCGCTCACTACTACGCTGGGTGTTGTGGGCCGATCCCCACATCGGACGACACTTTGTGTTATCCACAAATTGTTGTTCTCAGTCTAGGTGTTGTTTGTGTCCGTTTCATGTATGTTTGTAAAGTCCCCCGCGACATAGGATATATATCTAATGCAGGTTGTGTTTTTAAAAATAAAAAAGTTTACTATGTGTGTTATGTAAAAATACCTATGATTTAGAATGTGCTATGTTGCCAATGATCGCACAGTGAATCGCGTAGAACAAGTTAGTTGTACAACACTATTTCTTACCGTTTAGAAGCTTTCACTGATATTATATAAAATAATGATGTTTTATAAGTGCATCAATACTCAAAATATTTGGAAAAAATTAAAACCTTTTTTTGTATGCAGTAGGAAGTATATTTTCCATACAATTCCAATATCGCGATTGCTTCAATAAATCAATGACAACAGAACAAAAAATAAATGTAAATGTCAAATTTGTCTCCGCAAAAGGCCCAAAATAGACAATACAAATAAACCTATACGCCTACAGGATCATGAGTATATGACGCCTACATGACATGATCAATGAAACTTTACCCCAAACATCAATGAGGAAGTAAATATATTCTTAGGTCAATGCCAAACATACACTCCCATAGAGACCACTCAAACTATAATGTAACCCACAGAAAAAGGTCCACAAAAACTTAAAAACGACAGCGGAAGCTTCAGAGCACTGAGACGATTTCAATTATTTTTTTATGAAATAAAGATATTTTGAGTTTGAATTCTCTTCTAATATTACTTAGTTACTGACTCTAGTATTCGACTATGTAGTATACATAGTATGGTGTCTATTCCAGTAATTTTATAATAAAACTATCTTCATTATATAATATGTTTATTGCTCCTAATTTGTAAACCTTACACAGATATTACACAATCCAGTCTACATCGTTTGGAAAGAAGTAAACACTCGGCACTCAAAACAATTAGATTAGTTAATGACCCGTCTTGTGAAAATTTGAGCTCACACAAAGACCAACTTAACACTTTTATATATTCAGATATAAAATTCTTTACAGTTTTTAATCAACATCTACACATATATCCTTCACTCTCGTTTTACCAGCAGTACAGTCATCGCCTACAAAGGCTCCGTTCTGTACCGTAGGCGGTAATTCTTCATCTTTAGAATTGCTGTAATCCGTCTGGTTTTCACTCATTTGTGCTATTTTTCTCAATTTGAAGTTAATAGCTTTCGTCCTATGGTACTTCGGAGACTTATTTTCTGCAGTTGATGTTGTATTGATTGGTTGTGATTCACGTTTTGATACAATACTTTTACGGCAATCAATTGTATCAATAATTAGCACAGCAATTAACATCACAATTAAACATTTCATTGTATTTTCTCTAATAAACGTCCGTTTAATGAATATATTATTTTATTACTGGCTACGGAAGAGTCGCATAAAAATATGCTAGTTGTAATTTTGCTCGGTTATTGATTTCACAATCTATATTTGTTATCACAGCAAAAAGACCTTGAATTTGAGAGCAAGGTTAGTGTAATAATTTAGCTAATGTTTGTGGATAATATTATAACTAAAAAAATACCGGTCAGGTACGAGTCGAACTCGTGCGCCGAGGGTTCCGTACCTACCCAGGTTTTACGTAGATTTTCGGGAAAATTTGTAAGTACCAAAATTTATCTTAATTTTAAACTTTTTTTATTTTTTGGAATTATTACTCTTTTTGCTGTAAGACGTTTTTGCCAAATTTCGTGATTCTAGGTCAACGGGAACTACCATATAGGTTTTCGCCCCAAAACCTATAGGGTACTTCCGGTTGACCAAGAATTGACAATTTTGGGTAAAAGCAAGGTCTTACACCGCAAGTAAAGAGAAAATTCAGAAAAATAAAAAAAAGATGAAAATTAAGGTAAATTTTGGTACTCACAAGTTTTCGCGAAAATCGAAATTTGCTCATATCTTTTTATCGTGTTGACTCAGGACCTTGATTATTATACACCTAATAGGGACCATAGACCTCAGTATCTGGTATAAATTTCAACTTGCTAGGTCTACTCGTTCCTGAGAAAATCGGTGGTGATACACGGACAGTTGGACAGACGGACAAGAAAGTGATCTTATAATTTCCTTTTTTTTACCTTTTGAGGTACGGAACCTTAAAAAGTGTTTGAATGTTAGTTTTACATTAATAACTTCACACATCTTACACACGGCCGTCTAACCTCAAACTAGGCAGAGCGTGTACTATGAGACGGAGCCCGCACCAGGAGCGGTCCGGCGCTGGGAGGGGTCCAGAAGGCGATAACTACCTGGACCCCAAAGAAATAAAGAAAAATAGAAGCGCAAAGAGGGCACACTGTGTGGTTTTAGTCGGTTAGAGTCCGACACACCGCTCCGCCGAACAGAGAACCCCGGCGGGGTGACGGTCCAAGGGGATTTCCACACGTAAAAAAAAAAGGCCGAGCGTGTACTATGGTAATCAAACTACTGATAAAGACCTATATATTTCCAAATAAATACATATTATAGATAAATTACACCCTGATACTGAACAAATAATTGTGTTCACCACAATTATTTGTCCTGGGTGGTATTCGAACCCACGACCTCCAGCTTAGCAGTCAGGGTCCCTAACCATTAGACGATCAGGCCCATCAACATATTTCTTTTCTTTTTTATGGAAGAGGGGGCAAACAAGCAGACGGGTCACCTGATGGAAAGCGACTACCTCCGCTCATAAAAGTCTGCAACTCGGGAGTCACAGCCAGTTGCTGGGGTTAAAGTAACTAAAGTAGTTTTACGCGTTTCTCAAGCTCAAAACTGTTTCTTTACAAAATTACTGAGTTTGTCATGTTCTTCTACTTAGCACGGCAACTTTTTTTCGCTCGCGATACATCCATGTCTTTGTTTAGGTGCCCACATATTTTTCGTACATCAATAGTTTAGATTCGACGAGACTCTCTGGGTTACTATTTATAGAAAGTGTGTTAAAGTATTTACTAAATAAAATATCTATCTTCGATTTGTCAGCAAATATAACTGGATTAAAAAATGTACTTGGATGGAACGGATTAATAATTTTAAGTCACTCGCGTAAAAAAAAGACTTAAATAGTGTACTTAATAGATGGAATCTATTGACCACTATAACTATACGAAGAACGTCTTTTATTAATCTTCCTCTAGATATAGAATACATGCGGGTCGTCACGAGGGTTTGACGCAAAATAATAATTATTGATAATTAAATATTTCATTTATTCACATGTAATGTTTTTGAAATGTCATAACATAAAATAGATCTACAATAACTAAGATAGTTATAATGGCTGTATTTCCATATACTTAATTATTACTTCACAATAGTTAGGAATGTCCGAATTACATATCAATAGTCTCTGTACAATTACAATAGAAACATTGGTTCCTATATATATATATATAAATCTTGTGAAAATTTGAGCTCAATCGGTGCAGAACTTTTTATGTAGGTACTTGAAAAGTACACAGACCAACTTAACACTTTTATATATTCAGATGATAAAATTCTTTACAGTTTATGCCATAAACTTTTTAATCAACATCTACACATATATCCTTCACTCTCGTTTTACCAGCAGTGCACTCATTGCCCACAAAGGCTGCGTTCTGTATCGTAGGCGGTAATTCTCCAATAGGATTGCTGTAATCCGTCTTGCTATCTCTCCTTTGTGCTATTTTTTTCAATTTGAAGTTAATAGCTTTCGTCCTATGGTACTTCGGAGCCTTATTTTCTGCACTATTTGCAGTTGATGTTGTATTGATTGGTTGTGATTCACGTTTTGATACAATACTATTTCGGCAATCAATAGTATCAATAATTAGCACAGCAATTACCATCACACTTAAACATTTCATTTTATTTTCTCTAATAAACGTCCGTTTAATGTAGATATTATTTTATTACTGGCTACGGAAGTCGCATAAAAAATATGCTAGTTGTAATTTTGCTCGGTTATTGATTTCATAATCTGTATTTGTTATCACGGCATAAAGACCTTGAATTTGAGAGCATTGTTAGTGTAATCATTTAGCTAATGTTTGTAGATAATATTGTAACAAAAAAAAGTGTTTGAATGTTAGTTTTACATTAATAAATTCACACATCTTATCTTATCGCCTAACCTCAAACTAGTCAGAGCGTGTGCTATGGTAATCAAACTGCTGATAAGGACTTATATATTTCCAAATAAATACATATTATAGATAAATGATCCTGTTCACCACAATTATTTGTCCTGGGTGGGAATCGAACCCACGACCTCCGGCTTAGCAGTCAGGGTCAATAACCATTAGACTAACAGGCCCGTCAACATATTTTCTTTCTTTATTTATGGAAGAGGGGGCAAACGAGCAGACGGGTCACCTGATGGAAAGCGACTACCACCGCTTATGACGGCCTGCAACTCGGGAGTCACAAGCGCGTTGCCGGCCTTAAAGTCACTAAAGTACCGCGTTTTAGTTAGTGTTTTTACAAAATTACTAATTTTGTCATGTTCTTCTACTTAGCACGGCAACTGTTTTTCGCTCGCGATACATCCATGTCTTTGTTTAGGTGCCTACATATTTTTCGTACATCAATAGTTTAGTTTCGATTAGACTTTTTGTGTTACCTACTACTTTATAGAGTGTGGTAAAGTATTTACTAAATAAAATTTCGACCTAGGATTTGTCACTGAATATTATTGAAACACATTTTACTGTCGCAGGGGTCGCCAGGGTTTGCACTAATAATTTTAAGCCACTCGCGTAAAAGAAATACTTTTCTAAATGAAAGATATATACAATATACAAAGTTTTAATGGCCGACACTTATTTCTAGTTTCAGATTTTATAAAATATAGTGTACTACACGAATAACGTCTCTTATTAATCTTCCTCTAGAGATATAATACATGCAGGTCGTCACGAGGGTTTGACGCAAAATTATAATTATTGCTAATTGAATATGTCATTTATTCACATGTATGTTTTTGACATGTCATAACATAAAATAGATCTACAATAACTAAGACAGTTATAATGGGTGAATTTCTAAAATTATACCATTTAGGAAATAATATTTTAATATAATTAAAAATTACTTCACAACAATTAGGAATGTCCGAATTAGATATCAATAGTCTTTACTATTTACATGTAGGTAAAACACCGAAGTGTATTAAAAATTTGTATAATTCTTGTACAATTACAAGAGAAACATTGGTTTCTATATATACATATTTATAAAATGTATTAAAAAAAATTAAAGTAAACAACATCTTATAGCTATAAGATGGTCAATAGCAAACAATGTTGACAGTAAACTTGTCTAAAAACATACCTTAACCTATTGATTCCCCTGTTTGCTTTAAATCGTTACAATGCCTTATCAAAATATAGCTTATAAATAAAATGTAATGCTTACAAAGTACCATCTCTAGCTTTATTAGAATTTCTTTAGTTATGTATAAAATGTCATCTCTTTCAGATCAACAACAAAACTCAGGAACAAACAGTGCTTTTTGTGGACTACAGCTTTAATTGAAATCGCCCACATGAGAAAGGAATATCAAAAGAATTTGATATTTATAATTACCTATGTATGCTGAACATAATTGCTTGCAGAATTAATTATTACCAGATATTCTTTTAGTATAGCACTTCCATAGAGTATCCTTATATAGGACAGCCTGTGTTTCTGGACTTTTCGCAGCTACAATACCTCTACCCACAACTATGACGTCACCACCATTTTCTATTATTACTTTTTCAGGTGTGTTGTACACCTGTCCAAAATCATCTCTGCTACTCTCAAGCTGTACTCCAGGTGTTAACTGTATGAGTCCAGGATCTGTAAAGGTGTCCTTGTTCTGGCATACATATCCGGTGATCAGTTCAGGGTACTTAGAAGCCATAGTAACTGTTGAAAGTTTGTATTCGGGTGTGATTAGGTTGCCCTGTAAATAAAACATAGTATGAATGAAAGTTAATTTTTGGAACAAAATTAGAGGAATAATTCCTTATCGTGGAACTTTAAAAGTATTCAAACAAAGACTATGTACAAACAGACTCCGGATATTTTTGTAAACAATAGGCTTGTGTCCACTAATAACAAATTGCTTGGTTTATAGTTTTAAATTATAAATAAAGATATAAGCAGTAAAAACCAGTCTATTTGTCATAAAAGTTAAAGATTATTAATATTTAAAAAAAATTATTTGGAACAAAATAGGCATTAAGTCACGTGACAGCAAACACGTTGTTGTTGACGTTTTCATACAACAGAGCAGGTTACTCCTTATTAGTTTTTCGTGAGAGAGGAGTAGAAAGTTTATGTGTAAACAGACTCGGGATATTTTTGTAAACAATTATGTGAGAAAATTATATTGATTTTATTAACGGTAGGCCACGTTTTTTGTGCAAGTATATAATGTCTTATTAAAAACTAGCAAACCCAACTATCGCAATTCGTAACACAGGTTTTCAACGGTATAAAAATTTGAGACCAAAATTAATTTGTTAACAAACAACATTTTATAACGACCATAATATAACACATATTTATTTTAAATTTGAGTACTTAAGTCTAGTGTCCGACCGAATGTTCGGTTTCGGTTTCGGTCGAGTTTCGGCAAAAAAACGAGTTTCGGTTTCGGCAGCAAACCTGCCGAAACTACGACCGAAACCGAAACTGCATTCGGGAGTTTCCACGCCGTGCTCGGGTGTGTACGGCGCGGTAAATGACATCCAAGCGACGATGACATTTGGCCGCGTCCACGTGCGTAATCATGTCGTAACCTGCTTGTTTGCAGTGCACTTTGTTTGTTGTGAGTGTCATTCTGGAGAACCACAGTCATCTTGTTCATCTAGAATTGTGTCTTCCGAAAAAGCAGAAGGGCTTTGGGACGCCCATGATAAATCTACTTGTAACTTTATAGAAACTTCTGGTGTGGAGAACAGTAATTGTTTAACTCAAATTAAGCAAACTATTCAGGCATACTTGTCAGAGCCTAGATTACAGAGAAGTGCAGATATTTATTCTTACTGGGATTCTAGTCCATATCTGTCTTTGAGAAAGGTGGCACTGAAATACTTATCCATCGAGCTCCACCAACGAGTGTTTCCATTGAACAATTATTTAGTGCTACTGGACAAATTTATTCAGACAGAAGGAGCAAGCATTCAGAGAGAAGATCTGCTAGGCGAAAATGTTGATAAACTATTGTTTCTTACCTATAATATAAGATTGTTTAACTATGAATATTAATAAGAAGTAACATTTAAGTACAGATACCTACTTGAAATTATTAGTATCTAGTCGTCGCGTTTTGCAATATTATGATTACGATTAGTTTATAATTTAGCTTTTGTTATATGTTGAAGTGTCAATATGACGATTAAGTATAGAAGAAGTTAATTTGTTTTTAAGATAAAAGTGATTTATATTGTTTTTTTTCATTACTTAAATATTAAGTACCTATCCACCTATAACTATTCTGATATTAGGTAACAACATAAATAAATAAGTATTAAAGCTACCTATGTGATTTAAAGAAAAAAAATTAAAACTTGACTGATTATAATACATTTTCTTTATTTTTTTCTGAAAACTCCTTATAAAAAAGTTTCGGTTTCGGTTTCGGTCGTAAAAACCAGTTTCGGTCGGACACTACTTAAGTCAATAATACTGTACCTACCTATACATATTTCCTACTGATCTATCTCTATCTACGAAAAATTTTATGAATTGCGAAAAAAAATTGTAATTCCATATCTATACTAATATTATAAAGCTGAAGAGTTTGTTTGTTTGTTTGTTTGTTTGAACGCGCTAATCTCAGGAACTACTGGTCGGATTTGAAAAATTCTTTCAGTGTTAGATAGCCCATTTATCGAGGAAGGCTATAGGCTATATATCATCACGCTAAGACCAATAGGAGGGGAGCACCAATGAAGAATGTTTTGAAAACGGAGAAAATTTATTACTATTGAGTGACGCAGACGAAGTTGCGCGGGTCAGCTAGTCTAGTATAAATAATAAAAAAGTTATAACACACTTATTTGATACAGTTTTTATTGTGTTGGCAACAAAAAATGATAGTATCAATAGTTTTTAACTACTTAAACAAATATTTATGTGTAAATTAGAATTAGAATTATATCAGTTTATTGTCTGTCTTGAAAAATACCTTAATTTCCTATTCACATTTATACACGGTGATTTTTTAGACGTTTTGGAAACGAAACATTTTAATTTGAAATCATCTATAGTACCAATAAAAATGATTAAATCAATTGTAATGTTGTCTAAAAAAAAGTTTCAGTTTTAATATTCATTTTTACTCGATCGACTTGGAAAGTAGTAATGGACTGATCATTCATTCATTATCTTATACGAATGAAACACGTCCGTGGGCGTTTCGGCGGCCGCTGCGCACCGCTGACGCTAACAGCAGCTGATAAAAGTATACCTATAGGCGCGAGCTAGCGAGTACTTACGTAGATAGACTCCAATTTGTCCTTCATACTTTACACGGGCTTAGGATCGTCAGAAATACCTATTTTATTTAAACTTCTTTTCGATTATTAACCACGATTGTTCTTTTTACAACAAATCAATTTATCAACGGACTGTAGGTATAAATATTTCAAGCGTATTTAAAAAATCGGAGCTATCTACAGAATAATTAACTTACATACCTATTTACACTATTTACACTTCTCTGTATCGAAGCAACTGCTCAAAATGGAGTCCGCTGCATTCAATACACAAACGTCCACGTTTAATGCAATTGTTTTTTAATTTTCTTAATGTGTCTCTATCACTTTTCACTTTATCAAAAGCGTCCACTATCGCAATGCGTAAATTATCACGGCTTTCATATTCCCATGTATAAACAAATATTTTTATTTCCGACCATAAGAAAAAATCCAGGGGCGTTAAGTCCGGGCTTCTAGGTGGCCAAGGCACTGGCCCTCCTCGACCTATCCACCGATCACTAAACTCATTGTCCAGGTATGCACGCACTACACTCCGCCGAATAATAATTTAAACATCCTTGACCTTGCGCGTGAGCGCGCGACCTTTATGTGACTCGATATTAAAACGCATAGTATTTATATTCGTAGTATTTACCTACGTGTGATTGAATAGCCTACTACTACTGGTTCTCACTTTTTCTCTGTAAACGATATGAATATCGACTTTGATGATAAAAAAAATATATATTTTATTAAATTAACGTTATATATAGCTTCTGTTACTGATAAATAACTCAAAATTTTCTTTTCCAAAACGCTTTCAAAATCACCGTGTATATGCTGATCGACCATATCCAGGAAACTCAAAGTCTGCGGTAGAAATACGAGTATATTCTCTAATTTTACACACTAATCGGGTATTTTACTCTATATGACATAAAATTTAAAAATATGTAATTGAGATACGTTAGGCAAAAAGCAGCCGGCAAATATTAGCTTTAGTTCATAAAATAATAAAATTAAAATTCAATTCAGTTTTTTTAAATCTGTTTTTAACACTATGAAATAGTAGCTGTCAGTTGAATCTACAATTTGTGTGAGTTTTTACACTAGTATTTTTGCATTCGGAAAAAGTACAAACAAATAAGTATAATATAAACAAGTCATGAAAATATCAGAACATTTGTTTACACAGCTGACTGACCTCAGCAATATGTCGTCGAAATTTGAAAATGTAACATTTACATGCATTTTAATGACACTATCAACTGAATATTTTATTTTTTATTTTTTCAGTGCTTTATTAGCACTATACAATATAAATTGCGACACTATTCACAAATGTGTATAAAGCCCGATTGTGTTCGAAATTAGAAGCTTGTGTCTAGTACAAGAACCCTTTTTTTTTCTGTGCGGAACTCCAAAGTACAACCTTAGAATTTCGATGATCACTAAGTAAGTGAATAGTGACTAAATTGAAAAAGGGACTAGCAATAATTTATTTATTTATTGAGTCTGCAAAAATATTGCATAAGGCGGACTTAATGCCTCAGGCATTTTCTTCCAGTCAAACCTTTAGTTGTTGCAAAGCTGTGTGTGGTAGGTTAGGTAGGTAGGATGAGACTGAATTGAGGCTTAATTCTTAAAATAATGGTTTTCTTGAATTGAAACATTATAATTAAACAGAGGTTCTGGAACACTAAGAACCATTATATTTATTGTATAGGTGTATACAATAAATATATGGATCTAAAAATGTTACAATTGGCAAAATTTAAGGTTTAGCAAACTGCGCCCCCCTTATAAAATTAATGTCTGGATTAACATCAAATAGGAATCAAAAATTATTTTGACTGCAAGTCGATTACTTATTCACACACACATATTTAAACAAGTACAAACATAAATATCTCACCTCACTGCTCATTTCTGCTAACAAAAACACGCCATGATTGTCACCAGAGGCAAACAAGGCTTTCAATATACCCTCTCCAGGTAGTGAATGTGCTGTGACACAATCCGCCCATTGACTTATTCTATGAACTCCCTTTAAATATTGCAATGATACAATGTGACCAATGTCGGCATATTTTCTATCTTCCAATATCAAAAAATTAAATCTGTTAGATAGCTGCTTCATCCTAGTAGTGAAATCATTACTAAAGTCTTCTATAATGTCAGCATGAGTTTTAACTAAACATATGTGTTCTCCAACTTTTTCTAGAAGGTCTAGAATTTGTGTAGTAGACGTCAAGTCAACTGAAAGGCATAGATTCGTTTTCTTAGTCGCCATTATGTTGAATAACTGTTTAGCTACAGCATTCTTGGCAAGTTCTGCACGTTGTTCGTATGGGAGTACAACTCTTTTTAAAGGTTTCTCTGTAAAAAAGTAAATGGTCGATTATAATGGGTTTATCTTTACATAGTATATAAAGTCGCTTTTTTTGTTCTACGCTAAGATCTTTTCAACTAAGCAACGGCTTTTAATGCAGTTTTCACCAATAGAGAGAGTGATTCAAGAGGAAGGTTTACATGTATTATACATGCATATTATTGTAGAGAAAATCGGAGAATTTAAAAGATTTGTCGTAAAAAACATGGTTTTGAGCGCTTACAATGCAAACGCAAAATTCGGCGATGGTACATATATGTCTATCTCCTAAGGATAACCCACAGTAGCCATTTTTAAAAGCTTTTATTTAACTTGCAATTTATGTATGTAACTATGTTTGTTCGGGTGGCATCTTGCAACTCAATTTTGAAGCATATCTTCAACCAATAGAGCTGAAATTTTGTGTACACATTTAGTTTGGATAACAATGCATGGTTAGCTATATGACGTCATTCTAAAGCCAACATGGCGGAACACCCAAGATGGCGGACTACGTTTTATATGCTTTCCTATAATATGGGTGTCAAATGAAAGGACTTGCTGACAATATGAATGCGAGTTAAACTCCGTTGGTCCAATCCATCTGAAACGGACATATGTTATGTATGGTCATATGTGACAACAACTGACAAACCTGACCAGCAATAACTAATAAAAAAAAAAGTAATTTTAAAGTAAAAAGATTGATTTTTATTTTTAAAATTTTTACACTAAGTAAATAGGACTCTCGTGACAAGCTTTAGATGACTAGCTAAGCGATTTGCTACTTAATAACCCTCTTATTCCCCAGCCAACCATAGAGCTCAGTTAGAGAGAGAAAGAGGGGTCTATCTACTATCCATCTCTTTAGGTCTAGTGGCTACCTAAGTAAAGTAGAGCAAAAAAGCAACCTTACCAATCACTGGAGCTTGAATTTCTTGGAAATATTTTTGTAGATTGTCAACCATTTCTTGATTAATTTTTCCATTCTTTTCTAAAATGTCAATAAAAGTAGATATTGTGTATAAAGATTTAACTTGAACATTATTTTTTTCACAGTTGCGACTTCCACCCTGTTCTCTGTCTAATATAATTACTGCATCGGTTACTACTAAACCTTCATTACGTAAATCTTTTACAGTCTCCAGGACACTGGACCCTGAGGTTACAACGTCTTCTACAATTAGGCAAACTTGACCAGCCTTATAGTAGCCTTCTATAGATTTTTTAGTGCCATAAGCTTTCACTTCTTTACGCCTCATCAACATTGATTTTTTTGTCTGGACACTAAGTAATGTGGCAATCGGTAAAGCTGTATATGGTACACCACAGATATGGTCATATTTTAAGTTTTCCATGGTCAATTTAAGTAGGAGGTTTGATATCATCTCCTGTAATTAAAAAAAATTTTTGCTATGCATAAAAAAGGAACATTTCGGTACTTATTTAAAGTCATCCTACTGCTGTCAGTCCTGTGAACCAGGAACAACAACTTTGACTACAAACACACTGAGCATGATAAACCGTCTAGAAACCCATAGCGAATATCATTTGAAGTATTTTTGAGCCCTAAACATGTAGGAGGCAAAAGAGAATATTTGATTAGAGTAGCCACCATGAAATCATTTTACTAAGTGAGCTGAAATAAATACTATTTCTTGGGTGAGTGAAAGGTGTACTTTAGACACTAGTTTTGATAAGAAATGATACAACAAAAAACAGTCTTCTTAGATAAAACATGATTGTTGTGTCAGTCATCAAAAACAATCCTAAGCAAGATTTATTGGATTGAAGTGAGTCAAATTGAGTGAAGAAATTGTATCAACAAACTAATGTTAACTTGATGGTCAATTTAGGACAATAACTTAGTTAAAATGAGTAAAATAATATTCTTTTTGCAGTTAACTACTGTCGTAACTTAATTCATGAGTCTACTGCTAACAATCATACCTGCTTTATATGTCGAAAATATGTGTAAATTCATGCTACATGTCCAAAAAAACAATTATTCTATCAGCACTATTAAGTAATATTTTCTAATTTCTGAAATTCTGTCTAGATGTAGGTATTGAGTTTACTTAAACTCAATACCTACATCTAGACAGAAACAGAAAATCCTAAAACTTTAATATTTGCTTACCATAACATCAGGGTAGCTAACTATAACCCTCAGGTCGAAATATACGGGTGTTTTCAGGCCAATCTTCGTTGTAAAGTCGCCGAACTTTACAGCATTTATAGCAAAAAGCTTAAGTGCTAGCTGTACGAGGTTCTTCTCGTACGTCATCTTTATTCTGTGGAAGATAATGGAAATTAATATCGAAGCACGTGAAAATCACGTTTGAAAAGTTCAGTTATCGCCCTAACTAAACCTAAACCCGATTCATTTCTGTCGTATTCTGACAGCTAGGGAGGGATGTGCAAAAAGCATTGATACCTCAGGATATCGATACTTTTGTTTCGATTCCAAACACCTTTGGTATCGAAACAAAAGTGGAAACAAAACTCGGGCATTTGAAAAGTGCTGCCTTAGTGTGTACGTGATGACTGAGGTTCAATTCCCGGACCGAGTAAAATTTTATAGGGGTTTTCTGACAGGAAAAACAGCCTTAGTTGCTCCTTATATAGACAGCTGCCTGCTAGTAAAATATGATCAAAGGCGGCGTTTTGAAGCTGACTCGAAATCAAATTTTCAAATTACCTAGTCTGCCACCTCACCTCGTCCTTTCTAGTCTATTGCGTGAGGTACCTGTCTAGTTAATTTGGTAAATTGAATCTCTAGTACTTAGTACCTACCTGAGTATTTTTTTATCTACTTTCCTAAACACATTTTCTATTTTGTTTAGAATGAATGGCTTGTATTTACCTTATTACATTAGTTTGAGGTGATGTATAGGTAAAAGCAAAAATATGACTAAAAAATAAACTAGATATCAGTATAAAATCAAAATTTTAAAGCGATAGTTGGATTTTCAATTTCGGTTACGGTTTCGGGCCAAAATAATTGTTAAATTTATTTGCTTACTATTTGACAAAACAGAGATTGTTGCTGTATGTGTGTGTTGATCTATGACTTTAGAGTCTACATAAAAGACGATTTCAAACAATTTTTTTTTTTTTATGAAATAAAGAGAGTTTAAGTTTGAGTTTGAACAAACGTTCGGGTTTGGTTCTGATAAACCTGTTTCGGTCGGACACTAGTAATTTCATGATAAATGATCAATCGTGTGCTAATCAACAGTTATTATTAATCTACTGCTGGACATCAGCCTTGCCCCAGATAGGAGGGTTTGGCCTATTATTACAACCTGGCCAGAAGGGTTGGTATAGGGTTTGAGTCAAATTTTCCTTCTCTTATCGCTGGTTATCGCTTACCACTTTAATTTCTGCACATCACTAAACTCTTGTATTTGTTCATTCGTACAGTCATCTCCTGAGCTGAGCTAACGAACGGTCAATCACTTACTAACTCATTCACATTCACATGTTCATTTGCAAAGCGTTGTTGGTAGTGGATGCGTGTAAACGCATCGAATTTATTTTTAATTTTTCGTACATCATTTTTTATAATTATTGTGCGCGTTTGCATCGTGATATCAATATATTATGAGCGGATGTGAAGTGTTTGTTTAGTGAATATAAATGGTATGAAAACCATAGTTAATAATAAAATAAATATGAATCATATATTATGGTTCATAAGTTATGAACTTTTTCGCGCCCGGAATTAAAATGTTGAGACTGTGTTTTGTAGTTATGATACAAATTATTTTTCAATATTATTATTCGTGTAACGACTTTGAGGCTTAGGTAAAGGATTTTTAAGTCGATGTCGGATAAGGTAAATCCACCCCTCCTATCGTCCAACCGGAGCACGGAGTGGGGTCCCCTCCCCTCCTATAGGGGAAGTTTGGGTAGACAAAGGGTAGTCACCCCTAAGCAGAGGGGAGCTTGGGCCTTGGGCGATATCCGTTGGTAAGGGAAGGGATCATAATTTCAAGTTCAGTTTTTTTTGGGTCTTGCCCTTTAACGGTTGCGCGCGTGCGGGAAAGTTTTAAACGTGTATTAAACCCAGTTTCTCTTCTAATAGGATTAAACATTTTCAGATAAAATTTGAACCAGAGAACTACGGCTCAAATGGATACTAATATTGAAAGTATGTTTTTTTTTGTTTTCCTGTGTATGTCTATGTCACAGTTTTTTTAACAAATTAATTTTTTCAGCTGATGAGTCGTTGGATTTTATAATGAAAAGAAGTTTGTTAGCTAAAAATAAATTGGCCTTTATTCTGCCTGATCCTGATGGCTTAGTTAGATTCTGTTGTGTTGAATGCACAGCAAAATATGACAGTAAGGAAGAACTAGAGAAACATCTACTGATTCATAATAAGGAATACAGGTTCTTGTGTGGGATCTGTGGGACAGGGTAAGATAAAATAATGTAATTACTTTAGTTATTATGATTTTTTAAGGCACCAGTTTTTTTATATGTAGAAAATTTTGCTTTTATCCTATGCCAAAACATGTTATACACAAATTAAGAAATTAAATTTTTCTCAACAGGTTAAAGCGCAAAGAACACCTTGATAGACATACGTTAGAGCACCAGGAGGTTCGGCCTTATGTCTGTCAGCACTGTGGCAAAGGTTTCAAGAGAAAAGAGCATCTAAATATACATAAGTCTATTCACAGTGGTGATAAGAGTGAATCTTGTCCAGTTTGTAACAAATGTATGTATAAATTACTAACCCTAGCAACTTACTAACCTGCCACTTTATTTGTAAGTTTGCAGGATACATACCAACAACTGAGATTATTATTTTTTTTCAATTTGTGATCATTAATTTTACTTTCTTATGAGTCTTGTTATTGTTAATAAACATATTGTCCTAATTTTATTGATTTTTAAACTCTGTCACAATGGAACAATTACTTTTACAATTAATTTAATGCTAATTAAATTAAAACTAAACAATAATTTTTATTCTTTTAAAGCATGTAATAAAAATATAGCTTAACTTAATGTAAAAACTGAAAAATCAGTAAATATTTTATTAACTCCTCACGTGCTGCTACGCTGTACAGTGCTTACCGGTGAAAGCACTGTAAAGTGTAGTGGCACGTGAGGCGTTGATAGAAATATGTTTACATTTAAGTACTTAATCAATTAATAAGTTTGGAAAAGAATAGAATAAGCAGTAAGTTTGTAATATTTTAACCTTTTTATTTTTTAAGGACAATTTAGTTATCCTTCGAGCATTGGCAAATAATTTGCGAAACCACTATCAAATTTATTTGTTTTTAGCGTTTTATCGCAGAGATCACCTACGGAAACATCTACAGACACACTCTAAAGCCTTCCTTGAACGGAAATCATTCAATGACAAGGGGTATTTAGAGGTCAAAGAGGAACCCGAGGAAGGGATGGAAGAGGATATTCATGAAGAAATACTTAATGAGGTAAGTTTGATTATTATTTTTTAACAAAAGATAAAACTATAACTATCATCATGTTTCAGTTTGTGTGTTTAAAGACTTAAAATTATAAGTAAGGTACAGCAAATCTCCTTAAAAAATTGATTACATATAAGAAAGTTTCTTTTTGGAAGAAAACATTTGAGTAAAAATACATAAAAACACACTTTTGTACCTTAAGACATTAGTTATACATTGTACTTGAACGAAATCATTATTAACACTTAACTTCTACTTTTTCAAACTCAATGTAAAAGTTGAATTCCTAATCATAATTTTTTGATTTGGACTTAGTTTGTTAACTAATTATTTCGTTGAATCAAAAATTATAACTAAAAGGTAAATAAAGATAAAGGAATACCATACCACAGGTAAGTATGTGTATGTTTTGTTCTAAAATGCATTAATAGATGTATGTACGGTTACACAACAAATATGTGTGTGCAGTATGAATATAACATATTTTCCTTAAAATATGATTGGGCTTCAATGTCTTCATAAACAGGATTGATGATCGATATGGATGATATGTGATGATGGGTACCGTCATATCAAAAATTCATTTGACCCTTATTCAAAAGAACTATGCATTTTTTTAAATTAAAACAAAGATAAAGATACTTATCTAAATTCCCGCCAAAATATTCGTATCGTATTTAATTACGTCACTAAGGTTATGTTAAGTCTCAAAAAACTTATTTTTTTGTTAAAAATCGTGAAGTATTTTAAATTTGTAAGTAGCCTGATGTTGGAGTTGTCCTTATAAACCGTCCAATTAAAACGACCAAAGAACTTCAGCTATTTAGGCGTGGGCTGTGCAGGTTAGGTACTAGTCCTATAAATGTATCAGTGGGGGTTCGGGCGTCTGTCTGGCTTAAAAATGGAGGTCACCGCCTACAATAAGGTCGTCTCTAGCAAAAATTCCTACCTCCCCGCCCTCGTTCGCAAACGCTTTTAATTCTGTGTAGGGCACAGTTGAATAACGCCAACGGTTACGAAACCTCAGTTGCGATGGCGTCTGGAACGCATATTAAATGTATATAGGTAGTACACAACAAATGCGTAATACTATTTGTATTGTACTTGTATAATACAAATAATTATAAATTTCTCCTTTACCTAACTTCAAACTAATTTTGTTGATATAATTTACTAGTAAATATAAAGCAACTTTAATCTATACAAATAAATAAAATTGAAGTGTCTGTTTGTAATGTCAAAATAATAGGTTATTTTCATGCTCACACGGTTATTTGCACGATACCTATGACTATAAACCAGTTTAAATATTTTTTGTATGTCTCTCAGTTTGTTTCGGGTAATCTTCAAAACGGCTGGACCGATTTTGATAATATTTTACTACCAGGTAGCTGTCTATATGAGGAGTTAATTAGGTAATATAACTTTGCCCGGTCCGGGAATTGAACCCACTAAAGCAGCGCTTTTCAAATTCCATGCGAACGAAGTCGCGGCACCAGCTAGTCTATAATATAATTATATATCTGAAGAGTTTATTTGGTTGAACGCGCTGATCTCAGGAACTACTAGTACGCATTAAAAAAATAATTTAGTGTTATATGTCCATTTACTGAGAAAGGCAATAGGCTAAATAACAATAGAAGCCAATAAGAACAGATCATTAAAAGCCGAGCATGAATGAAAAAGGTTGCAAAAATGGGGAAAATTAGTTGGTTTTGAGAGTCGCAAACAAAGTTGCGCTAGTCAGGTAGTTATAAAAAGTATTACAGATTTTACTGCCCCACACCACGTTGAATTGTAACAAACTGAAAATTCTTCATTCCTTAATTTTAAACCTTTATCGGTGGTTATTTTTCTTTGAATTTGAATGGGACCAAATGGAAATAATACATTCAAAATATAGGGAGATTCCAAAATTTCTTAAAGGACGGAGTTCTGAGGTAAGCGTAAGCGGTCGCCACGCCGCTTCCTACTGCACTGAGTGTTGTGGGTTCGATCTCCACATGGGAAAACATTTTGTGTGATCGAGAAATTGTTCCTTGTATCCGTTTCATATGTCTGCCTAGTTTGGGATCAGACGGCCGTGTGTAGGATATGTGAGGTTATTATGAATTTGAGAAGACGAAAGCAATTGTAGGAAACAGATGTTGCTTAAACGGGTGGGTTTGGGAGTGTAACCTTTAGCTCAAGTAAGTCAAGGTCAACTTAAACTATCTGTTGAAGTCCGAACGCTCTAACAAGAATATTTTGGAGGAAAATTTTAGTCTTCCTCCAAGCCTCTTTACTTAACTAGGTTGTCGATTCGAATTCGATTTTTTACGCGTAGCGACTGCCACCAGACCTCCACAACCCAGGGCCTGGGTCCCAGGCGATATCGAACTTCTGTAGAAAAACTCTTGTCGAACTTTTTATGTTATCAGATGTTCGTATGGCAATCAGGACTGACGGCTTAACGTGCTCTCCGACGCACGGAAGTCTCAATGTTAAGAATGGTCACCCATCTATAGATTGACCTGGTTAGGATTGCTTAACTTTGCAATGTATAAACCTACTTTTTTACCACTTAGCCACGAACCCAAAAAACAAAACTTTTTGGCCAAAACTTTAGTATAATTATGTATTTTAGGCAATAGCCGTTGAAGACAGTCCGCTGGTACCGAACAGCGCTCGGCCTTTCCAATGCGTCATCTGTGGGAAGTCTTACAAACGGAAAGACCATCTCAAAATACACAGTTGGACACATAAAAAGAAGGAACATGCCTGCTCCGAATGTGGTAAAGGTAAGTTGCATGGCTTTTTGTATACCTACTACATATATTATACGCTCGAGAGAAACGAATCCCGGTCACATAAAGATACCGCAAAATTTCGGACACTGAGCCGCTAGTGAATTGTCTTATCAATAATCAAGAAAATACTTAAGTGAAAGTAATAAAATTTATTTTAAAATATTTATAAAATTACACGAATAAAAAGAATCAATCTCATCCTAAAACAAAAATGGAAGAACAACGTATTTTTCTGCAACTTTTAAATATTTCTATGTACTTACAGCATGCAAACCGCATTTATGTGGTGCCATAAATGCGGTTTGCATGCTGTACACTAAGATTCTTATTCTATGTTGAGAGCAATTTTGATCTCTGAATAGATCCGTAGGAGGGTTTTGTTGTCTCAGACATTGTCGACCCAAACGGGTTCCATCGGTTAGAGGCGTACGTCCTGGCTGCGTGCTCCCTCCTCGCTCCATACAGTTAATGTTCACTTCTTAAAGGTTAGTCACAATCTGACCCGAATGTATTGCTCTCTAGTGTGATTGAGAAATTCATATAAATAAATATCTGAAACTTAAAATAGGTAGGTACATTAATGCCTTATGAAGACAAGTATTGAATTTTTTTTCAATACATTTTTTCTAGCATACTTTGAGATCTCCATTGACTATACTATCTCGTACGCAAATATCGTTAAAATTTGTAATACTATCTATGGTCCATATAACAGCTTCATACGCATCACACCGCTTCCGGTATAAACGAGTACATTGCCCCCTCTCGATAAACGACATTACTGGTGGTGACTTATTCCCGAACCCTCCACTTATGGTCGCATTAAGCGTGGTATGTTTGTAACGGATCGAATCACCGAGTTCACTGGCCTCTGAAAGATATGAACCTCACAAATTATCAGAAAATAAATGCAGTCACTGTAATACCAATCGTGGCACAATTTATTTGCACAGTAACCTACGACTGTAGCAATTTACGGTCACAATTTACAGCGCTTAAAAGTGATCTAAAATGTCCCTAATGATACCGGTGCTATTTAATAGGCTGTTATTGTGTCCCATTGTCTGCCACATACTGTTTTCATCATAATGAGCCTATCGCCGTCCACTGTTGAACGAAGGCCTCCCCCAAGGACCGCCAACCATCTCGTTCTTGGGCGGTTCGCATCCATCCGCTGCCGTCATTAAATACAGATACAGTAAAACATCCACATTAAGTATCTCCTGACTTTCATATCCCTCACTGATGCACCGCTGGTCTAGTCATAGTTATTACCTACTTGCAGAAACTCATAGTGGGACGTCTGGCAGATGTAAAACATCGAAAATATTTTGTAGAAATAATGAGTGTAAAATTACTTTAATAAGCAGGCTTTAGACTTTAATAAGTAGCGACGCGTCGCTACGGCGACCGCCGGTCTGACCCTGCAATGAACTTTCACACATTGTGTAATAAGCGTAGTCTGAGAAAGTAACTCTGTCTGTATACAAACAAACAACAACTGTAACAAACAGGTAAACAAAGTTATTGTTACGAGTAAACAGCTTAACCAATCATAATGAAACTTATTAAAGATACATGTTGATACAAAACGTGCGTTAATGTAAGCAATGTTTTGCGTTAATTTCATTGATGTTCTTTCACTTGGTGCTCGCCTTATTGCGCCACCGTAAACTGAATGTAGGTCGTAGTCCTACACAGGTTTTTGGTTACGTCACTATCGGTCGCGTAGACAGTAACGAGATGCATATATTTGCTTGCTGATATTCCATTTGAGAAGTTAAAAGCAAGAAGAACAAAGTCTTTAAAAATTAAGTTGTGGATAACATGATTGTCAAATTATAGATCGAAATAGGGTAATAATTGCTGTGTATAGATTGCCACGTTTAAAAACCTTAAAAACATATTTACAAATCTTACGAAATTGATTCCCAAACGCGTCATGAACTCTCGCTTAATTTATAGCTTTAAGGATATTGGTATTTATTGTTCAGGTTTTTGCATTGGTATGTCCTTTTTCTAGTTACCTTTTTGTTTGAATACACTAACTTTGCCATCTTTAATTCTCAAAGTGCCCAGTTAACGAAAATAGGCCTGCCCGTTATTACGTGAGGGGGGGGCAAATTACAGTTCGCACAATGTGTTTGTTTAAATGCCTTTGACTATCCCTTTGCATAAAAAAATATGAACCCTGAGGCCTAAAAAACGATGAAATTAACGTTTTGGTTTATTTCAAATAATAATAAAAAATACTGAATATAAACTTAGAACCTTAACGAAATAATTTGAACCAGCAGCATACGATGTAAAGTTTACTTGTCTCGATAACCGTAAAAGAATATCAGAAGAAACTTCTAGAATTTGAGTTTTTTTCGTAGAGGCATAAATAAACCTTTGCTAGCAGACGATCTCTTACCTTTTTTACCTAAAATAACATCCAAATACAGACCCGTATGTTTCTACAGTATGTTTATACTTAACTAGCTGACCCGCGCGGCTTCGCCCACGTGAACTTTGTGCAAAACCTAACAGTAGATGTCGCCACCTATTTACCACATAGACCTAACCCCTCCCTCCCGGACCTTGGCAACGCCTACTCGGAGCGGTTCGTGTATAGCATTTTTATACTCATCACTTCCAAATGAAATGTTCATAATTAAATGATACCTGCTTAACGAATTGACCAATTCTAATGATGGAAAGACAAAAAAAAATCTATTTGAAATTATCTCGATCATACAATTACACGAAAAAACGCATCTTAAGTATGTAGTGGATATTTAATAATTTAAAAAACATAAAAACGCTTTTTATAGCTTAGCTGTTATAGATAGATATTCTCCTATAGATAGATATTTTGTAGTCCTACAATTTATTAGCACACTAACCATAACACATTAACCATCTTTAACCATAAAGGAAATTTTTAAAGGAAGGAAAGGAAATTTTTGAGACGACTTGATTAACATAATCGGTTTTTTTGCACATGTCTAACTTTTTTAGTAATAAATCATAGCCTTTGTTACTTCCTGATAATGTAGCTTTTTATTAGTAAAAAATGGTTAAAATCGGTCTAGTAGTTTTGAAGCCTATTCGATACAAACAAACAAAAAAATCTTTCCTCTTTATAATATTAGCATAAAAGAAGCGAACACAAATGTTTTTACTTTGTGCTTATTAGCTCAGAACTCTGACGTCATCTATTTTTTTTTATGTGAGGACTTGTTCTTGTAAGTAAAGTCCCTCACGATTTCGTAGTAAGGGAAGTACATACTCAATAAAAGTAAATGTCTCTGCTTTAAAACGCAAAAGGAATAAACCTTCATGTTTCCAGGCTTATTTATTAAGTGTGGAGAAACTACCTGAGACCTATTTTTTTTTGTGGAAAATAGGTACTTACATACATATGCATATTGAATTTTCGTACCTATGTCACTAACTTCTTACATTTTGTGATAAAAACTATAATCCAGTGTGTTCCATTTAGTTTTAATGGAAATTCAATGATATAGCTACTACGGCAATCTGACGACAAGTTTTCGCGAACTCGTTGAAACACTTTTTAAACGCCTTATCGATTTGGTAGATAATGCGTAAAAAGTAAGATTTTAATTTTTCCCCATGTTAGAAGTAAAGTAAACACCGAAAAAAAATCTGTTAAACTTCTGGATTAACAGATTTCATTCGTGAAACCTCTATCTTAAAGCCTAGTCTTTTTTCTAGTCTCCTTGATTAATCTCTTTTGTTATAACACACTGACTGAAAACTTTTAGATGATTATTTCACTTCACATCAGAAATTTCGCGTCACAAACTTTTTCCAGATTGGTCATATAAATAACTTGGAAAAAGTTTGTGTGAGATATTAGAGGTGTGAAAAAGCAAAAAAATTACAGGACTATCTCACTGTAGGATTAAAAAAATAACAAGTAAGCACACGCCTTAGTACGTAGCAAAATACACAACCGTATTTTCAGGTATGGAAAAAGCCGTTAATCCTGAACTTTTAGATGATTATTTCACTTCACATCAGAAAAGTAAAAGCAATGGAGAGTGCAATGCAATGCTCGGAGTTTCAAAATGGAATGAGGAGATACGCAGACGAACCAAGGTCACTGACATTGCCCGCAGAATTGTCAAATTGGCAGTGGGCGGGCCACATGCTCGAAGAAAAGATGGCCGATGGGGCCTAAAAGTTTGAGTAGCGACCGCGTACCGGCAGACGAAGCGTGGATAGCCCCCCCACAAGGTGGTCCAACGACCTGGTGAAGGACGCGGGCAGCTGTTGGATGCGGGCAGCACAGGACTGGTTGTTGTGGTGAACCATGGGGGAGGCCTATGTCCAGCATCGGACATCTTTTGACTGAGATGATTGCGCGTCTTAAAATCTTATTTTTTGGATACCACCTAATGTGTTAGGATGTAGTGGTACTTTAACATAACAATTAAGATCTGTAACTAACCTTTATTTAATTATTAATACTTTAAATAATACTTAACAAAAAAGTATTATTCATTCATTATGTTAGAAAATTCACTGGCTATTGAACTGAGACGTAGTAAAGTTATCTCAGTTACAATATTTCAGTTTCGGAAGAGGTCCTTTTTCAATTGTGTTCGTCTTTTCTTACAATAAGGGGGACCTTTGTATTCCGTACTTTAAAAAAAGTAGTTACTGTTACCAGTTTACTACTTCTCATTCTATGAACTGAAAGACCAAATACTTGTGTAATTTTTATCATGTATTAGCTCCAGCTTTCTCTTGTATTGTAGTTTAGTTGCAAAGAAAAACTTTTTTCTACTTACGACAACGTGTATTAAAATTTCAAGATGATCGTTTGAGTACTCAAGATGTAAAGAGCAACAAACATACCATAATATTTATAACACAGATAGTTAGTTATGATTACTAGTACTTCTGTTAATACGTCCTACTAAGTTTTGATAAGTGTAATGATTGCTTTAAGTGTAGTTTCACGTTGGCAGTACTAT